ACCCCATTCAATCCCAGACAGCACTCAAAAGTTTCTGGAGAGTAAGGGGCAGCGCTAAACGGTGGGCGGAGAGCTTGAAGGGAGGTAGCCGCTGCGGGATGTCGAAACCCAAAGCCAAATCTCGGAATCGCGTGCCAGACGTCCAGAGGAGAGCAGATCGGATCAGACGATGCTGGTCACTTCGTGGGACCGTGGTGGGCATACAAATTGTCGACTGTTCCCACCGTCTCAACTTGCGGCCTCTCTTGCTCGGACTTCTGAGTTTCTGTAGATCATCTTTTCACGTTCCTTTCACATTCTTTTCCTGTTCGTCTCATCTGGACGCTTTATTTTCCAAAATCACCACACTCTTTTTTAACAAACAACAAACCCGCTCGTAGCCGGCCTAGGAACAATGTTCGCTTCTACCATCTTTCTCTCACTCGTCGCCGCCGCTGCGGCCGCTTGCGATGGCAACACCCCCAAGAACAACACCGGCGCCGTTTCGCCCGGTGCCAAGGCCCAGTGCGCCCTCCAGTTCGATGGCCGCATCCCGAAGACATTCAAGGCTGCCGACTTTGACGGCACCTCCAGCCCCTTCAACACCGCCAACGTGTTCGGCAAGGGCCTGAAGTTCAGCGAGATTGTCCAGCTCCCCGGCGGCAACTCCCTGGTAAGTTTTGACCCGGGAGCAAAGCAGTCCGAAACCTGATTGGTTTCCCGGATTGTCTTCCACGCAAAGTGCTTTGAGCTAATACCCAATTCCTTCAGTTCGACGTCAACTCCACCCAGCCCTTCGAGGTCACCATCAACGACAAGTCCATCTTCGCCCCCAGTGAGACCAACGTCCAGGTCGGCTTCCGCCGCGCCGAGATGCTGCCCCTCAGCAACGACGGCAAGGACGCCTCGACTCAGGGTATCAAGACCCTGCACTTCTCCCTTCAGAAGGATGCCCAGCGCCCCCTGAACCTGTCCCACGAGTACCAGCTCGTCTTCCTCGAGAGCGCCGACTTCAGCACCAACCAGGTCGTCCTCAAGACCGGTACCATCCTCGGCCAGAACACCGCCGACCCCGATACCCTCCAACTCTTCGGCAACGTCAACTCCAGCCCCGTTCCCGAGCTCTTCAAGACTAAGTTCACTGCCGGTGTCTTCCACAACTTTGCCATCAAGCTCGACTTCACCAAGAAGTATGTTCCCCTTCCCAAGTCTTCGCATTCATTCTCTAGACCCCATCGCTAACATGACTTCCAGCACCACCGAGGTCTTCTACTCCCAGGGTAACTCTGCTCTTAAGTCGACTGGCGCCGCTGTCACCAACAACATTGCTGGCCAGGGCCAGTACCACTTCGGTATGCTCAAGAAGCCCGTCAACGGTGGCTCCGACATCACCAAGAGCGGTGACCAGCCCACCGGCATCAACGAGGGTATCATCTATGGCGGCATCTTCCAGGAGGACAGCTCCGCTGGCTGCACCTCCCTCTCTCCCTAAATCAAACATCACTAGTGGACCAAAGAGACAGGGCGCGACGACGAGATGGCTACGGATTGAAGGCTATTTCTCTTTATTATTAGTACGGTCCTCGCAAAGTTGACTTTGTGGCGGCTTTATATTCTTCTGAAGAGAAAGGTTTCTGCAATGCATAATCAAATATCTGTGAAAAGTGACATTTGCTCATTGAGTGCTGCCATGCGTGGTCGCCTCTTCAAAAAACACAATGAGCCTAAAAGAGGGGCCTAGCTGTACACTGAAGCTCGAACCAGCCCTCATGACGATGATGAGACAACTGCTATGTGCTGCCATCTCCCCGGCGACTTTGACGGCTGGGTCCGCCGTCAAGCTAATGGATGGAGTGAGCATTTCTCTTCGTTGCTGATGGCGAGGCTCCATTCGCGTCACTAAGTCGACGCCGTCATCTGGAAGTGAATATCATACTGCTTCCGATCCGTTCGTTTATCTCACAGAAACACTGGTACATGACAGAGCTGGATTTTTTAGATAGCCTCATCCCAGCGGGTGATAAAGTAGCCGTAGGCATGGACACAAGATACACTAATAGGCTTCACCTCCACGTCCGAAGTCCACCGCGCCATCCCGATCCAGGACTCTAGGATGGCATGTGCTTCAGAGACTTAGTTTGGACGACGGCTTTTCGTATTCAACCACCGCCAATAGGAATCATTAGAAACACGGACGAAACCTGTGCGCGCGTAGTCGGTAATGGCTTTGGCACCTCCAAACGCTTAAGTCTTCCTAGCAAAGCAGATTAGAAAGCCCGGATTCGCCAGAGGCCTCAGATCAAAAATGAGGAAATCTGGGGCCAGACACAAGATTGAGAGGCAACAAAGGAGACTATGACAACGCTACTGTGAGCTTTGAGCCCTCGTGCGTCGATGGAGAAAGATAGACTACCTGCTGCGCATGCTACTTGAGACGCATGGCTCGTGCTTCTCGGGCATGAGCGAGAGGTCGTCTCATCAGACTCATACTACCAAAAGGAACTCCTTTTCCGCAGGATCATGAGACGTCCAAGCTCTCTGAGTCCAGCCGAGTCAGATATCCGCTTAACGATCGGACTTCGGGTCCCGTTCCCGTCGGGCGACCTTGTCTGGCGGGGACAAGAGTATGGCTACATGAGGCCGAGACGTTCTTCGGTAGATTTAAGTTAGCACCATCTTATGTCTCCTTCGGAACTTGTCATTAGGTTAAAATTAGAGAAAGGCGGGAGCTTTGGTCAAGCTGAATAACGCAAGGCGGGACGGTAGTACATATATCAATGGTTGTAAAGTAAGCCCTAGCGTCAGTTATACAGATTAGATGATGATATTCACTTCAGTAAGATTCTATTGTAAATACCAGGGCCTTCTATTTCCCAAGGTTTGTAAGACACTGTATTTCAAGCTTATTCACGTTAAAAGTGAAAGTTTATATTTTAACCTCTTAATCGATATCATTCTAATTCTGGAGCTTAGGTTGCTCGTCTGGTAAGGGGTCCTTGACGCCGCCATAGGCTTCCGAGAGTATCATATTGTACTCAAGAGATATTTGGTAGGAAGTTCATCCATGGTGTTACCCTGTATACATCTGCTGGTGTTTCCCTCAGGCAGGTGAATAGAAGGACTAGGATGGTCAAGCGGGCAACTGTAGATATGACACCGCTGATAACTGTGAGAATGGGAGATGCCTTATTGAGCAATCCGCGAAATTCGTTCCACCAATTCAGTTCTTCAATCATCTCGCTGTAAGCTCGTAATATAAAGGCAATTCAGCCATTATCAGGTGTCTTCGGGTCGCGAATGTGATGTTTTCTCCTGATATAGTTCTCATAATCTTGCTAAAAGTCGACCTCCTCAGGCTCTTTTCTCGACATCGACACCATCCAATCGCCCTTACTCACCCACCTGTTCTGGAGTATGCGGGCTGCATATGGAGTCCCTTTCCGGGCTTCTTGCCAAATATTTAAGAATTCGGGCAAAGCTACTGAGAAATGCCCAGGGTAGCGCTGCTTAGACTCGGAGCTCATAGAGTTTTTAATTGTCTCGGCTGATGGTTCCACGTCCCAATTTCTCGATTCTGCCGGGGTTCTTGCAAGGAAGAGTTGCGCGTTCCGCCCCAATCGGTTCCAATGAGGATTATCTATGTACCCCCAAATGTCCGGCTCGAGCCCGTTCATAGGCTCGAGCTTCAAGTTACGTAGAAGCGTTGATACAAGCCTGGAGTCGGTGCAATTAGTAGCCAGGAAATGGAGAACAAGGCTGATTGCCCAGGTAATCGTAGGTAACGCGGCTGAGATCAGACTCGCAACCCTCACAAAGTAGCTCGACTTCGGTCGGAAACTCGAAACTCCACGCCAGGCAATGTAAACCGCCAAAGCCAAGGGAAGAGAAAGCCATCAGAGTGAATAAAAGGGGACCTTCGCCCTTCATCCATACGAGGTCGTTTGAAACTCTTAGTAGATGACCGTTGAGATACTGAGCTCTTTCCCGCGTCATTGTCGGCGACCAAAGGGGGGACATGAATGACTGTGTATAGGCCGCTGGTTGGTCGGTACAAGTATAACCCGAAGTTGGCAGTGGGAGGACTGTGGCTCGGGAAATGTCTTTTGATTCCACCATTTGACGATATAGCTAAGGATTGTCATAGCAGCAGATGATATCATTGCAATTTCAAGCTGGGTAATCGGAAGATGTAGAATGCTGCGGACAATCACACTCAGAATGAGCCACGAGACCTGAGCAATAGCGATTCCTTTCAGAAGCCAATCTGCCTTGCTCTTATCTTTGATGTCTTGGTCCCCTAGGATAAGGTGGCCGAAAAGATGTTGTGCATTGTCGCCCGCGAACGAATATCGGGTAGTCAGCATGGATGCCGTCAAACAGTACCAATTAGTGTCCTGCTCGTGTGGGATTGGATACTGGATTCCTCCCATCTGAGCGTAATAGGAGTGCACAACGGTCCATTTCTGAACGCTCTGATTTCGATATTGATTGGCTTCTTTTGATATTTGAAATCGGCTACCTTCTTCGCCTTCTATTGAAGGAGAACCGAAGAAGCCCTTAAAGAGTTGTCATATCGGTCTTCTTGGATGCTCGTGACATCTGTAGTGTTGAACGGAAGAGTTTCTAAGGTTGCAAGCCTATGGGTGTCGATATGAGGATGATCTTGGGTTCGATATCGTTTCGATTTCCAGATAACTCGGCCTTGGAACGGAAGAAGGGAGCAAATATCGAACCTCACGGCCCTTTCTATATACGTACCACAGCCACCGTATAAACATCTTCGGATACTTTTAGCTTACCTTTACTACGAATACCTTATTAAGTCTAAGACTATCTACCTTAGCCTCTAAAAACTTGATCTACTATAGCCTACGACCAACGACCCAGTATCACGTCTTAATACTAACCTCTTAGCATCAATCCCCAACTTCTATTAACAAATCCTACTGTTAGAAAGCGGACCATAACACTTACCTAGTCTTTCAACTTTATTTTTCCTAGAAAAAAAATATTTTTTAGGCTTAAATTTCATCGTTATCTATATCTCTTTTAAGAGCTCCTTCATCGTAATTTTTAGCTTAGTATTAATACGTAATACTTAGTATAAAAGTTGTTTACGATACATACTCAGATATAAGCATCGCGCTACTCAACCGCTTACGCCTAGAGAAAGGCAATAATTTAAACAGCATCATAATAGTACTTTTCAGCCTCATACCGATCGAAGCATAGTTTTAAGTGTGTGTGCCCATAGAATTATGAAGCATACTATGACAACAGATCTATATTATACTCGGCATATAATCGTCAACTAGCTTAAGGCATTAAATCTTATATGTTCGTATATCGTGGTACGACCTGGAAGCTGGGCTTTTTCAGCTGGTTTCTCATCTCGTAATAGTAAACGCAAGGCGAACTTAAACTAACTTGGAGTTTACAATCATCTAGTCCTTCTCCAATAAACCCAGTTACGTATGGCCTCGTATCTTTTTCAAAGAAGTTGATTAACAAGTTTTCCATCATGGGTTTGTCCACAGAAGAAAACGTCCCTCCCCAGACTCTCCCGCAAACGCCTTTTCAACTCTTGTGGAACTCTCCAAGATTTATCAAAGTCACGGTATCCCATCAGACACCAGCGCGGCCGCTCCAGGTTTTTCTTGCTGAAGTTTTCAATTGACTCATCCGTCTCCACCTCCCCAGGCGCGAGATACCTGATATCCAACGGCGCAATCGTTCCCCTCACTGATCCTCCAAGCATGACACGCATTCTTCGCAGTGACGGCATCCCCGGGACCGCCTTGGCAATGGTGGAAATCAAGGGAACGAACACCGGGTTGTCAGGCGTCACGCGGAACGCCAGCTCTGGTATGTCGCCCTCGGCCTCTCTTGTGCGTACAACAGGGTAAAAACCCGACGCGTCGGAGTCTCCCGAGTCGAATTCTGGTTCAGTGTCCTACTCCAAACCGTAGTATCCTTCGTTGACGGGAAGGTTGTCAAAGTCGCCTGTATAGAGCCATTTCCCGTCGACAGCTGTGACGCACAAGTCAATGTGAAGATCTTTGAGACGCGGACAGTTCAGCTGAGCATCGAAGGCCGCCGAAGTAAGGATCCATCTTGATCCCAGGTGCAGCTTCTCAAGTGTTTCCAGCTGAAGTAGACGCCTCACGCCGACACTAAGGGCATCTCCTCCATCACCTGTCATGTCCGGAGGTTGGAACAGCTCGTTGGAAGGATCGCCGCTATCTGTAACGATTTCAAACTCGACCAATTTGAGGAATGGAGTGTCGGTCAGCGCAGCGCCCAAAGCGTTCCTGAATGCCTTCAGATCCGACTGCCACGCCAAGCGACGGTCGTACGTCATGCGGACCTGAGGTGGTAGAAACTCCCAGAGCATCGTCCTTACTGATATCAGAGCGCTGGTGACGACTGAGAAAGCGTCGGGGCTGAACGGCCGGCCATGGATCGCCTCAAATGAGACCTCGGAAACGCACGCGACCTTAGGCAATTGGCCGCCCGCCAGCAGTTTGCGATCGATGCTGAGTGCGTGAGTTCTCCAGTGCGTCTCATATACGGGAAATTGCCGGTCGCTCTCGAGCTCGCCACTTTCCATCATGCCTTGTATCGTCACGTCCGAGGGCGATGCGGCACTGATGGTGAGTTTGATGCCAGCTCCATCGCCAGATGGCCATGTAGTCAGGATGTTGAAGAAGTCTTGAGTGGCTTTCGTAAAGACTTCATTGTTCTTGGTAACCTCGCTCTTGCTCTGGATCTTCTTGAAGCGTTTAGGGACGACATCTGGGAGGATGACCTGAAAGTCGACTTTTTGCACAGATGCGCGTTAGCCTTTCGTTAGATCGTCTGTCAGAGAATTGAGACCCTCGCTGGTCACCTTGATGGAGAACAACGATGCATCGTTAATGATCTCAAAAGTTTGAGGGAAAATCTCAACTTCGCGCATTCTCGTGGGTTGATGAGAGTTGGGTTATTGTTGTCGATCTTGCGTGCCGGAGCCTCCTCGTCCTCCGGATCGTACTCTCCACTCTGTTGCGGGTAAGTCTGACGAACCTCCCACTCAGAGACGGTAACGCGAGCCTCAACACGACCATGGACAGACACGCCAGCTTTGGAGCGCGCGTAGAGATCAAGACGAGGACCAACGGTCAAGATACCGGGGATGTTGAACGTGGCTCCGGGGATGGGTAAGGTGACGATGTGGAACACGTCCGAATCCCAGTCAACCCTAGCAATGGCGTCGAAAGTGAAGATGGCCTCGATCTTGCCCTCGTTGTTGAAGTACAGGAACGAGTTGTCGAGGCTCATGTTGGGACCCAGCGTCGTGATGAGCGTGAATCTGAAAGACGTCGACATGCTGATTCCAGCGGTAGCGACGGCGTCGACCTTGGCGCTGAAGCTGCCGCAGTCCCATTCTTCCTGAAGGATGATAGCCTGCAGCTCTTCTTCGTAGTCGTGTCTCTTTTCCTTGTTGTACTCGACGTCAAGAAGACCCTTCAGCCATTCAATGACGGTCTCTCCGAACCAGCGCTTGTGAAGTTCATCACGACTGAGAGCGCCGAAGTGCATGTCTTCGCGCCATTCCGCCTCGAGCCAGCGCTTGTGGTTTCCGCCGACGGACGCAAGCGATCGCTTTGCTTTCTTCCCGGCTGGTGCCTCGACGATCTGGTCCTAATAGTTCTCTTGGTTGCTATAACAATGTCAGTTATAGCTCATTGAAATGGGCAGAGGTGGTAAGACGTACGAAAAGTCGACTCGGAGCTGTGTGTCTCCAAAGTCTCGCGGAACTCGGGTGAAGTCGTAGTCAAAGGTGAGATCGTAAACAACGCCAGGCTTGTCCAGGCTTCCATACTTCCTCTTTACCAGATGCTTCGCCAGTGTCTGGTTCGACGCTATCTCCAAGCGCTTGACGACGGTGTACTTTCCAGGACCACAACCTTGACCCTGTGGCATCTGAATGATGGTGCCCTCTGCGCCCAAACCCCTGAAGATGTGGTCACAGTTGCTGTCATCCGAGTCGTCAGTGCAAATAATCTGAACTGTCTGCTCTTCCTCGCTGTGCGCGTTGTTGCAGTTGAAGAGCTCCCAGTGCGAACCGTCGCGCTTATCCAGAGACGTTGAGATCTCCTCGGGCGCTGCGAGGACGTAGAACTGGAAAGCAGCATCTCCAGGAGCAGGATCATCGGAACCGCTGCTCTCAGCGCCTCTCCAAGTGCTGTCGACCTTGAGATCGAAATTCGTGTCGACATCGTCGCCTGATGGTGGGTTGGGAAACAAGTCCTTAAGCGGAACTGGTAGGAAAACATTCTCGCCCTTAGGAGGATCGCAGAAGAAGATACGAGTACGATCGAGACGCGGAAAACATCATTCGGCACCTCCAAAGTTGAACCAGGCAACCTGAACCTCCGCGTTGATATCGCAATACCCGTCGAAGCAGTTCCCGGGCTTGCCCTTCCACTCGCAGTTGTTACAGCGGTTGAGGTCTTCGGGAGGACAGCAGTAGAGATCAATGTCGCCGAGATCGTAATTCTTGAGGGCCAAGGCCAGAGAACTACCCTTGAGCTTGTACAGCGCGTTCAGGTCCGGCTCGTCTTTGCCAAAAGTGCCGCTGATCCTCAGCGTTGGAGAAGATTGCTCCGGCATGTGGGCAGGTATTCTTTTTCCGTTCTATTTAACAGGAGTTACCCAAGATGCACGATGGTTGGGGTTTTATTGCGGCTAGTATTAGTCTTGAACAACCAGATCCTAGAATACTGGAGTTTATCACCAGAAATGTGTAAGAGCTGATCCGCGTGCTTCAGGTTACTTCTACTGCATCCAAACTCCGGAGCACCAAGGCTCAGGCGGAGATGCCACCATCGCGGTGCCCTCAGGATCAACAACTGCCAGCGCAACAGCAACAGCAGGCCCGACGCCTCCTGCTCCGACTCTAGACGGCCAACCTTCGAACTGCAATAAGTGGCACGTCGTTGCGGGTATGTCTGCACTCGACTTAGTCTTGTCTCTCTCTTCAGATCTCCGAACTATGCTAACAAATATCGTCACAGCCGGCGACAACTGCGGCGTCATCGAGTCCGAATACAGCCTCACTCACTCCCAATTCCTCGAGTGGAACCCCGCCTCCTCAGAAGACTGCCTCACGGGCTTCTGGGGCGCGTACGCATACTGCGTCGGCGTCAGCGGCGGAGGCGGCGCTGTCACCACGGCCCCACCTGCCACCACGACCTCCGCAGCCCCGGCCGAACCCACCAACGGACCAGTTGCGGCTCCGGAGCCCAACCAGGCCGGCAACGCCATCGCTTTCTGCAACAAGGACGGCCAGGCGCAGTCCGGCGACTGGTGTTCGGCTTTTGCGGACCGTTACGGCCTGGCTTACTCTGACTTTTACGCTTGAAATACGGTTCTCGGGGCTGGTGGCGAAAATTGCGGTGGTTCCTTCTGGGCCACGTACTGGTATTGTATCGGAGTTGTGGCTTAGGAGTTCAACAAAGGTGTATTGGCTAGAAGTGTTGGTTAAAGGACGAGTTTCTTCCCTTTTGCGAAAGTTGCACTGCTTTCCACTAGCTCAACTTCTGTAACTACTTATGATATGATTGGACCACTGTTGGTGAGACCTACTATGCCTCTTTGGTATCTCTCGCAAAATGCTATGTTCATGTCGAGCCAAAGATAATGTAAATCAAACGCTAAACAAAGTCGACTGGGGCTGGGTACATTTATGTGCTGTTTTCTGTTACATATATTACTTATCTCGGTTGTTTCATATTTTGGCAATTCCTATGAGGTACCTATGGAAGCAACCAGACAAGTATCTAGTGGGCCCAGTCGATTCCAGACTGGAAGCAACGTTCAATTTAGCTGAAGCTAAAGTTGAACATGTGCAGGACTAGATAGGACGGCGAGTTTGCATGGAAGACTGCCGCTTTCGAATCGACTAGTAAAAATAAAAACGATCTAGTTCTATTCTATTTTTCTAGGGCATAATCTAATGGCTGACCTACTTAAATAAAAATTATCTCACATAGATTAAGTCCTCCACAACACAAAGGAAAAATTATAAATTCGAATCAATATAGCAGCTATTTTAAGTACATTAATAGCGAACCTAAATAATACCACTTTCTAAATTAAATATACGAATCTCAAGTTCCAAGATCAAGTCTACTTAGGAACAAAATCCAAGAGCGTCCGCTAAAGATAGGTAAAAAGGGCACATAGAATTAGTATATAGCCCAATATCCAAACTTTATAGTACACAGACCAGTTCAAAGGAGTTTAGTCTAGCCTTAGTTTAATTTAGACCTTTAGAGAGGGAAAGTTAAAACAGCACCCTTTAGGTAATATCTTCTAAATGCTTCGAGTAATTTAGTACTATATATAGTTATAGGATATTTATACAATGATAACATACGAAATAGCAGTCTTCATACACCACATAAAAAAGAGGCATACAAAAACAACTTTTACCATAGCAGAACAAAGTTTAGTCCATTCATAATAACATTAATTGAGCAAGAAAGTAAAAAATCGCGGAAGCCAACAATCTTCCGGAGCGATTTTAATCCTCTATAGATTTAAGGACATCTAAACTAAAAACATATGATATTAGGTATTCGCTAGTCGTTACGAACCTAGTTACTAATTCGGCTCTTATTGGCTTGTCGATAGGAGAGCGGACGGGATCCCGAATTTTCTAATGAGTATGGTCATATGTGCTGGAGGGATTGCATCGTGACTTTCATGGAGGCACGGATCACAACACGCACAATAGTCTGCCATAGGTTCCCTACAGCAGCATATCAGACATCTCAATCACTCTGGGCTTAGCCGAAGGTTACCATTGATGTATCACATTCTGATTGTGAGATGCAATACAGCGAGGTTCTTTAGTTGTGGAGAAAGCTTCAGAAGTGATTCAGTAGCCCACAGGCAGTTTACAAAGAATGCGCAACATTCGCGTCGTATTCACCAATTGCTACCAAAATTATTAAGAACCACAACATAGTGAAACATCGCAGATAATTGCTAAATAATGGAATTTGTGAACGCTTAATACACAGGCCTCCTCAGAAGCTTTTCAAATGCGTTGAATGCCCAGGACACCAGTAAGTAAAATCCTTCAGTTCCTTGATTTTGGCATCGAAATCTTCGCGTTATGCTATTTGAATTTTGATCCTCCGCAGGAATATTCTGACGTCTAGTACGGAACACACTCGCAGATGTTGCCGGGGAGACTTTGAGGAGGGGATTGGTTAGCTCAGGTTGCTATGTATTGCTAAGGACATCGAGTGGACGACTCACCGGCACAGCTTATCCGCAAAGCCACCGCAGTTCTGGATGCAGTCTGCCGTGCTCTGGCAAGCCTCTTGTGCCAAGGCTTGTTGCGAGAAGAAGGCCAGGGCGGTCACGGCGACGGAGATGACGTTGAAGCGCATGTTGGGCGAGTTCAATAGATTGTAAGAGGTAATACACGGATCTTGGTTGCTCGAGTTAGGAAAGATAGGATCACATATACTCTGGAAGGTGGGCATCTAATGGCTTATATACCATCAATCGGACTAAATTATGTAAAGTAACATCTCCCCACTTCCATACGCGGCTACTCAAACGTCAAGGAATGTGGATGGGGCCTTCATCGTCGACTTAATCTAAAGAAAACAGTCAATCAGTCCTACTTCAACTCTATTCTGGGCATATAAATGAGTTGGTTCGAGCTTTAGTATGATTAGAGTTTTGGCAGACCATGACTCCGCTGTAACGTATCTCACAGCCCCATTAGTGTCGGGGTCCACGGTCTCGTACCGGAAAGCGAAACCGAGCTAATGACCTGAGCCGTCCATCTCAACGGGCGTAGTTAACTCCCGTAAGGCCCGATGTAGGGTTTTAGTATGGTGACAAGTGGCCTGTTCTCACTCACTACTGATGATTATGACCACTACCCATACATGTCATGAGCTACATGTAGTCTCCAGTGAGCTTCTAATTACCATGAGGCTGTAGAAGACACTGTGCAGGTTACTCATGGCTTTCGGGAGATTTTCAGCGGACGCACATAACCAATTGCCTACTCTCATTTTCCGTCGAGGAGACGTATACTTTATGCCCAGAGAAGGAGAGATGGGTGGAGTGACGAAGTTCAGTGATCCCAGAGGCTAGGAGCATAGCAGAGTGTCAAGTCTTTGTTGACTCTTGGTTTCGGCAACAGACATCTCTCGAAATGTCCCGTCGCTCATACAGTCGGTATCTCTGGAAACTCCCCTCATACTCGAGTCACATTGGCAAGGCCAGAAATCTGGACCTTTCACCGAGTCCGCGGCATGTATGGACGTTTGCGCATGCTTTCTAAGACTAGGTAGGGGAGTGTCCTAAGAGATTGAATTATGGCTCAACATAAGACTCACCAGGGGTCTATATCGAAACCTGCTCTGTATTGGTGTAGTACTTGCGTGGACGTATATCTTGTTATAAAGCTGCCCCAATTTTAGTATTAGACAAAACCCCACAGATTTCAAGTCTCCAGTTAAGGAACTAAGGTGTACCTGATTGATCACGACATGCCGATACGCGATGGCGTAGTTAAACCCCGTTGTTCCCGCTCAGTATTTCCGAACAAATTCTCAGTAAGGACCAATTACACAGGGCTTTGTAAACTGCTTTAGTGCTCTAATACCTGGGTAGCTTTGATCTCACACGCCCGGTCAGAGAAGTTATCGATGTGCAGACGCTGACCTTAGGTAGTCTTCTGGAAGTTCTCGTTTATTTTTTCTCTCTATAAGAATAATATGGCGAAGGAATGGCAAAAACAGCCAGTCCTTTTCAGCAGGAAAACTTTAAGTGGTATCATTATGGGACGCCTTCGCAGCTCTTGTGAGTGGCTCAATGGGAACACGGTTATCCGAAATCGGAAATCTGTTTGTATGTTTGGTGATTATCCACCGCTATCGGCTCTGCGTCAGCATCATGATGCCGGGAAGCTCACATCACGTCATGCGGAACCAGTCTCCAACCAGGTCTAAGAATCGAAGATTCCTGCAGGGTCATCGAGACTAAAGAGCAGCGCCTTAATAATACTCTTCCGCAGGAGACTGTGCGACGTGCCAGAGCCATCATCTTTCCTCTCGTTTCCAACTTACATCTTTCTTGGAGACCCCAACATTGATTCAAGTCGAACAACTACCATGGCCGCAATTGCCGTAGACCAAACCTCTAAAACCTCCGTTGGCAGCCTAGATCCAGGATCTCAAGTTCACAACGCGTCGCCTTCGCAGCTTCTTGAGGCTTTTGAAGTCCCAAGCCAACAGAATACCGCCGACTTTGGGCTGCCGTGGTCGGCAAGCTTTCCTCTCGGACTCAAAGCAAGCAAGAACCTCAGTCTCTCTGAAAGCATTGACGCCATCAAGAACTTCGCCCAATCTGGGAGTCTGAGCGGTCTGGTCAAAGAACATGGGGGAGCAATTCTTATCCGTGGCCTTCCGATAGAGACACCTCATGACTATAGCAAAGTCGCGCACGCATTTGGCTTTCGTCCTCATGTGGAGGTTGGACGTCCGCCACTTCGGACCATCCTGGCTCCTAATGTCAAGACAGCAAACGAGGGGTAAGTAGCAAAGATGCAACGATCTCCGAGGTCGATCTCTGTTCAAGTATCCAAGAGCAAGGCACAGTTTTATCATTCGATACCCATGAAGTCAGTTGGACTGACGTGAAGTAGTCCACCAGAATTGCCAATATGGCCCCACAGCGAATATGGTTGGTCAACGATCAACCCATCGTGGCTTACCTTCAGCGCACTCCAAATTGCGGAGTCCGGTATGATCTCAAGCCCAGCACAACTATCATGTAAACCATGGCACTGATGATGAGGCAGGCGGCGCAACGCCTATCACCTCAGCTATCTACATTGCTCATGAATTGTCACGTCTCAAGCCTCAGTTTCTCTCGAATCTTCTGAACAAGGGTGTGAAATACGTATATCGCTACACCACCAAGCCACTTGTCTCCAACACCGGGACGAGCGTCCATGGCGCTTACGGTCAGGAGTTAAGGGATGAAGATGACGAAGTCACGGCCCGGCGCAAGATCGAGGCTGAAGTCCGACGCCACAGCAACCGATTCGAGTGGCACGACGACGGTAGCTTGAGCGTGACGCACATCGTCCCTGGTAAGTTGAGAAGGAATTCTTTCGTGGATTCTAGGCCAGAAGCCTCACTAGACCACAGACTGACACAATGGCGAAGCCGTTCGCATTCACGATCCTACAGGGGCAACTGTATTCTTCGGCAATGTCACCTCTGCCTGGGGCCGTAGTCGTCATCATGGTGCGACGCGACCTCCCTTCCGCGGCGATGACGGATCGTACCATCCTCCCCCGACATACGGCGACGATACGCCCATTGATGTTGAGGACTTGGACCTATTGCTGAAACTCGCGGAAGAGGGTGCCGTAGATGTCGAGTGGCAGAAGGGAGATCTGGTGCTTCTTGACGTGAGTATCTGCCCGTGCAATTTGTGGCGCTAGCAAGATGTGGCTGACACGAGAGGCGTTCCCCACAGAACTACGCCGTGATGCACTCCCGCAAGCCGTGGAAGGGGCAGCGCCAGGTCCTCGCTGCTCTGTGGGACGATGACGGAAGGATCAAGGATTTTCCAGAAGGCTTGGAACTGCTGAAAGGTAGTCCTAGGGTCCCTCGGACGGAGTTCGATGAGAACGAAGGACGTTGATAATCGGCTTTCGAGGCCCTGATTGGTTGAAGCGTCTAGTTTCACGAATATCATCCCCGTGCGTGGGTGATCGTAGCCGCGGCGTAACTAGTGAACAATTGGCCAAGCGTACTACCCCGTTCATTTGATATGAAGTGGCAGATCTGGGGCTTCCGCTTGGGCGGCATAAATATCTCTGCATAACTTCATTCCTCGGAGGCGTTGCAACTTGAATAAACCTTCAGTGGGATTGATTAGCACTTTGTATGGAAATATTAGCTCAGACACTGCTCTAACAGACTAAATCAAGACGCCTTTCCCTCAATCTTAGGACGGGCAAGTTGCCCTCTTGACCCTCTTCACGCTAGTTTCTGAGATCTCCGCCAATCCAAACCAGCCACAGTCGGAATCATAGAGGACGTCAAAGCCGTTATAGAACATCCTACCAGTGTTGATGTAGATTGGCTTCGACGGCGTGGGCTCCTCCAGAATATACCCTGCCGGCTGCATTGTCGCAGGATTAGGCTTACCCGCACCCTGGGCAGTTACGTTGTATGTCGCAATGGGATTCTTTTCGTTGGGAATGTGAACCACCACAACGGTTCCCTTGGCAGCGACCTGAGGGGGAGGCTTCGTCTTGATGAATTGGGAGGTGACGTTCTTGACGTGGGAACTAACGTCTTTATTGACCCTGATGAACGACTGGGCGATGCCGGTATCGAGAAGGGCTGAGCCGTGGTCGTAAGGCGAGTCGTTGATACTGATTGCCATGTCCACCATGTACCAGTCGCGGAGGGCTTTGGATCCGGGCGTAAGGCCAAGCTTCGTCTTGCAAAACCCCTCCGTGTTTTCACTCGTAAGGCCGACCTCGACACCATCTTTGCCAATGATGTAGCCCTGGTGCATATCATCAACAGGCCGGCCCCCGATAGACACGATGTTGATCAAGGTAACCTTGCTAGGAATAGCATCGGGCTGCTCGGTGCTCCATCTACCGAAGCCGACTCCCATGTAGTGGATATCGTTGGGGTACATTGTGATGTTGGACTTCTGCGCTTCCGTGCAGCTGCCCTGTTTCTTCCATGCTTTGCAGATGCTGGCCTCGGTGACGACCATGATAGGCACGGAGGCGACAACCTCTTCGCCGGCTGTGAGCTCATCATTTCGTGCGGGAAAAGTGATGTTCGCCTCAATCCAGTAGCCTTGCCACAGTCTGTTGCTTGAAGAGAGGAATTCGTTTCCCGGCTGGGATTTGTCGAAATCTGTTTTCTCGTCGAAACCGAGGACCCCGGCACCGATCATGAGACCAGTGGAACCGGTGTCCATACCGGCAGACTTGATATTCACTGCCGTCTGGTTGTATTTTGTCTTGACCGTAAATGTAACGGAAGGTGTACTGTCGATGAGGGGAAACTTGTTGATGAAAGGGATGAAGGCGTTGTTCCTTTCTGTGGCCTTCGGGTACGTTGGAGGTCCTGACGCGGGGCATGTTGCCGCTGCGGCAAACTCCAATAGAGCCGAGATGGCTAGAGTGGTAGAGAAGTGCATTTTTGATGATGAAGGTGATGGAGATGATGAGCTTGATGGAGAGACGGCTAGATGCTGATAGTACTGCGAGGTTCTGGCCGGTATTTAACTAGGTCCGACCTACGAGCCTTCAAGCCTTCAAGCGCAGTAACCTCTCTCGAAAACCTTGGAATCGCATTTAGAACACGCCCATCAGCTATACCGTAGCTGAGGCTCAGCTGAATGTCTGGGAGGCTCGTGGCGCCGAGACATACGAAAGCGTGGCATCCGGTTCCACGGGAAATAGCCAGATCTGGATGGGATTCTAATGGGAAATGCGGCGAGAAGCGTGGACGGGGGCTTAAACCATGTGTAGAATGCCGGAACCGGCGATAGTCGGCATGGTGTTGGTCTGGGCCTCTACACCTCCGCAAACTATAATGAGACATGGCCTTTGGATCCCCAACCTAAAGCGATGCTAATGTCCAGCGGACAAGAAAACAAAAAAGAACTCTTCCACGGCCGCCCTTCGTCTTTAGGATGAAAGCAGCTGCGATCGTATATTATCCTCTCAAGAGGAAAAGGAGGTTCCTAGGGCCCTGGGAAATCTTCCGATGCTCACAATCTAGAGCAAGTCTAGCTTCTCTGCGCACTTCACCCTGCGTACCGAAATTAGACTTTATTTCGATCAAAAATTCCATGGCCCATCAAGGTCCACTGTCTTCGGCCGAATTTGACGCCAGCGAAAGTCAATAGCAAACCCGGCAACTTTCTTCCGGCATGAACAACAACGCCAACCCGTTGCAATACTGCAGTCAAGTCACTCAAATCTCTTGAGCCATGCGTCTGCCTTTGTCCATTCCTCAACAAGATGCTTCTGCCGACCCTCGCCACGCACTTTGAAGCTGACATCAAAAGCCTTTGGCCCAGTCAGGATCGCATCTTTGAAAGCAGTCTGCACAGAAGTATCCGGCATCGTGTCCCCCGGCACGACATCAAAGCACCAAAGTAGCTTGGACATTGTCAACAACATGCTGTTCTCAGCCATGCGCTGACCGGCGCAGATCCTTCTTCCAGCCCCGAAGCTGTAAGTAGGCCGACGCGATTGATCTTCAGCTGTTGCCTCGGGATTCTGATCGCGGCTCTTGACACCCAGTGGATTCTTCATGAAGCGATCCGGTTCGAAAGTGTCCGGATCATCGAACTCGTCTGAATCATGGTTGATAGCCCAGATGTTCATGAGGATCGTAGTCTCAGCGGGGATGTTGTAACCCTTGTAAACGTCATCGCGCGTTGTTGCGTGAGGAATAGCCATGGGAAACCCTGGTCGCCATCTGAGAGTCTTCAGAACGAGTTAGACTACCGACAGACGTACAGAGTCAATGAAAAGAAATCGAAAGAGAGACCGACCTCAAGGAAACAAGCCTTCATATAAGGCAAAGTTTCTGCAGTTAGACGTTCAGCACATATACCACTCTCGTCAAATACCGCATCCACCTCTGCTTGTGCTCTTTTCTGAATATCCGGATACGCAGCCATTGCCAACACAAATGTCTCATAAGCACCGGCAGTTGTGTCCGAGCCTCCTTCCATCAAAAAGCCTGCTATGTACTCCAACTCGAGATTGCTGTACCCTTCTTTCTCGTTATCACGCAAAAGCCCTGCCACAAAGCTGTCTCCGGCCTTCCCCTGACTGATGCGTGCTTTAGCTTCCTCGAAAAGGTCGTGATACAATCCGTTCTGTTTCAACTTGAGGTCTGCAGCTCTCAACTTCCAGCCTCGCCAGGGCGTCAGAAAATCCGGCACGTATCGCAAAAATGGCAATACATCGAATGGAGGAACAGCTCCCTGATCCAGCATGCCTGCCCACTCTGCTTGACATTCGAAGAACTTCTTAATCTTGCCCTCATCGTTGAAATCCTTTCCGCGGGTACCAAATACGCTTGACATGATGATGGCGCCAAAATACCGCAAAATGTGGTCGTGGTAATGGGTAGGCCTACACAGCAGCTCATGCATCATTTGTGATGATTCAGCGTCTTGCAACAGCAAGAGCTTGTCAACCTTCTCGTCCTTCAAGAAGTCCGTGATTGTCCTCCTCTCCTTCCTCCACTTGGGACCATACCGCAAAAAAACGAGATGGATGTCACCAGGCGGGGGTAGCACGTACTCCACGATAGGCACGTACGGCCGGGACGAGTAGAGGGCCCCGCGTTGGTCGAGGAGATCGCGCACGGATTGCCAGGTGTTGAGGACAACAACTTTGTTGCTGGGTCCGAGTGACAGGCCCACGAGGCCGTGCGATCCGTACGTGCGGCTCCATGCTGCAAACTGAATGAATGGTTTCGTCAACGGTATCTGGTGAAGGTTTCCGAGAAATGGTATGGTAGGAGGCCCTGGAGGAAAGTTGCCGTTGGACTTGGAGGCCTGGAGGCGAGGGCGTATGAGGAAGAACACGACAAGTGCGCCTACAACGCTCAGTGCAAGTATCGAGATCGCCATTTTGAAATTCAGAGATAACACAGAGTAAGCCTGCTTCACCGCAATCATAAGAATCACACACTGTTATATAGCCAACTATTCTTAACTTGACCGCCGCACTCATTCTGCCCTCTCACACATGAGAGCAATCTCATTGGTTCGTAGATGCGAGGATGAGTAACGGCACGCATATGCGTGCGACGCTCTGCTTACGCTGTCCGGCATGGGTTCATCATTTGATTGCTGGAAAATCAAGTCTCAAGCAGCATTGGAGACAGATTGGAGATGATCTACCGTATAGAAGATAGTGCTAAGTACGAGGTCGAAAAGTCGGGCTGTTGCCAGTTCGGCCATATAGCCAGAAGTTCACGCATTTCATTCGTTGCTGATGTCGAAGACATTCTTCACCGGAAGGACCGCTTTTTTACAGAGCCTTCCATATCTTAACGTTCATATGGGCATATTTACTCAGATATTGTCTAGCTCTGATCAATCGGGAAGGCTTGGAGTTGCCACCAGCGGTCTTAATTGGATTGGAAGTGAGTTTGAGAGCTGGTGTCTATGCAAAACATGGCATCAGATACACTAGCGACGGCGAAAGTTCAGACACGACTAAATACGCGTCAGTTAACATTTCAAGAACAGCAGACATGCCATGAGACGAGGATATCAAGGTATGGCAACAAATTCCAGACCTGTTGGCTTCGGCATTGACATTCGGCTTTCTCAAATCCACCGCGACAAAGACAGGAAACCACGAGTAAGGTCAGATTGCTAAGGAAGCAGTCTCAAGTGGACCACGGCGGGGTTTATCGCGTAGATACTCCGTACGGTCAAACTGATTCTATCTCGAGACTCCATGTATTCGCAAAACAGTCCTTTCTGAGACTAAGACGATGGCAGCCCCATAGAAAGAGACAGCAGACAGGCGCCACTCGATTGAAACATGAAGAGTTCTACGGGCAGAATATGCTCCGCTTCAAAACCCACCGCACGCCACGCCTGCCGCCCTTGACAGTCTGTCAGGTGTACTGTCAGGTCAGAGTAGATGTTGTGTCACCGCGATAACTAACAGGGGTCGCAGCCGAACCCTCGGACTTCTCGAGAGAAGCTAAGACCCTGGTGTGGTCAGCACCAAGAGCGAGAAGACGGGATGATGTGCGCACACGGATGGGATGAACACTCCTATGTCCGCGTCGCATCATCTGTGCGTCCAGGGGGAGGGGAGTCAGGAAGACGTATGCATGCACTTGTAAAATGCAAGATTGCGGATGTTTTTTGCTCCCTGCAGCGGGATATTGTATGCTTAAGGCTTAGCTGAGACAGAAACAAAGATAAGCATACCAAATCTCTTTCAAGTTTCTTCAACGTCGGGACGCACCACCACACCGTGGTCAAGACGCGTCGATCGTGTCTCTGGATTCCAAGACATCATTTAACGATACCCCCTTTCAACTCTTTTTCCGACTCAGGACGTCTGAAGGAGGTGGAAATTCCACCAGACTTTTCAAATGAAGACCTTTTGTCGAGCCCGTAAGGGAATAGGCACCAAAGCCGCATGGACAGTTGGCGTCGATTAGCGGCTCTGGTTCTCAGCAAACAACAAACGCCGCTCTTCCGATGTAACCGCTAACTGTATCATAAGAGGCCGCCGCGTCTCGCACCCGATTGCGCTAGCATTCGAGGCCGCCTACCCGCCAGCCGCAAAAAAGAAACTGGCGGGAGCGTTCCTGGGTGATGGGGTAAGAGTCCGTAGCTTTGACCGTGGAAATTCTTGGAGCTGTGCCCTTTTCAGTCTAGAGGAGGCGAGTGAACGACAAGGCTCGGACCTCCTCATCACAGCTAGTGCAATCCTCATATCCGCATTGACCTCGAACCTCTCCCTTCCCCTACGGCCTACAGGACGAGGAGTGGCTGTCTCTAATACCCTCACTCTCGCAATCGTCTGCGGGCTGAGAGGCTTCTGATTCCACTTGTTGTGTTTCTACCTCCTTCTCACTCCAGTCATTCGTTCGTGATCGGGGCCTTCCTTCATTTGAGGTGCTTCTTTTTCAATTCTAGCTTTTCTTACACAGCTGCATGACAAGAGCATTTGAGACTTCAAGCGGGCGTTCGCGGACTGTCGCTTGAAGACACAATTGCATATCAACATACGGCCTTACAACATACATATACCTACACAACAAAACAGCAGGATCTGGACAATAATGCACCATGGTTGATCAAGGAACCCAAGGGAGGTGGTACAGAATCGCGGGGAAACTTCTCAACCGGGGCCTGATTGGAGATATTCTCGGCACACCCGGCGCCATCGTCAGTCAAGTATTGTCGTCGCCGGCGACGACAACTCAGGAGAACGTCCAGGCAGAGGGTACACCAGCAGCAGCGGCAACGACACAAGCAGCCGCTGCGCCGGCTGTAACAACGGCTGCCGCCGCTCCTGTAGCTGCGACGACAACACCGGCTGCACAACAACCAGCTGCATCACCGGCAGCAACGACGAAGCAGGAGCAACAGCAAGCTGCTACAACACCAGTAGCTCAGGCATCAGCAGCGGCAGCGACGACATCACAGCAGGCAGCTCAGGCATCGTCAACAATAGTCGCAGCAGCAAATCCTCCAGCAGCTTCAAGTTCGTCTTCGAGTGCTGCAGCTGCTGTTTCGTCAACACCCGCTGCAGCTGCTACGACTGTCCCAGTAGCCGCTGAGAATGCGGCATCATCACCAGTGCTATCCCAGGCGGTCCCACCAGAGGCAACAGGAACAAGCGTGACCGGGGTTGGAGCGGGGAGCGCATCAAGTACAAGATCTGGCGTAACCAATGCTACGCAAACGTCTTCGCCGAATTACGAGAATACATCATCATCGAGCAGTCAAGGGCCGTTGGTCGCCACTGGAGTCGTGCGTAAGTGCATCTCTGCAGCTTTGCTCCATACGTATAGCCTTTTTTTTATACTGACTGATACGCAGTGGGCATCGTGGTACTCATGGGACTCTCCCTCTTGATATTCTGGTGCTATCGTCGGAGAAGGAGAGCAGCCCGCCATGTTCATGAACCCGTCGCCCTCGAGAGTCCTAGCAATGAGTACGGTCCGGCCTCGCCTTTCCGCGATCATGTCGACCAAAGTTACACTGAAATGACTGAGAATCGTACGGTCTCCAGCGAAGATGAATTCACCATTCAACACCCCGAACCCGGCTACCAGCCTCCTTCCCAACCGCCGATGTCACCTCAAATGCAGGACACACCGAGAACAAACCCATATGCAGCATCTCCCTTCTCATACGCTCAAGCACAACAATATGTTCAATCTCTAGCAGGCACAGGGACGTTTGGTTTCCCTCCGCCACCTCCAATCCCAGAGCCATCGCCTATTCGCATCTTCAGATGGCCAACTCGCTCATCTCGCAGCGGCAACTCTACACCTAGCGTCTTCTCCGGATTTCGCACACCCAAGACGCCAACTCGCGCTCTATCCCGGGCTTCTCGAAGTACTGTGTCATCTATGCTATGGCACGGCCGCAGAGACGTTGCCCGAAGAACCATCATTCGTACTCCCGGATCTCAAAAGTCGGCCAAGTCAGCGAAGTCGCGTACAAATATTTCTTCTCACAGCCCCGAGAGCACGATGCCAGAGGGCTTACATACTCCCATCCTGGATTGGCTTCACTGGATCCGAGGCCACCAACAGGTCGAGCCCGACCCAGAGATGAACCATCGAAAGAGCTTCGCCAGCACCACGGAGAGCTCGGTTTCCGAAACAAGCGTTGCAAGCACAGCTAGTAGCGGTGTCTTCTCGCCCACACTCCTTTCCTACCATCCTCCGGCCAACACGCCGAGTGTCACAACCGAGACCATTCAATACTTACCTCTGCCTTTATTCAAGAAAAGAGCCAGTGATAGTAATAGCGAGGTCACGGTGGAAGCGTCCGGTACGGTCCGCATCCCAAGTTTTGGATGACGGCACAATACAAAACTTAATGATATCCCATCTTTTGGGCAACAGTCGTTCATTGCATGGCTCAGGTGTTTTGGTTTAGCAACCTCTCTATTTTCATCCAGTAAATATTAAATCCGAACAAACTCAACCTCAAAGTGCCTACATCCCAATTGGCAAATGTGCTTCAACTCGACCAACTCAAGGTTCTGTGCCATCGATGATGACCTCTTGCTCCATCACTTTCCTATTGCGCCCAGGATAAAAGCACGCGTAAAAAGCGCACCCTGACACGAAGCCAACAATGCCCAGCGAACCATACATCCAAACGAGGTAAGGATCTTGCGAAACAGGCGCAAGCGCAATGCAAATGCCGGCGGCTATGCCAATAGTCAACCAAAATAGAGCGGACACAACCGAACGAAGACTGAAGTTAAATGACGTTGTCAGCAATCTAGTCTTATCGAGACCCCTGAGTCCAGGCGGGATTCCGGTAAGCTTACTTTTTTGGGGCCTGGGTGAAGGCTAACTCCAGTCCGGTGACGATGATGAACGCCTCGGAAAACGCCACGAGTATGTAAGCGGGGGCCTGTATCCAGACGTGGATGCTTTTGGGCGAGGAGTTGTAGATATAATGTTGCAAGACGCTGGCGTAGACCATGGATATGGAGGCGAAGAGAAAGCCTACGAAGATTCGTGTGACTGGATCAAAGTCGATGCGGTACTTGCGGAACATGGGATACACGATCACTGCGAATCTTCTTCAGTGTCTATATCGCGGAATCAATCAGCATCATGGGAGCATTCACTTACCATCCAAAAAAGGGATGAAAATACACAGAGCGATGGGATCCAGATTTTGCAGAAGATCATTTGGAGTCCCGTGCAAGGCCATCTCGCCCGCTTGAGAAATAAGATTATTCCAGATTTGGATCCAGCAAATGAAGTAGAGAGGGAAAAACAAAAACATCTAGGAGTCGAATCTAATGATTAGCCTCACGCAATACTCAGACTCAAACGAAAGATGGATGGACTTCTTGTCGGCTCACCTTGCAGCTTTTCAGGCCGCGCTGAACATCCATCACATAGCCATGAGTATATCTGGCCTCACTTGCGATTGCGTAGTTTTCGTTATGCCCGGACTCTCTCAAAGCCGATGGGGTCGCGTTGACGAACCCCTTTTCTTTGATCGCGATACGCGTTACTTGGAGAGCGTCAATTATTGCAGAGCCTTGTGGAGGAACCTTGACATATTTCTTCTGTCCCGAGATGAAGATGCCGGCAGAAATGATGATGGCACTGTGTTTGTCAGTGATCCCTCCAATTCTCTGGCAGTTCTGGCTCTTACATCAGTGGGATAAGGTATGCCAGCCAAAATGAATGATGTGCTTCGACGTTAACAGTGATCAATGGCGACAATGCGCCGATGTTAACAACCCAGTAAAACCTGTCTAAGTGTTAAAAACTCTGAAGTCTTTACTGGATAGGTGCTGAGAAGTGGCTCACCACATGAAGAGTCGCTGTACTGTGAGTTCAGGATCAACCAACACTTCTTCGCCTGACTTCAAAGTTCTAACAACTGGGTGTGAGTTCTGGTATTGTTCCGCACACATCGGCGTCACGTTGGCCTTGATACCGCCAGTTCCGAGACCAATCGTGATCATAGCTGCGATCAAACCACCAAATCCCGCGCCACTCGTAATTGATTTAGGTGTCGAAGTCGCGACGAGGATGATGAGGCCGACGATGTACACGGCACAGGCCGCGAGAATCGCCTTGAACTTTCCGAGGTACTGGTCTACCATGCTTGATGTCAGCGGTCCTCATTCAGAAGAGGAATCGGAGTGAGAGACTGAAACTCAATTCTCAGCGTACCTGCGATAATAGCTCCAATGACGGTGGATGCGTAAGCCCAGAACTTGAAGAAGTTACCCAACGCTGTCGCTACCGCTTGACCCCGGCCGAGGGCCCCAGGCAGGTCAGATGAAGGGTCGTAAGGATTGCTGCCAATTGTTAGAATCAGTCAATCATTTCACCATGCAAAGTCTTAGGTAATTAAACCTTGGATTTTGACTGTTCTTACTTGATGTAGTTTTGAATTGGACCGCTAAGTCCGAAGTACGTGAACCGTTCTCCAAGCTGAGAACGTCTGTTAGGTCTTGTTATGCTCGTGGCTTCTAAGCCTTGGGATTCAGGTACGTACTTCCACAACTAGAATCAACAGGGCGACAGCTGGCAGTTTGTCCGGAACTCTTCGTAGATCTTGCCATTGTTGTGCAGGCAACTTGAGAGGCCCATCAGGTTGCACTTGGGCCTCTTCTGGGCTAGTAATCCTGTCCTTTGCATCGGTCATTGTGAGCTTCAGCAACTATGCATCTAGTACCAGAGAATCTGAAAGAGGTAATAGTGACTGGTATCAAAACGGCATGATACAACTAGGTGGCATGTTCTGGAATCAAATACAAGATCAAGAGTCCAATACCGACCTTCGATGCTCCGAGTCTTGGTTGGCTATTAGTTCCTTGACTCGATCCGGCGCGGAGGGTAAAGCGGGGTCCCCCAGACACGGACAAGCATCAACAGATATGAGAGATAACGCTGGGCCATTTTCTGGAGTTTTGATTGGTGGCGTTCCCTGGCCTATCACCACCGACACTTGAGAAGAACGCCGCCAATGAACTCCAATACCGTGATCAAAATGGGGGGTTCGGCGGTGGTCTCCACCAAGATCGGCCAAGTGAACGCCGCCAATGGGATGTAAAGTCGGCGGCGGACGGGAATGAGGATGAAAGTAGGTCCTCCGGTCCGGAGATAAAGCCCGGAAAGTGAGATAACGGGCGAATCGTTGCTACTGTGCTTGCGTCTTCAATGTTTTCTCTCTCGAATTTCGCCCCAGTTGGCATATCAAAGTCAAGCTATTTGAGCCAAAAATCTGTTTCCTCAAGTCCACTGAGAGCACGGCAATGAGACTTCTGGTTAAGCATGACAGTTCCGAGGAAAGTCAAAGACTCGCAGCACGCACCAGGACCGGTCGCTGGTCGGCTTGCATTCTCTGCGACTGAGTATCCTGGCATCGACCCTCAATGGGTTCGACTATGGAATGAGCACGGTGGATCAATGGTCAGAGCGGATGAAGTTGAACTGGAACACTACCGGAAAGATGCAGTCAGATACAGCTTTACATACCCATCTTGCAGAGGTATGTTTAACCCCAAAACAAAATTGTTGTGAGAGTTGTGTTAAGAAGCAAACTCTTAGGCCCCGAAGTCTTCCATGTTGAAGACCGCAAGATCCCAGTGACTACACCGGGAGGAAAGGTATCGGTGAGAATATACTCTCCCGAGGGTTCCGGACCTTTTCCTGTACACCTGAACTTCCATGGAGGTAGTAGATATCCAAGCTGTGTTTGATGAAACTATGCTCATATTACACTCACAGGTGGATGGGTACTGGGCGGGCTTCAGAGTGAGGCTGCATGGTGCCGGCACATGTGCAATAAGTCCAACATCAAAGTCATCGATGTAGACTACCGCATGGGACCAGAACACAAGTTTCCGACTGCCATCTATGATTGCTGGGATGCGGTGAAATGGGTTAGTGCTAACTCGGATCGGGTGCCACAATTTCTCAGCTAATGGACAGTGATATAGGCCATCAAAAACGCGGATGCTTTAAAAATCGATCCGAAAAGCGTGTCTTTCGGTGGGCTTTCAGCAGGTGGTCAGATGTCAGCGGTACTTGCTCATCTTGCAAGAGACGAGGCTATAGCAATCAAGTTGCATCTCATGATTGTGCCAGCGACCGATATGAGATACTGTCACAGAAGTATCAAGCAACTCGACAAGTCGAATTGCCCATATGAGAGCGCCCGTTTGTACCGAGATCTACCTTGGGGACCTCTCGGCCGAGAACAATGGTTCTTGAAGTACTGGCTTGGGGAAGATGATGGTGAGGAAAAACGGAACTGTGCCTTTCGAAGTTTGCGCTGATCCCATGAACATAGATGAACAAGCACGACTCCTCAATAACTGGATACTTACACCGGTATTGGCGCCGAACTTTGCTGATTTGCCGCCTGCACATATAATTACTGCAGAGTTCGATCTGGAAAGAGACGAAGGAGAATACTACGGAAAGTTGCTCCGAGATGCAGGTAATGAGGTTTCGATGAAACGGTACACAGGAGTTCCTCATGCGTTCGCTCACTATAATCACCCTGAGCGGGGTCTTTCTAAGAGTTTCGAATTCATTGCAGACACAGCTGAGCTACTTAGGGCAGCCCACTATGACAACTGAGAGTTGAGACTCAGAAACTAGAACAGACTATTGGGAGATTTATAGTAGTCCCCAATAAAGTTTAAGCACTCATGCGGGTTCTGCTGCCTTGAAAGCTTCTTTGACGTGCTCCTCGAGGTGTAAGACGTCGGTAAGCCCTCGCCAGAAAAGAGCATCGATTCTCAGCAAGCCCAGACGCAGGAATGAAAATGAGACCACTTTCAATCGAAGACTCTGCCGTGTCGACTGTAAATCAGTGATCCAACCGAAAGCTTCCTGATGATTGTGTGAGGAGATGGCCATTGTCATTTGAGTGAAGCAAATCGACGAGAAGATTAGCTGAGTCCAAGACGGCCAGAAGACATTATCTGTGTCTGAGCTCAAGCTCTTCACGACATTGGATAGACCACGAGTACAGTCTCTCATAGATTGTTTCAGCTCTTCCGCCATGCTCGCTTCTCTCTCAGATAAGTTGTGATCTGTTGTACTTTGGACTAGTACTGGTCGAAGTCCAGCCCGCAAGATGATCATACGAACATACAGCTGGGCAGAACGTTGTGAGTTTGATTCCGAATTAGCCGGGCCCGCGATCGAGGAAAGACTTTGGAGCAAGGATTTCGTTAAGACGGAAGTTCTCTCGTGGTTGTTGGTCAAGTCATTGACACCGCGGACTGAACTATTGTAATCATTAGCATTGTGAGGAGAAAGGTCAAAGAAGATGCGCATCTCACTAAAGGCTGGTCAGCACCGTGTTGAGAGTTTCAGTGACAGCAGAAAACTGGAAGAGTTTTGTCTCATCTTGGTCCCGTAGTCCTGAACCAACAAAGCTTCCGTGTCCCACCGCGATCGTAAGCCAATCATATTGGCGAATTAGTGTTGGCGACCCCTGAACGCAGGCTGTCCAAGTATCGGCGGCGAAGATACAGAATGATAGCCTTTGTCTTTGGGCCCTTTGCCAATCTGGCATTGACCATCCCGAGGGATCCAAATGAAGACCCAGCGTAGTTGCGCAGGCAACCAGCCTTCCCAGAATGTCCCGCCTGTACCCCGTGTCTGCGACGAGAGGGTCTGCAGATGGGCGTAAAGCAAGGAGAAGAAGAGTCTGAGCAACCGCTATGCTCGGCGAGTGGATTTCGTAGGTGAGAGCCCTGTTGATGATTTGGCTCAAGGCAGGATAGGGAGGATTGTCATACGCAACGTCGACACTTAGCTTATCATCATGAAGCGCAAATGGTAGAGTGATGGAGTAGATAGCGGCAAGTAAACACGGAGGTGATAAGGACGGCTCTACAAGTTGTGATGTAGATAAAATGGGCCACTGGGGCTGAATAAAGTCCCAAAAGAGTTTGATGAGACGCTCGCCGACACGGGCTGGAATGATATCCTCCAGTTCCTGTCTGCTCACGTTTTCTTGTGGTTGATCGGAGCCAGCCTCTTGTCTGCGACGAGAGAAGATAGATTGTTGTGAGACGAGAAATTGGCAAGGTACTGGTTGGACTTTCACCGAGTGAATGGCAAGCTCCTTGAACCCGAACATGCCGCGGTCATCAAAACGATAATGACGCAGGAGGAGGGGATCCATGTCACCACTAAGACCTAGCAGTTGCGGGTGGGCACCTGAAGAATACTCCGCCTCCTCTGTTGAGCCTGGCAGACAAGGTGTACTTCTCGCCCATACGCTTGGAGAGGTGCTTGGAGCTTGCGGACTTCGGAACATTGCCTCGAACTCGGACTGGGTCGTGCTAAAGTTGAAGTCTCCAGTATAGTCCAACTGACCGAGCTCCTTGTGTGGAGACTGCGGAAGAAGTTGCGAAGGCGTTGGTGTTGTCGTCGCCAATGCCATGATGTGTGTATTAACATGAGATGAGCCCGACAGACCGACTGCACTAGGGCCATCGTCAGGCGTCAACAGCTTCTTCCTGGGCGCAGCAGCTTCGACAAAAGTACACTGCCGATTGTGTGAGACGCAAAGATGGCATGGCGGCGCTTGATCAATTCGACACGCAGTCTTGCGGGAGCGGCAGAAGTCACATGGGCGTTGTCGCTTGCTCATGTATCTTCGCTGTTGACCAGACATCCTGTCGAGAAAACGCTCAATGCGCCTTGGCTTTTAGACGAGGCTGCCTAGGAGAGGGCTTACGAGTCATCTACAATATCACGATGTAGAAGCAGCAAGCCAGTCTAAAGGCCATCGTTGGGTAAGATGAAGACAACATAGGGCATGTGACTGATATCTCGCCCGGATTGAGTGACGGAGCATGACAGGAGGAAGTTGCTGGAGACTCGGATCAACTACGCGCGTGGATCACGGCTAAGCCCAAATAGATGCAAACAGCTGGTGCCAGCTGGCGTGATCCTTGCCTGGGAGTTGAAAATCCCTCTTTCTTGTCAATAACATGAAGACATCCGCCAACCTCTTAACCAAAGGCAATATCCAGAAGAACCCTGAGATCTACTTTTCATTTAGATCGACCTGTTCTGGCTATATTGAAAGTTATTCCAGCCGAATAACATCTGAGGTGCATTTAAGTGAGGAACTGGGACTCGGGGCTCCAAGACCGTTCAAACCCTTGGACCAAGCAACTAACTAAGCACACTGATAATAGTACGGTGCCGAGACACCCTGGCAAGTTGACCCTGACTGAAGGTAGTAGATAATTGTTAGTTCAAAGACAAGAATTGGGACTCGCATATGACAGGATGAGCAACTTACGGCACAGGTGGTGCAGCCCGTCCATCCTTGTCCACCACATTGCGCATACTTCTGAACAGTACACGACGGCGGGCTTCCAGTGCCAGGAGACGTACCTCCTCCGCCCACAGGCGAGACAGGCAGCGCCGTGCCAACAGGTCCCTTGGCTGCGTCGCACGTAGATGCGCACCCGCTGCATGCAGAACCCGCCGTCTTCGTGGTTCCGACAGAAGCAACAGCGGGGCCGGGGACAGTATATCCAGAGAGCTTCGAATGGATGTTGACAGCAATACCTGGATCGGTCGCCTTATACGCACCGGGAAAGCTGACTGTGGCGGGCTTCGCCGTCCCTGTACCGCCCGAGACCGAGAGCTGGAAGCACGTCATGTAGAGCTGCGCTCCGCCTGAGGGTCCAGCAGCATGGAGAGCGATGACTTCTGCACGGAGAAGGTAGTCTCCATCGGCGATGTCTTTGCTGATTGGGATGTCCATCTTGCCGCAGCAGGTGTTGAGGTCTTTGGTGCCCCAATTATCGTCGTCGCCGGAGCCGGAGCCGGATTTCGCGGACCAGCCGTCTTGGAAGATTTTGAACCAACCAGCAGAACCGTCAGCTGTGGCGGCGTTGTCGACTTTGCTGAGGTAGACTATGACTGGACCGTAGTGCGCGCCGCCGATGGCTTCATTCTTGCAGCTTCTGTCGCCGTTTTGCTGTTCAAGCCCCTGTGTCAGTGATGATGTTTCCATGATACTGGAGGATCAATAGCTTTACCTGATGCATTTCAATGGTGACCGTTCCACCAGCCTTGACAGGGCATTTGGCATTTACGCCGCTTGTTCCTCCGACGTTGCATCTGATTTCGTTACCAGCCACATTGGTGACAGGCGAGTTGCTTTGGGGCAGTCTTGCACACTGCGAGCCTTGAGAGGAGGTCAGTCAACATATCCTTCGCCTCGTAGAGATGGACACGTATCATATCAACTCCATCGACCCAGAGTTGCTGGAAAGTGGCATGAGCGGCAGTTTCTCTGCCGGCGATCGCTACAATCGCTGCGAAGATGTTCCACTTCATGGCAACTTCAGTTGGCGTAAAAGACGCTGAAGCGGGAGACTTCGAGTTCAGTGAGTAAATATGTACGGCAGAGGGGCTGAAAGCTCTAGTCGAAACTTTTGTGTAAGAAAGTTTTGCAGACAAAATCCTCCTTCTTTAAGCCCGCTTTCTGAGTACTTAAGGTATGGATCGCGTGCAACACGCATCGTGGCAAGTGGGCTTCAATTTGAGCGCTTCCCATTCCTCCATCTTTCTAACATGAACTTTGGTCATCTCTTTCCAGATTGAGCCACACCAAATGGCTCGCGGCATTCATGAGATACGTTTGATATTGGTTTGGCCCTTTATTTTATGAATTATTGACCACGTGGGCAATTTGCCCCAGCTAGGCCGTCTCGGCACATTCATTGACCCAACCTTCAATGTCTTTAGCCCCATGAAGTCAATATTGGCATGAGAAGGCATTGGCCAGGAACAGAGCCCTGTCATGCTGGAGTAGCATTGAAGCATCATCTAGTGCAGCGTTGCCATTCAGAGCCTAAATAGCCGGTTGACCGGCAGAAGCTGCCGGCCAGATACCTTCCGTGGTCACCACAATGCGACGCAAGATGGGATCGGCTCTATCGAAAGTCAATCAGCATTTTGTTTGCCTTTCAGACGCCCTTCAGTCTCTTTTACCTGACGTCATTTTCACGCAGGCGGCGGCTTATGTTGAGAAGTACGCAAGGCAGATATGACAAGCGGAAGATTCACGCGGCATTGGACATGTTTGAGCTAATATACTTTAGGTATCTAACACTACTTCGTGAAAGAACATCTAAGCGTCGGTAATATTGAATACTGATTTTCGAAAGAACAAAACATTCTTGAGCTTTTGACTCTCAGACCATTGATACGTAAAGTAAAGTAATTAAAGCAACTAGATTTATAAAGTTCATAATTAGCGAGCTTCATATTTGATTGAATATCTAAAAAAGAAAAAAACTTCAACTACGTTATGGAATAGACTTCTTGTAAAGATATTTCGGAATTTAAAAAAAAGATCAAAGACCAAGTCTAAGGATATATTCGTATAGTTCACAAGCTGCAGTGCTTACTATGTTAGACAAGATAGTTTAGACTTATATATTACAAGAAAACTCTGAGACAACAGCTAGAGTTCTTGCTTCCAACCTTCGTGGTAATTTAATGCTCCATACTAGTCTGTCCACTGAGTAGAGACGAGCCGTATCTGACAATCGTTAGCGCCTGCACTAATTCGTGCGAGTTTAGCTTACATATGTCGCATCGATGTCTTTCAAGTCCTGAAGACCTAGGTTTGCCCCAGCCGCCGTGATCTCCTTCTTCATCAAGGATATAGCTCGCGAGATACCCTTATGGCCGTAGAAGTTAGCATACATGAACGGGCGGCCCATACCAACAGCCCGAACGCCGAGTGCAAGAAGCTTAAGGACATCGCTTCCATATCGGATACCTCCATCAGCGTAAACTTCGATTTCGTTAAAGATATTTGGATCTTTCTTGTAAATCTCCCATGCCACCTCGAGTGCAGATGGCGCGCCATCTAAGGATCGACCTCCGTGGTTTGAGATAAAGATGGCTGGAGCACCGTATTCTATGGCTTTGCGAGCATCTTCAACTGTCTGTATACCTTTGGGGATGATTGGTAGTGAGGTCAACGCCTGAAGCTGGTTGTAGAATTCCCAGGAAAGAAAGATGTAGCGTGGGTCACGTTCAAGGGTTGGGTCTGGTATGGATCGCCTTGACCGATATGTCGTACGGTCCGCAGTAGAGTCGACAGTCAGAACGATAGCAGTCATGTTGTTGTTCTCGATCTGCTTGAAAAGATCAACTGGCAATACGTCCGTGTCGCTGTCAAGAAGGATCTAGCAGGTTAGCATGTTCGCGGCAATGGAATAGTCTAAGAGACACCTACTTGCTGCCATAGAACCTGCTTTGGTTCTTGCTTGGAAGCAACGATCGATTCCATTGATAGTGTGGAAGCTTGTGATGCCTGAATGCGTTACATGAGGTTAATCAAGATTAATTGTTCTTGCGATTGACACTGCCAAAACTCACAATGTAGAGAATACCGTGATCTCCTGCACCTCTGACGAGAGCCGCCTCAGCTTCTTCATTCGCGAAGCCTGCATTGGCAAACGGGCTGATGAAGAATGGGGCATCGAATTGGTCACCGAGAATGGATGTTCTGACTGATGATTAACGGACTGGGCTTTTGCAACCACTCTGACATCGTACTTCATGCTGGCATCGATTTTGGTGGCGTTGACCATGACACGTGGCCGGAAGCGAAGCTTCTCGAAAGACTCAAGATTGTTCCTGTAGGACCATTCGCTCGCAGCTCCTGCACGAATGGAAGCATAAATCATAGGATTCATGAGCTTTTCGGCGACGTAATTGAAGTCGTTCATTCCAAACAAACGGTCGAGAGACGGGAGAGATCCATTCGAAGGAATCTGGAGTCCCTTCTCGATACTATTCTCTGGAGTCAATACAAAGTCATCATGCACAGTTCGGAAGCTTACCCGGTATCAGGGGCATCGAGAAATGGTCTACTGGCCACCGCACGGCCTAGCATACATATGAGCACCAAAAGGGGACTCATGATTGGTGCAGTCAAGTATGTGTGCGGTTTTCCTAGAAGTATGCTGTCTAGCAATGAGGTGTCCTTGCTGATATAACCTACGGTGTAACAGAATCGAAAAATCGAGAGTATTTATGGTCAAGAACATCGGCTAGAGTGTCAATCCAGCACAGCCTTGGGTAATCTCGTTTATGGTATCATTCTACGCACTCGTTCTCGCTTTTCCAAGTCATAAATCACGATTCGACCGTCTTTCGTTAGGAGAAGTGCGCTAACAATAGCCTCCTCTACATCCACAGTGCGGGGAAAGGTCGGGCACTCGAGAATTAAGCATCATGTCCCATTGAGGAGCTTGAATGCACGAATGGGCCAGGAGCCAATGTTCAAGTTGGTGCATTTCTTGAGGCAGATAGCAAGGCAGTTCTAAATCAAGGCGACCATAATCTCTTCAACTGCCTTTCTCTCACTTTAGAGCCGCAGGCGCTAATGGTGGCTTAGGTAGATGATGCCAAGCTCAAATGCGCTGCTCCGCTCGTTTTCGTTCTCGCGATGGTACAACGAATTTACCCGTCATTATCTTTCTCCGGTGCACACACTGTACATCTTCACAAGTCACGATGCAATTTATTCACCAGCAGTTTCATTGGCCCCGCCTCAATTCTAGGGTGTAATTTGCATTTCACTTTCCTGATTCTTTCCAAGCTTGTCAGTGGTTTTGAATGACTCTCGATGAAAAAAGAAGCCTAGTTGATCAATATCTCATTGTCTTCTTATGGATAGAGGAATTCTTTGACTCACCTCCGAATTTGGCTATGCGTGAGAGCAGATTTCACAAACTCCTAATATAAAAGATAACGGACTAGACGATTGGTCAAAATGGTAGGAATGCTAGATGATTTTTCAAACTTTACATTTTTCCCCTATCGTATAATACAAGTCAATATTGGATTATCTTCTTCTTAAGTCTTACGTATAGATTTGTCTTCACATAATCATAAATTGAAAGAAGCCAACGTTCTACGTAATGAAAACATCAACATAATTAACCCTAAAATTCAAAAAGCAGACGCTCTTATGAAGGGCGCTGTAAGTAACGCAAGATCTCCGGATCTTGGCTCGGCGGGCACTTCTTCCCATCAACCCCAATGGAAGTCAGCAAGATCGGGTCCTCCACCAAAGTATCAGGATGGACCTCAAGGCCATATGACAACTCCACCTTGGCGCAGCGCGCCGCATCAACCAGCGCAGGCACATCAATCTCATTATCTCCAGTGCCTGCCTTCGCAGCACGAATAAGAGCCTCTCTCTGTGCAGCAGGTATACTCGACACCCTCCCCGCAAGCTTGGAGCCTGGCGGCGGGGTTGAGCTGCCCCATTCGTAATTCATCGGTCGTAACAGCGCCGCGCCGGTCTGAAGGACCCAGCTCTGTGCAGCTCCCATGTCCTCGACTTCCTCCTCGGCCTTCTTCCGCCACTTGGATGGGAGGACCTTGGATAGGACGTGTACTGTGCCGAGGAAGCCTCGCTTGACGGCTTGGAAGAAGCCGTAGACGTACTCGTCGGGAACCTGCCGTATCAAAGCGCCTAATGGAATTACAAGGACACCGAACAGCATTGACCAACCCCATTGTGCGCCGTTTAGGGGGCGGGTGTCGAACGCCTGGCCACCCTTCCAGATGATGATCATTTGTCCGGCCAGAGTAGCACATTGCACGCCGATAAACCAGGGGTTTCGGAGGACGCCTTGGTACCAGATGTTGAGCTTATTATCGACACGGCGGCAGTTATGCTGGTTGAAGAACTGCATCCAGACGTAGATGTTGAAGATCATGGTCTGCAGTGCCTCGCGCTCTGCGGTCGTGGAGGGGTGGAAGAGTTGGTCTCCTGCGTAGTGGAGAGTGAACATAACCGCAAGCTGGTAGATTGCCTGGCCGAGGATCATCTTCCACATTGTGATGTTCACGATGGGGGCTGTGCGTGGCTCTGGCCTGCATTTGAGGAAGTCTGGCGAGGGGTAGTCGGTTGCCAGGCCAAGCGAGGCGAAGATATCCATGATGAGGTTGATGAAGAGTAGCTGAACGACAGTAAAGATTGAGTCCCCAGCCAACTCGGAGACGACAGTCAGAGTGCCTGCCGTGATGTTGATTGTGAATTGGAACTATAATCATGTTAGCATACCTTGCGCAGACTCGATACTCAGATCTCGCTTACTTGGAGGAACTTCTTCACAGCTGTGTTCACCGTCCGACCCCACACCAGCGCTTTCACAATCGAGGCAAAGTTATCATCAAGCAGAATAATAGACGCAGCTTCTTTAGCAACCTCGGTTCCTTGAATCCCCATAGCAAAGCCCACATCCGCGGCCTTGAGAGCCAACGCGTCATTGGTGCCATCGCCCGTCACAGCAACCGTCTCGCCCATTTTTTTCAGATGGGATACCAGCAGGAGCTTGTCTTCCGGGCTAGATCTCGCCAACACCTGAAGCCGGGGGATGACCAGATCCAGCTGGGCGGGGGTCAGCTTCCGGAACGTCGGCCCATCCATAGCCAAGCCGCCGGCTGAATAGATGCCACACTCTGATGCGATGGCCTTTGCCGTCAGAAAGTTGTCTCCCGTGACCATCCGCACAAATACCCCGGCCTCCTGGCATTGACGCACGGAACCGAGAACTTCAGGTCGAAGGGGGTCGCGAATTCCAAAGACACCGATGAACGTCATATTCGCAAAATGCTTCTCGAATTTGATGGAGTCGGGGTCATCTGGGTTCTCGAACGGTGCGTCGACATCTTTGTAGGCGATGACGATAGGCCGGAGCATCTGCTTGGCGTACTCGCGGATCGTCGCTCGTAGGTCGTCTCGTATCTCGGTCGTAACACTCTGAACGGCGAGGCCGGCCTTCGGTTCCTTAAGGATGTTGGTGCACTGGTCAAAGACGACCTCGGCCGCGCCCTTGACGAGAAGTCGATGTTTCCCGTTATGCAGCTTCGACATGACCGCCATCCACTTCCGCGACGCGTCAAAAGGGAACATGTCGACAATCTCGTTGTTTGCTCTCTCTTCGCTAAGGGCCCCATGGCGAAGAACTCGCGGCTGAACCTAAGCAGAGCGGTCTCAGTGCTCGTACCCACGAAGCCGGCATCGTTCGGATTGTCGCTCTCGAAAGACGTGGTATTCAGCGCGATGCTGTTTTTCGTCAGTACTCTCACATCGCCGCTCAAAGATTCTAGCAAGGCTTTGGGGCGTTCCTGGTCCGAGGCGTCATCGGTACTCAGGTCTTTCTTCATGTCATCCTTGCTGATTTCTCTTGGTGCGTCACCGAAGCGTTCGTAGAGTCCGATTCTGCCAGCGACGACCGTCATGCTGTTCTGTGTCAATGTTCCCGTCTTATCCGAGCAGATGCATGTAGCATTACCCATGATCTCACAAGAACGGATCAGGCGGACGAGGTTCTTGTCCTTGAGCATTCTGGTCGTGGCAAAAGCGAGAGCAAGGGTGACTGCGAGAGCTAGACCTTCGGGCACGGTGATCACGACGACAGTGACGGCTAGGATCAAAAGTTTGAAGAAGGTTTCGGCCTTTTCAGAGGCAGTTCCTCTCATGGTCGGAAGCCCGACGAGGAAACGGATAAACAGGATTAGGAAGAAGATGATACCCGCAATCGCACCAAACGTGATGAGTTGCTTCGCCAGCTTTCCGAGTTTCTGCTGCAGGGGCGTTTCCTCGACGTCCTCTCTCAGTGACATCAAGGTTCTGCCATACATCGAATTGGTCCCTACCGATGTCACCAAGTACGCACCCACACCGCCAGATACCGTCGTTCCGCTGAGAATGAAGGGGTCAGTCGCCGAGGATCTGTGAACTTTTCGGTTGCGGATGTCACTCTCGCTAGGCACATTCTTGTGCACCAATTCAGACTCGCCCGAGAGGGAGGACTCGTCGACCTGGATGCCGGAGCCCTGCACTAGTACTCCATCGACGGCAACGACATCGCCAGTCTCAATGTGCATAATTTCTCCAACCTGCACGTCGTATACGGAAATGTTCTGGGTCTTGCCGGACCGTATGACTTTGACATCCCTCTGCTCCTTTCTCTCATTGAGCTTCGCGAATCTGGCGTTCTTTTGCCAGTCCGTGGCAGCACTAGCGAACACAATAACCAGAATAGCTACTACAACGGTGACACCATCCACCCATTGGATGTTCGGCTCGTCATCAGATGCATCTACGGTTTCGTAGATACCAAGCGCCAGAGAGATTGTAGCCGAGATCGTGAGGAGGAACATGAGCTTGTCGTTGAACGCAATCCACGCTAGCCTCAGAAATGACTTTTGCTTTCGTTTCGGGAGCCTGTTTTCGCCATAGATGCGCCTCCGGTCTGTATAGCCCTGGGCCTCATGTTGAATCAAGTCCAGATCTAACTTGATACCGTGTTTGTGTTGTGTCGACGGAGGTTGAGGCGTGATTGCGGCAGCCCGGTGAGCCTCTCCTGCAGCGACAGCCTCCTCGAACGATATTGTGCCCTCGAGACTTGTCTCGTCTACACTGAGCCCGGCGGCGAGATCTGTCCGTAAGCCAGCTGCAAGGCCTGGGAGACCACCGAAGCGCCGCAGTGCTGATAGGTTGCGCGCTGTGATGAGCTTGTGGAGTTGCGTTGGCGTGAACGCGAATCTGTTGTTCTCGATCACGGTATCATCGCGGAGGTCCAATTCGTTTTCGTTATCTTCTAGCTGTTGTGCGAATTGCTTGCTGAAGGGGTCTTTTGATGAGGCCTGGCCTGTATCTGGCTGGCGCGGCGCGGCGGCCGTGATCTCGTCAGTCATCGTCTTGTGTCTCCAGTCGCCAGAGGAAGTTTGTTTGGACAGCGACGGGCGTGACGACAGACAGATGTTCAAGGTCAGGTCTCAAAAATGGCAAGAATTGACGAGGAGAAAAACAGAGACACGCAGCGCCAGTGTGTCCATAATTTCATGATCAGCAGGGGGGGAACAACAGTTGGTAATATGTTATGGTCATCTGGAGCCGACCTTTGGGGCAACGGCACGGATCTGAGAGCCGCGTCATTGCATCTTGGCGAATCTCACATTCGTGCCGAGAGAAATCCAAGGCTTCTCGGCACGCTATTAGGATGTTGACTGGTTGGGGTGGGTTGGACGATGTCTGGGACTAGGACTCGTTGCACAAGCCTTATGGCCTTGGGTCGTGGGGGATGTGGAGATCAACGGGCTTCGGGGGTTGACCCGCCAGGTAACTGAATCGGATTTGTTTGCGAGCGTACGGCGAACGGTGGCACGTGGACATCGGTGAGTCCGGGGTTGTTCGCCTCTTGGGATGGCATTCGGGCGCGAATGAAGCGGAGATGTATGGTCTTGGGTGACTCTTCGGCCGTTCGCGGTGGTCATCCGGGGCACTTTGACGCCGTCTTCTCGGTGTCGGCGTGGCTGTGTTCTTCGGAGGATGCGAAGGAGATGTGGATAGTTGCAGGGAACGTCTGGCCTCAAAAGTTGACTTGGCCCAGTTTTGTCAGCGGCTGTTCGGCTCATAAGCGCCTTGGCTTGTCTAGCGAGAGACTTGGCTTTGCCCCATTGACATCATTCAGGGTTTTGTTTGCATGATGTTTCGTTTTGTAGCTTTGTTTTTGGGTGCTGTACGAATTATGTGTTGATTCAATTGGAGTGGATCTGAGGTACTGTATATCAGTCGCTTGAGTAAAGTAAACTGAAGCACTCTGCTTCCTACCTCTTGAAGTTAAAAATTTACTCTCCTAATACAGCCTGAGCTCACCGTGGCTTACAGAGGCAACATCGAAATAAGCTCACTGAGACTATGTTGTTGTTGTTGTTGTTGTATTTAACGCCGTGGCGGCCGGGCTAGAGCCCTTACCGCAGACCTCCCGAAGGGTATATGGCGTGGAGGGCCGTGAGCCAAGGCTACCTACTCTACAGTACGTCGTCTCTTTACATCGTCCTCCAAATCATGCCTTGTGGCCACTACGCGTTCTGTCTGTCCCCGGTTCCCGCTGGTGCCCCAGTTTCATTCCTCACTGAGACTAGTCACCATAAGGTTTTGGTTCAGTGGAATTGAGTAACATGGAATACTCACTGGGCTGCTGAGGCCAAACTCAATCGATCTCGTCAATGAACGAAGAAAAGGACTCGGATGAAGACTTAAATTCAAGGGCAGACGTGATATCTTGTCGATTTTGACCTAAGGTTTTCTTTGACATGTGAATGGCTCCGACACACATGAGCAGCTTAACGACGCTCACCTTCTGCCTCAAGCATACGCAATCTAGCAGAGAAAAAAGATGATCCTAAAATTGAGGACTAGAATCAGCAACCATGTCTCATTCACGACGCCTTTTAGCTCGCAAAATCTTGATCATGTCTTTTACGCATGAAACGAGTGCTTCATTCTCTGATCTCAAACTTGAGATTCACCAAGCATTGGGAATACACCATTTTTTCGAAACTGATATCTTCATATTGTGTAGCTAATCGGCCTCGGACAACGAGTTGGCGTTGTCCGCTCGGACTAGACGTTGTGGTCACTAGTGCTCGGCCGCTTGCATACTAGGCGATGAAACCTAAAGCACGACGTACCTTATGGTGGCCACAATCTTGAACATCGACATCATCACATCACCATTCAAGCTGCGAATACGTTGCAGCTTCTTCAACAATTAGCCACCGGCATTACTTCTCGTTCCGGTTGGACTCGTAAGCAATGTCTTCTCCAATCCGTAATATTGCCATCATCGGCGTAAGTCCGGACCTCACTAGTCATGAGAGCCTCCCTTAGAGTAGTAGATCGATGATAAAAAGCTAAAGCTCCCGACCTCAGGCGACGGGCCAGATGGGCTCTCAGATTGCCAAGACCTTACTTGAATCCGGCTTCAATGTCACTGCCATCCAACGGTCCGACTCCACCAAGACCGTTTCCTCTGGAGTCAAGTCCATCAAGCTTGACCTGAATGACGTCAGTGCTCTCACTACAGCTTTCCGAGGCCAGGACGCGGTCATCTCAGCTGCGCCAGACCCAATCGTTCTGGAGAATCAGAAGCCGTGGATCGACGCTGCTGTCGCTGCCGGAGTGAAACGTATAGTCCCTTCCGAGTACAGCACCAACGTAGACTCGCCGCTCGCCGAGGGTCTGCCCATCGTCGTTGACAAGGTTCGCGCCAGACGCTATCTCATTGAGAAGATTGCCGAGAACGGCAATAAGTCGAGCTGGATGAGCGTCAACAACGGGCCCTTCTTCGAGCTCGTTCTTGGCTTTGGTGGGCTTGGTCCGAACTTCCGGAGCAAGACGGCAAAGTATCATAATGGCGGCGACAACTTGATTGGGACTACAAAGAGACGATTGCCAAGGTCTTGCGTGATGACGGAGGACTGTACAAGGAGGCCGAGAATAAGTCCCTGTATATCCACTCGGCGGCGGTCAGTGAGAAGCAGTTGACGGAGATGGCGGAGAAGGTGACGGGTCAGAAGTTTGAGGTGCAGAACTTTGATGTCGAGAAGGTCTATCAGAATGCCAAAGCCAAGTTCGCCGAGGGCGATAGGTCAGTGTGGATCGACTTTTACTATCAGATGATGTATGGGGAGGGTTACGGTGGAAGTAAAAGCTTCCAAGAGATGAGTTGGAACGACAAGGTCGGGTTGAAAACGATGAGCGGCAAGGAAATTGAGGATGGGCTCAAGAAGGCAGCTCAACTGGCTGGTATGATCTGATCAGTCGACAGATGGGTCAATAGAGATGTGATCGTATTGTGACAGTCTTCCTAATCGAACAAGTATGGCTTCAGTCCTAAGCCCAATCTGCAGATCCTTAACCCGTACGCCTCCGAGCCAAAATGAAAGCAGTCGCCTCAAAGCTTCGAACGACCCCTCCAAGCATGTCCCATCTCATCCTTGAATGTAGCAAGCTCATTCCTCTTGCTGTCGCCACCGTGGCTGACCTGCACAGGCTCCTCAAACACAGTTTTGCTCTTCTTCTCCTGCCGCTTCTCCGCATCAACATACTCCCGCTCACCCTCGCCAATGTACAATTGACGCGGGCGCCAGATCTTGACGCCGCCCTTTTGCAGCATCTGCTGCCTCCAGTGCGCCAACCATCCAACGCAGCGGGGCACGGCAAACAGAACCGGATAAAAGTCAAGCGGGAAGCCCATGGCCTGGTAGATGAGGCCAGAGTAGAAGTCGACGTTGGGGTACAAATTGCGCTTCTTCATGAACTCGCTCTCGCGGGCGTACTTCGCAAGCTCCAGCGCCGTGTCGAGGAGCTGGTTACGGCCTGTGACTGCGAAGACCTCCTCGGCCAGCTGGCGGATGGCTGTCGAACGGGGGTCGACGTTCTTGTAGACGCGGTGGCCGAAGCCGACGAGCACGCGCTCGCGCTTCTCGACCTTTTGCATGAAGGCGGGAACGTTCTCAGGGCTGCCGATCTCCATCAGCATGCGGATTGCACTCTCGCTGGCACCGCCGTGGCTAGGGCCGTAGAGTGCGGCGCAGCCGGCGGAGACGACGCTGTAGGGGTCAACGAGACTTGAGCCGACCTGCAAGACCGTGGCAGTGGAGCAGTTGACCTCGTGGTCGGCGTGGATGATGAAGAGCGCGTCCAGGGCGCGCTCCAGGACGGGGTGAGGCTGGTACTCGTGCCCGCTCAGGTGGTCGAGCAGGTAGAGGAAGTTGCCGGTGTAGCTGAGTCCCTGGGCCGGGCGGTTGAATGGTCTGCCCTGGCGCATGCGGTATGAGGCAGCGGCTACCGTGGGTGCCTTTCCGATGATACGGAGGATCTGCTTGTCGAGCATCTTGAGGGCCTCGATGTCGCCTGAAGCCGCGTTGGTGTACAGCTTCTGGCCCTGCAGACTCGGGTTCGACTCGGGCGCGAAGGCACCCATTGAGGAGAAGGAGGCTTGCAACATGGCCATGGGATGCGTGTCGTAACGGAACGACTTGAACATGCCCTCGATATCGCTGTGGATGTAGGTGTGGTGCATAATCTCATCTTGCCACTTGTTGTACTGTGACGTTGTCGGCAGCTCGCCGTAAATGAGAAGGAACGCCGACTCTAAGAAGTGAGACTTGTTGACGAGCTGCTGTATGGGGTAGCCGCGGTATCGGAGGATTCCCTCCTGGCCGTTGATGTAGGTGATGTTGCTCTGGACCACCGCGGTGTTCATGTAGGCCGGGTCATAGATTCGGAGACCCTGGTCGGTCTCATCCTCTGCGCGGTCATCGCCACGAGCGGCCTTGATCTTCTTAATATCCGTAGCCAGCACGGAGTTCCTGGTAATAGGCAGCTCGTAAGACTTTCCAGTGCGGTTGTCGACAATGGTCAGCGATTGTCGCGGCGCGCTGGTTGCGCCACGTGGCGCGTTCTTTGCAACGGTGACCATTTTCCGATGAGGAGCTAGGGTTTGATTCTGAATATTCCTGGCTTCGAGAGATGAGATGACAGTGGAATTCAATGGCTTTCAATAGGACGTTGCTTTGAGCCCGGGCGGATGGATTTCAGATGCTACGGACAATGTTCCTTGTCCGGAGAGCTTCTCCTGAGCAGGTGAAAGCTGCGCTAAGACCGTCGGTTGACGTCGGGAGATCGGCAACTGAGCCCGAGTGCCGAGGTTCAACTGCAACTCTCCACGAGTTCCACCAGATCCCCAGATTAGTGGCTGAAGCTAGCTGCATTTGCACATGCCAGGGATGGGATCATGGTCTACGAAGAAGCTTGCATCCTGGTCCAGGAACCACCAGATGATCATATTCTCCTCGTCGGACCAGCGGCGATGTTTGTGCCCTCAATGAACTCGGCATCATCCTCGAGTAGATATTCATTTTCTGGGCGATACTGAAGCCGATGGAGGATGCGACTCTCTCTCATGACATTTGATCCCAATGCATGTGATCGGAAGCTGTGACCAAACCTTACAGGGTGCTTCCATCGATGTACGGGGATGAGTAAAGGCCATGCGCTTTGAGTAAACTCTTGAGAGATGTTGTCCATGATAGGCAGTGCCGCAAAGAGAAGAGAATAAATGAGATTTGAGAAGGCGAAAAGGAGCGAACCCTCCAGTTCTAAACGCCATCTGGGAGTAGCGGCTGTGGTTATGGTTTGTGAAGTCACTTCCTAAATGTAGATCCGCTTGGAACTCATGTCGGTTCCTCAAATGCGTAAAGCATGCACTATTTCAAGGCTTACTCTGTTATCCGCTTTATGCGGATTGGTTTTTGAACAGTGGCAAAAGAGTTGATAGCACTTCGCTAGGTGTTCTAGACAGATCCTTGGACGATTGACCGTTACTATGAGTTTTTGAGCGTGTTGCATCTTGCAACGCCACGCGCATTCTGAATTGGATTAGTACGCCACCAGCAACATGAAGGCTTCAACATACGCTACACGCTCCAAATCACATTCGGCCATGTCTACACGAATCTCTACCTCGTTTTTCTTCTCTTCCCTCAATCTGCATGTGAGCTCCGGTGAGATTATGGAGGCCCGCCACCTCAATAGACTCATATTTGTAGAGAGCCTCCAGCGATTCATGTATGTGTAAGTCATGAGGTGACGGTAATCAGGTTGGAGGACTAAGAGATCGCAATACTTTTTGAAAGATTGCCGAGTTATTCCCTCAAGAGAGTTCCCTGGTCACATCGGATTGAAGATAACAGCTTGAAGGTTTGTTTTACCTACCTTGAGTGAGCCCTGAGCCCTGATCCATGCAATGATAAAAGTACGGCACGGGATTCTGAAGAAGACCCCCAGGATCTGATAAACTTAACTGAGACAGGCTTCCCCACAAACCCGCTGGTGCGTTAGTTACCTACTTCAAGCTGCACAGCTTGGGGTAAAAGCAGGGTGGTTCCTCCGCACTCCTACGCAGATCATCTCCGGATGTCCTCAAAACGCTCCGCACATCACTGGATTTCAACTTCCTTTTTCAATTCATCCTTTCAAACAATCTCGGGCTAATTGATCGCGCAACCACGCGCGCCAACGTCACTTACCAGAAGTGTGGGATTGAGGGGAAGAACATGCATCTTAAGCACCCCGGTTGGTCCGGATCGTCCTCCGTGTGGAGGAATCCAGGCTGGTAATTCTTCCGGGTAAATTGTTACAAAATGTCGCTTCTGCCATATTTTCTAGATACCCTAAATGCTTGTTTGAAAGCCTTGTGGGCCCCAGATTTGCACGCAAAACTCTCTGGATCAAAGTGAGCAAGATGATTTTGACACTTCTGTGCACCACCTTACTACCGGTGGTCGTGTTGGGAAGCATCGACCGGTTTGTCCATCTCTGCTAATTGATTGTTAGACCACGGTTCAGCTGACATGTTTAACTTAGACAGCGAGTTGTGTCTCAATTCAACGTTGTCCGCACAAGCTTGATCGATAACAACACCACACCATTGCAAGTTGGCAATGGCAACTTCGCCTTCAACGTCGATAACACGGGCATGCAGGTGAGTATCAATTGTAACCACACAGCATGTGTACCTCCAAGCATCCAAGCTGAAGCTGCGCACTCTGACAGACTTTCTTGCCCTTCAATACACTGTCAAGCTGGGCTTGGCACAACGATTCGCTTCCAACCAATGGGTTTGTCATTCTTCAGAGATTTTGACTAGGATAAAATACTGAGACTGCACCCACAGCGAGAAGCTAAGCGATTACACCGGCGTTCCCATGCTGACACACGGCCGAAACGTTTCCTACGATATTCCCGACTCCAAGCTCCCGCAAGTCTCGCAATGGCTTATTGGGAATCCTAATCGAATCAATCTGGGCCGAATCGGTTTGAAATACAAGGGAGAAACACTGTCTGCAGCGGCCATCGCAGACCCAAGACAAGAGCTAGATCTGTGGAGCGGTATCATCACCTCAACTTTCAAAGTCGACGGTAACGCCGTCAAGGTGGTCACACAAGGCGACTTCGCAACCGATGCCGTCACATTCCAAGTCGACTCGGACCTCGTGTTGTCCGGCGATTTGAACATCGAGCTCGACCTCCCGTACCCACCGATTCACACGACAAAGTACAAGTACGAAGTCTTTGCCGGCGTGTATGACTTCCCCTTGAACCACACGACTCGAATCATCAATAGTTGCGGACGATCCGACCTGGCGCACATCTACCACGACTTACAGGAGACGAGCTACTTTGTCAACCTGCGCTGGCCTCATGAAGCGCCTCTTAACCTCTCGCGGGATGAACCAGAGGGCTCTGACAAGATCAATGCTCATCGATACACGCTTGCTCTTGTTGGTGGTACTAACCAGACTTCGACTTCTTTGACCTTCACCGCAGACTTTTCACCTCAGAAGCAGGATCCCAGACCACCAGCTGATGTCCAAGAGGAAAGCATCGCTGAATGGCACGACTACTGGAATGAGGGCGGCTTCGTCGACCTGACCTTGTCATCGAACCCTAATGCCACAGAATTGCAGAGACGCATCGTTCTATCGCAGTATCATGTCCGAGTCAATAGCGCGGCATCCGGTCAATCGCCTCAGGAGAGTGGGCTGATGAATAATGGGTGGTACGGTGCGTCTATGCACTTATGTCCCATTCGAAGAGAATTTCGAAGCTGATTCATGCAGGTAAATTCCACATGGAAATGGTCATTTGGCACAATGCCCACTGGGTTACATGGGGGCGAAAGAAGTATTTCGACAACATATTCCCGGAGATCTACGAAACGCTACTCCCATCTTCCCTCGCAAGAGCGAAATTACAAGGGTGGGAGGGGGCCAGGTAGACTCAATTCGATTGTATAACTGGTAGACCTACGATCTGACTGTGTTTGTAGGTGGCCCAAAATGACGGAGCTAGAAACGGGTGTCAGTTCACCTGGTGGAATCAATGGTCTCTTACTATGGCAACAGGTACTGCCTCCAACTTCCAGACGCAGCATAATTCCTCAGCGAAGTGTTTTTTGCTAACAAGACAGCCTCACCCCATGTATCTCGCAGAACTTGCGTATCAATCTTCACCGAGCGATGACACCCTCAAGCAATGGGATGCAGTCTTGACGGCGACTGCCGACTATATGGCGTCGTACGCGTGGAAGAATGAAAGCTCGGGACACTATGACTTGGGTCCACCGTGAGTTTGATTCTCTTGCAGATGAGAAAAAAAAAGAAGTATGTTAGGCTGATCATGAATTCTTTTCAGCTCATACGGCGTAACTGAGAATACGCCACCTTCACAGACATTGAATTTGGCTTATGAGGTAAGTTAAGCCCAGCTAATCCACCAAAGCCCCTTTCTTACATCGATACACCTAGATCGCATACTGGAGATACGGACTCGATCTCGCCCGCGAGTGGAAGAAGAGGTTAGGTCATACAATCCCCGAAAAGTGGACAGAAGTAGCCGAAAACCTCGCCCCGCCACCACAAGTCGACGGTCTATACGCGGTATATGAGGGGTTAAACAGCACATGGTGGCAAGACCCAGCTCTCAACGGGGACCCGCGCAGTCTTATCATGATGCAGGGAATACTGCCAGACACCCCAGCCGTAGACCCCGACGTCGCGCTCAAGACGGCGGACAAGGTGTGGGAGGTGTGGACGGACCAGAAGATCCGCGGCTGGGGACGGCCGGTGCTGGCTATCAACTCGGCGAGGATCGGGAATCCGGAGAGGGCTATTCATCACCTGACGGCGTATGACTATTGGAAGTTTGACGATGCTGGATATGCTATTCGTGGTGGAGATGGTCAGTGATTCCCTATTCAACGCCCGTATCGTTGCTAATTGTTGATACAGGCGGCACGCCTCCCCCTTTCATGCCCGGAAATGCTGGGTTCCTATATGCAGGTAGGTCGTGATACTAACATCCGCCTTGGGCAACTTTGTATACTGACAATCCCTAGTCGCATATATGGCTGGTGGCTGGCAAGGGTCAAAAGGCGACGCACCTGGCTTCCCTCAAGGAGCCGGATGGGTTGTCAAGCAGGAGGGGCTTCAAAAGGCACCCTGAGGAGGCCATAGAGTATCAGTGACTTGCTCTGATAAATCACGTTTCGCGCCTCCTTACCTCAAAAAGGGTTCCAGACCTGTGCATGACCTTAACTGAGAGCAATGAATGTGGCCGATTAACTTTGAATAACCTGAAATGTAAGTAGATTACTGCGCTCGTTTTGCGTGTCCATCTACCACTCTCTAATCTCTCCACCGGGTCCAATGAATCCAGGACTAACCCAAGCCTTCGCGTCCTTGGACAACTCACGAACTTGTGCCTCATCAATCTCAATGCCCAGGCCAGGCCCGGTAAGTAGGCCAATGTAGCCATCCGTAACCTTCCAGACCTCCGGGTTATGGGTATAACTCGTTAGATCCTGGCCCGTGCTGTTGTAATGAATACCCAAACTCATCTCCTGAATCACAAAGTTCGGCGACGCAAAATCAACCTGCGCATTCGCAGCCAACGCAATCGGCCCCAAAGGACAATGCGGCGCCAGCGCAACATCATACGCCTCCGCCATGGCCGCGATCCTCCGCATCTCGGAAATCCCTCCAACGTGAGAGATATCAGGCTGCAGAATATCTACGCAGCCGGCCTCGAGGAACGGCTTTACGTCCCAGCGGCTGTGCAGGCGCTCGCCGAGGGCGATGGGGATCGAGGTGAGGTGGCTGATCTCCTTGATGCCGCCCAGGTGCTCGGACAGCAGGGGTTCCTCGATGAAGAGCGGGCGGTGCGGCTCCAGGGCTTTTGCGAGTTGCTTGGCCATGGGCTTGTGTACGCGGCCGTGGAAGTCAACGCCGGCGTCCATGCCGAGGGCTTTTACGGCCTTGACGCGTTCGACGGCCGCGTCGAGGGCGTCGGGGGAGTCGAGCCAGCCAAGGTCTTCTGTGCCGTTCATTTTGACGGCTTTAAATCCCTGTTCCTTGCGGGCTCGTCTGTTGTGAGTGGTTAGAAAGGCTGCGTTTACAAGGAGGCGATTGGTACATGTGGTTTTGTTCACTTACGCCTGTTGCTCTACGTCGTTTGGCCGGTCACCGCCGATCCATGCGTAGACCTTGAGCTTGTCTCTAACCTTTCCTCCCAGGAGCTGCCAAATGGGGAGTCCCAGCTTTCTCGCTATTTGCTGTTAGTCACAGCATCACAGATATGGCTGTATCAAGCCTGCTCACCCTTGAGATCCCACAAAGCAATGTCGATGCCTGCCAATGCGCTCATAAAGACTGGCCCGCCGCGGTAAAAGGTTGTCCGCCATGACATCTGCCAAATGTGCTCGATGTCGCTTCTTAGGGTCAGCAAAGTAAAATTGAATGGTGGGGTAAGTCGCCATACTCAGCTTCCATGCCCGAATACCTCTCAAACCAGGCGTCGAGACAGCCTTCCACGGCTTGAGTATGGCCCTCGAGAGATGCTTCGCCCCAGCCGACGTTGCCCGCCTCATCGGTGATCTTCACGAATAACCACCTGGGTGGCACTCGGAAGTACTCCATCTTTGCGATTTTACCCATGATGACTGGAGTTCTGCTGCCAATGACGTAAGTGAACTTTCGTACGGTGCCTCAGAAGAAGTGAGGTGTGAAACAAAAGGCAAGGCTGACAGCTTCGGTTGACTCTGATAAACAGACGCTTCAACCAGCTCACTTGAGGCAATCGTGAGCTGATATTACCATCACAAAGCGGAGCTTGACGGAGTTGAACGACGGGAAAGTCGGCATGAAGTCCGGAACCTCTCCGACCCGCCTCCTCAGCCGCCTCTCGTCTCCCGATCCGCCTCCGAATCGCATATCCCTCCCCCGTCGGAGAAGAGAACATGGGTATCACCCGGCTACACGCAGTGGTGGAGAAGGGTGGGATGAGGTGTGCGGGGTTCGGTACACCCTCACCCGAGTCCATTGCCAGGGGATGGAGGGGTGTTGCGGGGTCTTCGGTGTACGCTTTTCCGCTCGGTGAGGATACTAGGCTAGTGACGGACGGAAAAGGTTCATCGACGCGGTTCGCGAGTTATCGGTGGCCTGCGGAAACTTTCAAGATCTATCCCCGGTTCTATCAAATTGAGATTACAACGCTACGGATACTGGTTTATCCTCATGGGAATTCACAAAATCTATTATTCCGTGTCTATGCCTGGCCCGCTCTAATCTTCTTCTGCTGTGCTACCCACGTCTCTACCGCCTTCTTCAGCGTCTCCGGGTCCGACTCGCCAAAAATGTCTTGACCAAGGCGGGCTGGGAAGTTGTAGCGATGCTTCCTGTCCAAGGCGTTGATCTTCTCGAAAACGTCTTTAGGAAGCTCAAACACTAGTAAAAGTCAGTGCCTGTCAAAGTGAAAGTGTAGACACCAGCTTCTATGATCACGTACCTTCAAAGTTCTTCTCAATTCGTGAGGGAGTAACGGATTTGGGCAACACCACGGTGCCTCTCTGGACAGACCAGCTGATAATGAGTTGCGCCGGCTCCTTACCAAGGGACTTGGCCAGCTCAGCGATGGCGGGGTCGTCGACAGCACTGATGCGGATTAGTTCATGGACTTTACACAAGAAGTCTCGGAAGAGAACACGCAGGTATTTACTGGCCACTCACCGAGGCAGGTTGTAAATGTTGTTAGCGAGGGGGCTGTACGCCGTGACCACAATACCCTGCATTCACAAGCCCACAGTTTAGCGATCCTACAACGGGAATGCAACATCGGAGATTTTTTCCGCCTGGATCAATTGGACTCACCTTTTCCTTGGACCAGGCCAGGAGGTCAGGCTGCTGCAGGTACGGGTGCGCCTCAATCTGGTTCACCGCCGGCTTGATCTCGGCCTTGCCCCAAAGGTCCTCAATCTTCTCGCGGGTGAAGTTGGAGACGCCAATGGAACGGATCTTGCCCTTCTTGACGAGAGCCTCCATGGCCTTCCACGTCTCGATCACCGGGATGTCGATGACATCGACGGCCTCGGTGACGGGGTGCAAGGGGAAGCGGGTGGCATCGTCCTTTTTGTTGAAGGATACGGGCCAGTGAATCTAATGCACGACATTCTTGCGTTAGGAAAGGTAGATCAAGAGGGGGGAACGGGTGAGTGTAAAGCATGACAGGAAAGGTAAAAGATGCTTACCAGGTACAAGTCGACGTAGTCAGTCTGCAGGTCGCTGAGGGTAATGTCTAGTGCGGTCTCTACATCCTCTGCTTTGTGGTGGGTGTTCCAAAGCTTGCTGGTGACCTAGGAGGGGGGAGACCAGGATCAGCCATCTGATACCCGATGCAGTAAGTAGAAGGATGATAAAACTCACAAAAATGTCTTTCCTTGGGACGCCAGAAGCCTTGAGACCTTCGCCGACTTCCTTCTCGTTGTCGTAGACGGCTGCCGCGTCAATGTGGCGGTACCCCGACTTGAGGGCGTGCTCAACAGCGTTCTTGACCTCATTGGGCTTGGATTGCTACAGATTCACATGATTAATCAGATGAGAGTTTAGTGTAAGCTGAACGGCCTCGAAAACTTACCCAGGTGCCCAGACCAACTGCTGGGATCTCGTGTCCCGAAAGAAGCTTGAAAGACTGAGCTAACACCATTGTTGTAGAGCACGTAGGTAATTGCGGTGATGCTTCCGTGATCGGATGTAATTGTACAGACGAAAGTCAGAAAAAGTGCAGTTATCCGCGTGGGTTATGTTGGTCTATCATATGTCACTCCCAACACAAATAACATATTTCTCAAGAGCTCTTATACCCTCAGTTTGAGGCTGTCGTCACTTCCATCTTGCCTGCAAGATTTCCGCATCACACAATGAGGGGTGTCTCACACGGTCCGTTGGCACGGAATTGGCCTTATGTAAACCTCTTTTTCCGGTCTTTTCCTCCCGTCTCCTCTCCCCCCACTCAACTCTGCATGGCTCCCGTCCAGCAAGACGACGTCCGACAGCCGGGACCCGTCCGTGGGAAACCCTTTGCAACCTAGAGTTGCTAGTAACGGTCCAGACGGGATGGTGTCGGGATGTTCCCCGCTCGGTCGTCTTCTTTGGCGCAACTTGTCCCCACCCCCGCGTCATCACACCCCGAGAACGCCATCGAACAAGTCCCTCGCGGGATTGCCGAGGGACACCGAGACCGGGTCTGACACGTTTTCCATCGTGAACGTAAATTCTAACGAGGGGTCAACAAAAACTCACGATCGAAAGAGGAACATTGCAGCATCGTGATACCCAGAGTCGTCAACCTCAATCCCCCAAGTCTTTCTCAAGTGAAGCTCAGTCTCTCACAACCTCTAGCTAATTCACCCCTCTCTCTTCTTCACTCACAAACACACATACACATCGCCATGGCAGACGTCAGAGTACCACCCACGGGCGTCTTCGTCCCAGTCCCAACCTTCTTCCACTCCGCCTCTGATTCTGCAGGCGCCCTTCAGCCCAAGGTCGACATCGACACGCAAGTCAAGCACAGCGTCTACCTCGCAAAGAATGGCATCCGCGGCCTGGTCCTCCTCGGTTCCACCGGCGAGGCCATCCACCTGAACAAGGCCGAGCGTCACGACCTCGTCGCCGGCGTCAAGAAGGGCCTCGAGGAGGCCGGTTTCCCCGACTACCCCATCATGGCCGGCGTCTTGACCAACGGCATCGACGAGACTCTCGAGTGGCTCGACGACTACGCAAAGGCCGGCGCCCAATGGGGCCTGGTTCTTGTTCCTGGATACTTTGGTACCGCCGCGAACCAGGAGAACATCAAGGAGTGGTACACTGTCGTCGCTGACAAGAGCCCTCTGCCCATCCTTGTGTGAGTTCTGATCTCTCAATTGCGTGTTGCGCTGTGCACGCGCGAGATGGCATTCGTGCTGATTTGGCATAGATACAACTACCCCGGCGTCACAAACAACGTCCTCGTCGAGCCCGACACGTACAAGGACCTCGCCCAGCACCCCAAGATCGTTGGTTGCAAAATGTAAGTCAATTCCCAAAAATGCACTCAATCTCTACCCCAAGAACCTTTCTAACACGATGCCCCAAACCCTCAGGTCCCACGGAAACGTCTCCCTCCACCTCCAAGTCTCCTCCGACCCGCGCATCGACCACTCCAAATTCCGCGTCTACAGCGGCTTCGGTCAACAGCTCGCGCCCATCGTCCTCTTCGGCGCCGCGGGCGTCATCGACGGTCTCGCCGCTTTCTACCCCAAAACGGTCTCGCGCCTCTTCAGCCTGGCGGAGAAGCGCCCTGTCGACCAGGCCACCCTCGAGGAGGTGCAGCGCCTGCAGTACGCCGTCAGCCGCGCCGAGGACTTCATCGGCAAGACGGGCATCATTGGTATCCGCGAGGGTATCATCCGCAAGGCCGGCTTTGGCGCGCTCGAGGGCGGCCGGTTGCCGCTCAAGGGACGCTTGGATGAGGGTACTTTCAAGGCGTTGGATTCGCTCTTGTTTTCGGATATCCAAAAAATTGAGGACTCTCTGTAAGATACACTAGTAGCTTAGATGAGTTGGAGCTGTGGGAGCTTATGAATTGCATGATTGGCCATGATACCAAACATTGAGAGCTTGACTTAGCCGTCACGCACTATTTTGGTGCCACGGAAAAGCACACTGCTTGTTTCGCATGCCCGTGTCTGTCTCATGGTAGCGTTGTGACTAGTGGACCTTGATGCCGATGAACCCAGTGACCGGTCTATTCCCCATGATCCTGCTTCCTAACGCCGTCACTCCACGTTTCCCCGCGTCTGCTCTGGGGCCGTCTATCCGAGAGGTAAGAAGCCTGATGTAAGTGCTCGTCTGCTTGCGGATCAGGCCTGTGTAGTAGATAGGGTGTAGCTTGCTGGATACATGGATCTATGCGTGTATATAGGGACATGTGATCACCACCTTTAAGTCTTAACTTGACGATGCTAGTCTCTTATCTCAAACCATTGGTATCGATACGTTGACCAGCTCACAATGTCTACCAATCTCTCTTCTGAGCATGTAGACCTGCAGCCTTCCAGGCCACAGAGTATTGGGCACGGCATCGACGAGTTCAAGCCTAGTGCGGCTCAGTTCGAAACCATGGAAGAAGGCGACCCTCAGAAATTCAAGCTTTCCAAGGCCGGTGGGGATGTCGCCTTGGCACTCTTCGACAACGTCGGCGATGTGCACGACCCCATCGACCCGGAAGAGGAACGTCGACTAGTCCGCAAGGTTGACTGGATGATTCTCCCGTACATTTCAGTCTGCTACGTCTTTTTCTATGTAAGTCAAAGTGCCTAGCCTTCTTGCCAAGCACCGCCAAAAGGCTTGTTTTCTCCGTAGTCACCAAGATGCACACAAGTCTAACGTAGGCAGATTGACAAAACCACCCTCTCCTACGCTGCCATATTTGGTATCCAGAGTGATCTCAAACTCAAGGGCACCGAGTATAGCTGGCTGTCATCAATCTTTTACTTTGGATTTCTCGTATGGGCTCTTCCTACGAACTTCATGCTGCAGAAGTTCCCCATTGCAAAGTATCTCGGCCTTAACATCTTTGCCTGGGGTACTTTTCTCATGCTCCAAGCTGCGGCACCCAACTTTGGAGTCCTGGCCGCGCTTCGTGCCATTAGCGGAGCAGCAGAAGCATGTGCAGACCCTGCCTTTATGATTATCACGAGGTCTGTCAGCCCCAGACTTTTGTGAATTGAGATTATCGCCTATATCAGACGTCGCTGACGGATCTTAGCATGTGGTACACACGCCGGGAGCAACCCATCAAAATCGGCCTCTGGTACACCGCCAACGGCATCGGCATCGCCCTCGGCGGCCTCCTAGGCTATGGCATCGGCAACATCAAAGGCGCGCTGGCGTCCTGGAAATACGAGTTCATCATCGTCGGCACCTTATGCTGCGCGTGGGGCATCGTCATTGCCGTGTTCCTACCGGATAACCCGATCACGAGCAGCAAGCTTACGAACCGCGAGAAGGAGATCATCGTCGAGCGTTTACGCGAGAATCAGACGGGCGTAGAGAACAAGACGCTCAAGCTCTATCAAGTGCGCGAGGCGTTTGCGGACTATAAGCTGTACTTTTTCTTCATGATTGCCTTACTGCAGGCGATTGTGAATGGGGGAACGTCTAATTTCGGGACTTTGATTATCAAGGGATTCAAGTTTTCGACATGTAAGTCAAAACTTCATCACCGCTCAGCTATCCTTGATTTCTAACATGCCGGTGTAAAGTGGTCACGGCGGTCCTTCAGATCCCCTACGGAGCCATCATCTTCATCGCTATTCTAGCGTGCGTCTTCATCAACGACAGGCTGCCCCCCAACAACCGCTGCTTCGTGCTGGTGCTCTTCTTGCTACCCAACGTCGCTGGGGCGTTTGGCCTCCGCTTTGTGCCTGATGACCAGCAGGTCGGCAGACTGATTTGCTACTATGTGAGTGTTCGCAACTGTGAACCTCGCGCCAGACAACATTCTAACAAACCTCGCCTACAGTTGACAGGTTCCATTAATGCCTCATTCGTACTTCTCCTCTCACTCCAAACCGCCAATATCGCCGGACATACCAAAAAGGTGGTCACCTCGGCGTGCCTGTTTCTGGGATACTGCGTCGGCAACATCGCGGGTCCGTTCTTCTACAAGTCGGACCAGGCGCCAAAGTATGAGTTGGGTATTTGGAGCATGATTGTTGCTCACTTGCTCGAGGTTTTGGTTGTAATTGCGCTGCGGTTTTTGCTCAAGTGGGAGAATGATAGACGTGACCGGGTGCAGGGGGAAGTCGCCGAGGTTGATTTGGATGCGACGGCGTTTGGAGATTTGACGGATCGTGAGAACTTGAACTTTCGGTACATTTACTGATCAAGCGTCAGCTCTGCTGACTCAAAGACGTTCTGCCACAAGATTTGCGCTGTGAGTGTGCGGTCTGGGAGCAATTTAGATCACTGAAGCTGGGATTTATGTTATTCTCGAAATCGTAGCATTGCCTCACTCTATGGCGTAAGATACAAGGACATTGCGGTAGCCAAAGTTCCCCCAACTACGTAAATTAAGTATCAGCGTCTCTCTCAAGCCAACGGCATGAGAGCTTGATCAACTCATTTGCACCTAGAGTGAGATGCATCGCGTGCTGAAAAGCAATATCGTGGACTCGCTAACAACGGATAATGATCCGCGCAAAGACGCGGTTTTAATTCGGACGTAGTGAACCGCTGCCGACGCCGGTGCATTTGGCGCCGACAGCTAACTTCTAAAGTCTGCGCAGCTTCACCTTCACCACACCTCACGCAATTCTCATTGCGCTCACCAAGACTCATCGCAGCATCAACTACAACACTCTGCCATTATAGCTATATTAATCATGTCATCTTCTGCGCCTCACGCGAGACCACCGTTCTCATCTCTTCCCCTAGACCCTACAGGGCCGCCTGGAAACGCATGGGGTCTGTACGGCAAAGATGATCGCTTGGGGGCGCTGAATCTTCTCACCCCCGCAGTCGTGGCCGCAGCGGCAACATCTGAGATTCGAACTGGCCAGCGAGTATCGCTGGATTGGTCGTTGAATAACCCTTCTCAGCCAAGTTTCGACCGGGCGCCATTTGAGTCTAGACTCGTCACTCGAGCTCATCCGAGCGGCGAGAAGAGGACGGTTAATGATGATATCTTGCACTTTAACACGCAATGTAGCAGCCAGTGGGACGGCTTCAGGCACTACGGTACTCAACTCAAGGCTGCGAATAAGTGAGCCAGATCACTAACTACGATAACCTAAGGATACCAGAAGGCCAAACGGTACTACAACAATACAACCCAGGATGACCTGAATAACCCCGAAAACATTGGCATAGACGGCAAGTTAACTTTCGAAGAGGTGCATTCATCCTCACTTGTTGACTGACTTACGGCGCAGCTTGGGTCGAAAAGGGCGGCATCGTCGGCCGCGGCGTCCTCCTCGACTACGCCAGCTTCTGCGTCCGCCACTCCCTGCCCCTCGATGCCTTCACCAGCAGCGACATCTCCCTCGCCCACCTGCAACAGATCGCCGCCGAGCAAAACATCACCTTTCGGCCCGGCGACATCCTCTTCATCCGTTCCGGGTTCACGGCAGGCTACAACGCCAAAGACGACGCCGCGCAAAAGGCCGTCGCGGCGCGCGCCAGCCCCGACTTTCTCGGCCTCGAGCCCACGAAGGACGTGCTCCGTTGGATATGGGAGACGGGGTTCGCGGCCGTGGCGGGCGACGCGCCGAGTTTCGAGAGGGCGCCCATCGCGGGCCCGCATACGGCTGTCGGTGGCGTGTGGAAGGGCGAGGCGTGGGAGGAGGAGATGCAGGGCGGTGGTTTGTTGCATCAATGGCTGCTGGGAGGTTGGGGATTGCCCATTGGGGAGATGTTTGATCTCGAGGCTCTCAGTTCGACGTGTCAGGAGTTGGGAAGATGGACATTTTTCGTGAGCAGCGTGCCACTCAAGGTAAGTCTTGGATATTGTGATTCGTTCCCTCGATTCATTCTTCTCCATTACTCATGTTGGAGGGTATGTTCGCCTTGAAAAAGCGTACTGACGATTTGTTTCCACGTGTAGGTTCCGGGCGGTGTTGCCAGCCCTCCCAACGCCGTTGCCATCTTCTGATCCCAGAGTCACATAGTCTTGGGATGGTCATGCTACTTAGAGTTTTGGCCACGTTTTGTGAGAATAATAGAGTTGCTTTGGTGTTCTAGTCTTCTTCACCTCGGTGTACCTTAGCCTTAGTGTTCGGGAGTGTAATCAATGTGTCAATGTTCCATTTCTGGCCTTCCCCGATGATGGGATGTTGCTGGTTCGCTTGGCTTTGCTCGGACTTTGCGGCTGGTTGGCGCGTTTGCAGATCCCTGGCATTTTCAAAATTAGTGGTCTGTCGTCTCTGTAACATAATTCTTCGTCTCTCTGAAATTCAAGAGCTTGGCGAGTTGTCAGCACATCATCGTTTAGAGAGTCCTCTAATTCGAATTGGTCACTCGTCATCTCGTGTTACTCTCATCCAGTCTCAAGTGTTAAGACCCCTAGCTCTGCTAGCATATGCCATGTAAGTTGTGAGCCCCAACGACCATTCCCCCAACCATTCAACTCTGTATACCAGTCTAGATGATTCGACTCGGGGGTAGCAGGGGAGCCTCCCCCGCAAGGAACCATCCATCACCCACAAGGATCCTAATCCAGACCGGACCAGCAAGGCGAGATCAGGCCTAGGGGGCCACAAAGGAATTAGGAGGCAGACTAGGAAGACGGGGACCGGCCGGGTACCCCGCATTGTCTTTCCCATTCCCAAAAGGATTAAGAATGAGGTGACATTTCCGTCTTTCCACGTCCGTCGCCTGTGGTCCCCCTCTCTTCCCCCTTCCCTTCCCATTCACTCGACCATGTTTCCGTGTGTCCAGCTCCAGCAGCAGGATCAGGGGAGTCTGCCGCCAAATTGCCGCCGCACTACGGAGTAAGCCTCCCTTCCCAGGGACACGGCAAATGGACCTGGACACCGACCAAGGCGACTCCGGTGTCGGCATCGGCACCGGTAGCAACGGCAACGGCAATGCCATGGTGAATGGAATCCATCACCCCGGCGTTCGCCGCCATTCCCACTCACACCATAATGGGGGAGGAGGAGGACGTCTTGGTAATCACAGTCACGGCAATGGAAACGCATCGTCCAGCGGCAACGGAACCGGGAACGGCCGTCACGGCAGCACCAGCAGCAGCAGCATTCACGTTCACAACGAGAACGGCAACGGCAATGCCAATGGAAATCATAACCAGCAGCTGGCATCTCCGCCGCTCACACATCCGTCGAATCCGACCCCTCTGACGGAGAGCGGGAGACGTCGTCGGCACCGCGACAAGGAGCGCGTCCGCGTCACCCGCGCCTGCGACAGGTGCAAGAAGCGCAAGATCCGCTGCACAGGCATCCAGCCCTGCGAATTGTGCATCCGCACCGAGTCCCACTGCACCTACAACGCGTCTTATGCACGGGGTCGTCAGCCGCCCGTGGCCACTCGGGAGGATGTCGCCCGAATGGACCTCGATGGTCTCGACGTCTCCGTGTCGGACCATCCCAACGCTGCTGCTGCCGGTGAAGATGCGTTGATGGGCTCCTCCATCGTCGTGGACGTCTCTGACCCCGGTGATACTGACCATCAGGACGAGACCATCATGAACGGCACAAGTCTAGCCGTCGTTGGCAGCGTCGGCCCCGGAACCGCTGAGCCTCCCTCCCGGGCCTCTCCTGAGCCAACTCAGACGGATCTCCAGGGCCACTATGTCGGCCCCTCGTCTGGTGTCTCTTTCCTGTTGAGAGTCCAGAAACGCCTTCACCAAGCCGTCTCCTTCTCACAAGCCTCCTCCATCTTTACCTTTGGCGATGCGCCGCTCCCAGACTTTGACCCCAGCGGCGCCTTCTGCGTCCTGCTGTCCAAAGAAGAGGCCACGACACTCTTGAATAGATACTTTGAGTTCGCCGTGCCAACGCATCGCTTCCTTCACCGTCCCACCGTAGAGGGATGGCTGAAGGAGTTCTACGACACCATGGGTGCCATGAAGAGCCAGGAGGACGCACCGGCCCGGAGAGCCCTGCTATTTATGGTGTTTGCTCAGGCGCAGGAGTACATGGGCACCACACACTCGCGTGAGAACGCAGACGCAAGGCAAGTTTGTTAGAACCCCTGCGGAGGACACATCTTCCGTCCAATGTTGTTTTACACCGTCGTCGTCGCATGTTACCATCCGTTCTTTACAAGAACTAACACGTGAGGACCAGCGCTCGATACTTCTTGGCTGCAGATCACCAGCTTTCCAAAGAGAGAGGTGCCGTACGCCTGACCAGCGTCCAGGCCCGGCTATGCCAGTGCTTCTGGCTGCTGTCACAGTCTCGCATTAACCACTGCTGGAGCTTATTCGGCACCGCGGGACACCTTGCTCTTGCCATTGGTCTGAACCGCAACAGGCATGCGGACCCGGCAGGGGGATACAACTACATTGAGCTCGAGTGCCGCCGTCGCACGTTCTGGTGCGCTTACAGTCTCGACAACTATCTCAGTGCCGCACTTGGACGTCCACGAACGTTCCATGATGAGGACATTGATCAGGAACTCCCATCGTGTTCAGAAGACGCGGATCTTCATGCAGACCACATCACTCCCCGTATGGGCCGGGGCCAGTCACTCATGCTGGCTCCGGTGGCTCATGTTAAGTAAGTGATCCCTCACATTCCCTCTCTCGTTCTCGGTACTGACTTCAGTCCAGGCTCTCACGGATAGTGAGCATGATCTTGCGTGACCTCTACTCTATACGACCGTCGTCGTTCTCAAATAGATGTGCTTTGGCTGCGAAATACTCTCAAAATCTGAAGCACTGGAGGGCCGAAATGTCGCAGTTCTTAGATGACGGCGTCAACACGGCATTGCTCATTCCCATCTTCCAACGCCAACGCAACGTGTTGAACTTGGCGTACTGGCATGCTATGATCCTCACACATAGACCCTTTTTGCTAAGTAACTTCGCCCGGCTGCAGCGAAACGGCAAAAGCCGTCGGAAGAGTGTACCTCACAAGGACCAGACGGAAGAGAGCGTCAACGCTTGTCTCGACGCTGCGATGCACGTCGTTGACACCGTCAACGATCTAATACAGGCAGGGCAGCTATTCCGTGCTTTCTGGGTAGGGTCCTATCAACACTCTTCATCGGAAACCCTATGCTAACTCCAAGCCACCTGCAGTTCACTTCCTACTTTGCCTTCTCAGCCGTCGTTGTTCTCTATGTATATACCATCCAGCAACGAACAGCCCCAACAGAGGCATGGCAGGCCTACTTCAACACGGCGTGTCGCTGCCAGACTCAACTTGCCTCGCTCGCCGACAACGAGTCAACGCTAGCGGCGCGGTACTGCCTCGTCCTCGAAGAGCTGAGAACCGAGGCGCTTCGACAGACCGAGCGACACCAGAGTCCGGCTGTAATCCATCAGACGGGACAGAACGGCGGACAGATTTCCCGCGCCACTATTGTTGCTGCTGGAAACGAAGATGTTCAGCCGCAGCATGAGCAGCACCACTTGGCCAATCTCAACTTCCCTGATGTGGGACACGCAGACGAGTTTGTTGGGTTTGATGCGAGCCCGAGCAGCTCTCTGGCTGATATGACGAGCTGGGGCCAATTTGACTCCATGGTAAGTGATATCTGTATGCTCCAAGGCACAATATCCTTGTCGGCGTATTAACATCTGCGTTAGGTCACTTCTGGGTTTGGAGGACTCGAGGCTTTACTCAATGACGACTCTCTACGATTCTAACGACTATTGCTACCAAATTGTTCAAGTGTGGATCCGGGCCAACATGTCAGCTATCCTTATTGCATCTTGCAATCACTGCGGCGTCCAGGAATGCACGGAGTTCATACTTGTTTTCCCCACTGCCATAGTACTTTGTATTTTAACCTGATGAAATGCAATCAAAGTCTCAGAAGTATGCCTCGTCTGTTCATGGAGTACGTTTATACAAGATACTGCTACCTACTCGCAACTGAGTATCTACGACGTAGCCGCCTGAAGACCCTCGAGAATAGCCAAGACGCCCTCAGCACCCGGGTCCGGCACCTTACCCCAAGCAGACTCCTCAACGTAAACCGCACGACCAAGAGAAGCCGCCATGCCCTTGGTAGCCTCAACCCCCTTCCTCGCTGCCTCAACCGCATCACCCACGCTCCCCGAGCTCTCCAACGTCCTCACAAACGGCTCCAACGCATCAATCAGCGTCCTGTCCCCTTGCCTAGCCGGCGTAGCCTGCTGCAGCGTGTCCAGGGCTCCGACGGCAACCTTGGTCCATGCTGGCAGGTCGAGCACGCCCGCGCTGGCCTTGCGCAGCTCCGAGGCCAGCGCCGCGAAGAAGATGCTGTAGATGGCGCCCGAGGTGCCGTCCATGTTGTCCTCGATGACGTTGGTGAGGTCGATGGCTGTGCGGACGGCGTCGTCGCTGACGGAGGACGAGTCGGCGTACTTTTGGACGGCTTTTGCGCCGCGGGCGAGGGTCACGCCGCAGTCGCCGTCGCCTACTTGGGTGTCGTGGGCTGTAATTTGAGGTTCGGCGGCGTTGATTCTCTTTGCGGCCTCGGAAACGACCTTTTTGAAGGTTTCTACGTTGACTGGATAGACGTAGCGGCTCTAGTCAGCAAACGAGGCACTTAAAGTGCGATCCCGAGAGGTTTGAGACTTACGTTGCACGCCGCTCTTGGTGGCATCCTGAGAGTCGTGTCCTGAGTCGCTGCTCTCAACAAGGCGCTGCTTCACATCTCCGCTGGTCTCATCGCGTGGCGAGTAGGCCCAGCCGATGGCATTTGTGCTGGCGTCAATGTGCTTCAGAATCTCGGGGTTGGCCTTGAGGAGAGTGATGCTGAAGCCGGGTCCGTTCAAACTCGTCATGTAAGTGCCGGAGATGACGCGGGCAAGCTTGATTCCACGATCACCTACGCACTATTAGTATAGTGTTCTAAGCTTGTTTAATCACGTTCATCTTTGACGTACTCAAAGCGTTTGTGACCTTCGCGGTGATGCCACCGAATTCAAGTGGCGAGACACCACCCAGGTTGTTTACCAGAAGAGCGACGTCCTTGGCGTCAGAAAAGTCGACGTATGCCCTGTCCGAATCGTTGGTATCAAGAAGCTGTGTGAGCATGGCATCGATGAGCTGCGAAAGCTGCGGCCGAGGCTTCAACACCTGACACCCAGGCTCATTATGAATACCCATGCCCAACTCAACCTGGTCCTCAGTCGACGCCGCAGCAGCCTCCCGACCAGGAATATGGACATGCTCTAACGACGCGCCAACAGTCACCAAGCCCTCCGTCACCGTCTTACCCAACTTAACCACATCCGCCAGCGACGCGCCCGTCTCCTTGTACGCTCCCAAAATCTTGTGCACGAGTACCGTGCCAGCCAACCCGCGCCGTCCGACCTTGCCGCTCTTCTTGCGGCCGACGGAGACGTCATCGCCCACAATTAGAACCTCGACGGGCACGCCGAGCTGGGCTTTGGCCTTCTCGGCCGCGAGGTGGAAGTGGAAGACGTCGCCGGTGTAGTTCTTGATGATGAGGAGAACGCCGGCGGGGCTGGCTACGCGGCTGATGCCCGAGAGGATCTGCGCGACGCTGGGTGAGGCGAAGATGGAGCCTGAGACGGCAGCTGTGAGCATGCCGTCGCCGACGAAGCCTGCGTGGGCGGGCTCGTGGCCTGCGCCGCCTCCTGAGAGGAGGGAGACGTGTCTGGGGTCATTTTTATTGAGCCAGAGTGCTGTTGATCTGAGGTTAGTTCTGCCACTTACTCTATTTCTCAATGCTGGTAGTGACTAGGCCGGGGATAACGTCTCACTCACTCTTCTTTGACTTGTCCAAGATCAGACCAGAACTTTGCAGCACCAAACTCTCGAGGGCATCGAGCACAAGGTCCTCTGCTTCATCGTAAAAGTGTTTTGACATATTGACACAGGCTATACGTGAATGATCCTTTTCAAGATATCAACAAAGATACCAACATGAAATCGTTTCAATCTTCTTCCAAACGTCTAAAAACTATCGTCTCATGGACATCGCTCATAATAAACGTTCCTCTTTACCCCGCCATAGCAAACACCCTCACCCAGAATCGTCCGACACCCCGCGTCTCCCCCGCGTGTTCCTCCCCTTGGCAGTCCTCCTCCAAGTCCCTCCAAGAGCTCAAAGCCCATGTAGCTGCCGTTAGTCGGATATACTGCAATCCCGTCACGAAGCAAACAAGGTAACGATGGAAACAACGGACATCCCACCGGCCGGCAACCTCTCACCGGAGAAGTGGTCCGTGCATCCCGGGCTGTTTGCCGTTGTTGCTTTTCCGTGTCCCCTCACCTTGTGTAAGTGGCTTTTCCGTCCCGGTTGTCTCGGCACGCCCAACTCGTGACCTTGCCGCTGCACTGGCTAGGCGACTGAGATGGTAAGGTAACGGCTGGCTGCGTCTGCGTTTCTTGCCACTATGAGGGGTGGGAAAAGGTACCAGAGTATGGAAGAACGGGAATACGGTCATACCGTAGTAGGAAAAGAAGGCTGGAATGGAGGGTATGGATGGGCGACTGAGCTCAGTGGACGGACGGAACCGCTGGAGAAGAGAAACCCGGCGTGTTCGTACATGGATATGGTTGCGGGTGTGATCTGGACGGGACTAGTTTGGATGAATGGATGATTAAGATGACAGGCTTTCCAGACCTTTTCTAAAAGAACAACTCAAGTCACTGCTCACTGGCGGATGAATTAATCAAGTACTTGGATTGACAAATGTGAATAATCATATCAAGCGTTGTACTCGCTCAAAGTCAAGCTTCTTTCGTCCTTTTTTTCCACACATCTTTGACAACCTCACTCGTTGCTTATCCCCATCCATCACCACCGCCCAAATCGTGGCGTCCTTTTCAACATGGCTATCCACACGGAAGGCGTGATTCCGCGGTCAATTCTTACGTCAGAGAAGCCCACTGTCGAGATCGTGGAGACTGTCAAGCCTATTGAACTCAAGACAGTTACCGACTTGCTTCTGAAGCGCGTGGAAGAGGCACCAGATGTCGATGTCCTAGCCTACCCCGCTACGGCGCGCGGCAGAGACGACTATGTCAACTACACAGCCAAAGACCTCGATCGCTTCGCCGACGAGGCTGCGCGCAAGTACGCCCAGGCTGGCCTTCTCCCAGCAGTATGTACCAAAACTCACCGAGGCACCCCCCTCACCGAGCAACCCCCTAGTCGGCGTACAGGAATCCGCAGGTTAACAACGACTAGAACCCTTCGTCAAACCAAGCAGAGGTTGTTGCACTCCTAGCAAACTCGGACATCAACTATGTCGTCTCCATGTTCGCCCTCTCGAGAATGGGCTTCGCCGTGCTCTACCTCTCAACACGTCTCTCCCCAGAAGCCTACGCCAACCTTCTCAAGAAGACAAACTGCAGCAGAATCGTCATCTCGGAGCGATACAGCGACATGGCGGCCCATATCAACGCTGAGTCGCCCATCACCACGTTCAGCATCCTCGACAAGGCCGACTACGACCTCCCAAGCCCCTCGGGCGACCGCTTTCCCGTCTTCACGCACCCCGACGCTGGCAAGCGCATTTCCTTCATCGTGCACTCGTCCGGCTCGACCGGTCTGCCCAAGCCCATCTTTCAGACGCACGCGGCTTGTATCTCCAACTACTCCAGCGGTATTCCCTACCGCGCTTTCCTGACCCTGCCGCTTTTCCATAACCACGGAATCTCGACGCTGTTCCGCGCCATTGTTGCCGGTCACAGGATCGCCATCTACAATGCCAATCTGCCCCTTTCGGGAACCACGCTGGTTAAGGCCATGAACGCCACGGAGCCCGGCAGCTTGCACTGCGTGCCCTACGCCCTGAAGCTTCTCGCGGAGACGGAGGGAGGTATCGAGGCGCTGCAGAGACTCAAGCTTGTATTGTACGGCGGCAGCAGTTGCCCCGATGATTTGGGTGATCGACTCGTTGAGGCGGGCGTGTACCTCGTCGGGCACTATGGAGCGTGAGTTGTCCCCGTTTCTAGCCCATATGAATACCCCTTACTGAGTTTGGCAAAGCACCGAGATGGGCCAGCTCATGACCTCGTTCCGTGAGCCTGGGGACAGATACTGGAACTACATGCGGCCCTTGGCCTCTGCCAAGCCGTGGCTGCGTATGATTCCCATTGCAGGCGACGTCCACGAGTGCGTCGTTCTCGACGGTCTTCCCTCAAAAGTTATGTCCAACTCGGACGACCCTGCTCCCAACTCCTACCGCACCCGCGACACCTTCGTTCCTCACCCCACGATCCAAGACGCCTGGAGGTACCTAGGCCGTCTTGACGACCGTGTGACCCTGGTGAACGGCGAGAAGGTCCTGCCCATCCCCTATGAGAACCACATTCGTGAGCACGAACTCGTCCAAGAAGTCGTCGTCTTTGGCGTCGACAAGTCTATCCCCGGCCTCGTCATCATCCCCAGCGAGAACGCAAAGGGCCTCTCAAAGGCCGACGTTCTCAAGACCCTAAGCCCCGTCATCGAAGAAGCCAACGCCCGAGCCGAGGCATTTGGTCGCGTTTCCCCAGAGATGATTGAAGTGGTAGACATTGGCACAGAGTACCCCCGCACCGACAAGGGCACCGTTATCCGCGCCGCATTTTATAAGCAATTCGCAGACCTCATCGAAGACGTCTACAGGCGCTTCGAGGCGCCCAAAGACGACGTCGCCGGCGGCGAGCTCCTGACTCTCGACCTGCCCCAGCTCCAAGACTACCTCCTCAACCTCTTCCGCTCGACGTTGGGCTTCTCCAAGGTCGAAAAGGACACCGACTTCTTCGAGGCCGGCGTCGACAGTCTCCAGGCCAGCACTGCGCGCGGCCATATCCAGCGCGGCGTCGACCTCGGCGGCAAGACCCTGGGCCAGAACGTCGTCTTTGAGTACCCCAACGTCCTCTCCTTGTCGAAGCACGTCTACGCCCTCCGCACGGGCGAATCCGTAGATGCCGAGGACGAAATCGAGGTGATGAAGAAGCTCATTGCGAAGTACTCTGACTTCTCCGAGCGCACGCCGGGCACAATCACACCCGAAGGTGAGACTGTCGTCCTCACCGGCGCAACGGGCTCCCTCGGCGCACACCTCCTCGCCCAAGTCGTCCGCCAACCCTACGTAAAAGCAGTCTACTGCCTCGCACGCGCCGCCACCCCTGAAAAAGCCGAGTCCCGCGTCCTCACCTCCCTGGCCTCCAAGGGCCTCAGCCTCTCCGAAGCAGACAAGGCAAAAGTGCGCTACCTGCCAACGAACCTCGGCCTCCCGGACCTAGGCCTCCCCGCCGACGCCGCGGCCGAGCTCCGCCGGTCCCTAACGACGGTGATCCACTCGGCCTGGGCCGTCAACTTCAACCTCGGCGTCGCGAGCTTCGAGGCGCAGCACATCCGCGGCGTGCACAACCTGCTCAACTTCTGCCTGGCTACCGAGACGGTCGCGCCCGCAAGGTTGTTCTTCTGCTCGTCCATCTCGGCGGCGGCGGGCACGCCTATCCCTGCGAGAGTGAAGGAGACGTACGTTGAGAACCTGGAACACGCGCAGAACATGGGTTATGCCCGGTCCAAGGTCGTCACGGAGCACATTGTCAAGGCTGCGGCGACCAAGACGGGCATGACGGCGAGGGTCTTGAGATTGGGTCAGATTGTGGGCGATTCTGAGGGCGGCGTGTGGAATCAGACGGAGGCTATCCCGTTGATGATTCGTAGCGCAAAGGTGATCAAGGCATTGCCTGCCCTGGAAGAAGTAAGCTTTCCCTCTCACTACATGACGAGAGATCATAAGCAATGAATCAAGTGCTAACCAAGAATCTCCTGCAGACCCCCTCATGGATGCCAGCAGACAAAATGGCGCTTGCCGTCCTCGAGCTCGCGCGTCTCACCGGCCCACGCTGCACATCCTGCGGCGCGCCACCCTCCTCCCCTGACGACGCGGACCTAGACCTCGTCTATCAGGTCCAGAACCCGCGCCTGTTCCACTGGACCTTCGACTTCCTGCGCGCCCTCCGCGACGCGGGGCTTGAGTTCCAGATCGTCTCGCAGCGCGAGTGGGTACGTCGCCTGCGCGAGTCCGACCCGGACCCGGAGCGGAACCCGACGTACAAGCTGTTGGGTTTCTTTGAAGACAAGTACGACAACGACAGGCCCGGCCGTCAGGGTCTCGTGTTTGAGACGGAGAGAACTGGCCAGAGGAGCGCTGCTGTCGGGGACGGATGGGATGTTGTTGGGAGCGGGCTTGTTGAGAGGATGGTGAGGTGGATGGAGACGCAGTGGTGATGGGTGAGGGGTGATATACCATGTGTGGAATCATTATTGGCGTTTGGCATCTTTTAATAAGGCCTTTTGATTCGTGTTAACGTTTGTCTGTATTTCATGACCAGAAGAGAAATTGATTCTTATACATTCCGTTCGAATCTGCTCTCCAACATGTCAGCATGGTAATGAGGAGCTGGGTTTTTCTAGGCCGACTACTCCGTACAGATCTTACGATGAGGGGTTAATTGAGTTTGCACAAGCTTTTCAATGAAATCGCCCGGAAAGAAAGAATTCAACATGATCAACTTTACCCCAAGATGAATTTCAGGGACGCTGCGGCTGGCCGGCAGTCGTCATAGTCCCAAGGCAAACCGTTGAAGTAAGAGACAGACATACTTATAAACGCTGCAAGTCACAGCGATCCCCTCTCATAAAGAGGTGTGCGCCACGAAGAGCGGTAAGGCACACGCTATGTAGGGAATTCGGACATCCGAAAGCCACATCACCAACCTCGAAAGATTCAAAGGCCGTCTTCAAATTCTCATCCTTCCCATGACTCTCTCGCGCAACAACTTCACTTCTAGTAAACGATAGAGATATCGATAGATCAAAAAGCCATGCGTGTCCAAACATTCGCATCCCTGGGTGCAGTCCTCACGACAGCGGTCAAAGCCTTCACCCCGCTCAACATCACGGCGCTCTCAACCCGCGACGGCTACTCCGTTATCGAATGCTGGCAACTCACCTCCGTCCCCTTCGAAGCGCGCGCGGCTCTCAACTATGCTGTCGGCGGCGACCTGACGCGCGCAGAATGGTCCATCATCCAGCCCAGGACGACAGTCGGAGAGGCTTGGGCGCCGGCTGTGCAGTGAGCTTTTTTCTCCTTCATTTCATGCCCCTCTCTCTCTCTCTCTCTCTCTCTCTCTCTCTCTCTCTCTCTGTGTGTGTGTGTTTAGCTACCTTGCGCGCATGGGAGGCAGCCCCTTGCTCATGAGACGGCCGAGCTTCCTCTCCATCTTTTCGTTATTTTGTTGAGCTGTTCTTCGAAACTTGATGGACAAGGAACAAGGAAGACTCGAACAGTGCAACCTGACGTCAACTTTCCTCTGTATCGAAACTTCACGACTGACTTGATCCCCGCCAACCCTGTACAGGCTGACAGTCATCCTTAACGGCCTAATCCGCATCACATCACCAGCGCCGCCAAGAAACGCGTCGCAGGCCACGCCGTCGCCCTTGTCACCAGGAGGCAGCAGTGGCGATGACGCATCAGCAGCACCTCCGGCGCAGAGGACGGCGTACATCCAGCCAGGCACGGTATCCTCGTCGCTCGTCATCGCGGCGGACTTGAAGAACGCGAGCGTGCACGCGGGGCACTTTACTGAGTTCCCCGGCGACGAGCCGACGGTGCTGGTGCAGGTGCCGTTTGCCGGGAACGCGGCGCCGGAGCATGTTGTTCTGGGAGAGGGGCCGTGTGAGAGGGGGAGTTGGGGCGCTGCGATGGGCGGTGGCATCTGACCGATGACTACATGTATTGAAGGAAGGACTTGTCTTTTGCTTGTGATAATGGCGTTCACTCTTGTCGTAGAATACTAGCAGTTACTACCTACGACCGTGTATGCAGCTTATGATCCGTCCCGAGGTCTTTTCGGACCAGCGGCACGCCTTCTTGAGATGACTGCCTTAGAGCGGGAGAAGTGAGCGCTATCCAAAGGAACAGTGTCATGGCGCGAAAAAAGCAGAGGCTCACGTTGGCCGACAACGAGACTGGGACTGGGACAGGTGCGCAGAGGATGTGCAGGAAAACGTAATGGGCCTAGGAAGCATGAACTCGGCCTGAGCCTAATATTGGGCACCACGAGGGAGGCAGCAGGGAAGGGAAGCTCGGATTTGAACTGATTTAGGCTCACGGCTTTTGGGTCCTAGCCTTTGGTGCCTTGGTGCTTTACTTGGATCGCCGCTTGGTCGTGTTCGTGGACCGTGTGAGTGATGCATTAACGATGGCAAAAAAGTCATCCGAATTTCCCAAGTCTACAGACGACGGCGCGGCCGTTCAGTGCGTGTGTTCACTTCACTCAGAATTGCGATCGACTTGGGAAGCCGGGACATCCGCTGTTAGTAAACGGGCGTACGGCACGTTGACATGAACCTAGAGATGATTACTTCGGACAAGGATATTCATCATTTGTTTGCGTCATGTTTTGTCCCTTCATCGGTGTTCGGGGCACTTTGGCAATTTGGCAGCCAGATGTAGGATTAATCGTCGATCATGGTACATGAGTGATGGCGCGGACAGGTGATTTCACGGAGGGTTTTGCCTCGGGGACTGGATACAACGGCACGGCTGAGACACAAGTAGCGGCCGAGGTCCCTATCTGCGTCACAAAGTTCGAACGTAGTCTCCTTACTCTTGTGTTGCTGCGGTGTGACGGGAGAACGGACAGGCCGTGAATCTGCGCGATCGTGCTATTCAGGGTCGACAGTGACCGTCGAAGACTTTAAGACAGAGGGACACAGCGCGAATATTCTCTTTCTTCCTTTTTCCGTGCGTCCAGCAGAGAACGCGTGGACGGCCGAAGAGCAGACGAAATCATGAAGGCAAAGGAAATCGAGTGCCTAGGCGGCAGCACCAGAACCTCGGGATGTGACAGTTACGTGACACACGCCTCGCAGACTGTGGCCTCCGTCCATCTCGCAGCACGGCACGCACGGGTGATCTCGTGGCATGTTTGGCGTAGCAGCGCAGACTCACTGAAGCATTTCCGCAAGGTAACACTGGTGGTCAGCAACGAGAAACAATTCAATACCTGTTCACAGTATAGCCTGTATAGGAAGATCTCGGCAGTGGACGGGAAAGGGAGGGGCCTAAAATCCCACGATTTGCTCATCTATCCGCACTTTATCCTTCTCTTTTCCGCCCCGCACGGGGAGGATAGGGTGCTGACAGCGATCATCCCGGTAGAGGTCCACGGGCGTGCTGAAAGAGGCATGCGGACCCGGCTGAGAGAGCCTTGGAGGGGTGGGATCGGGAGGGGGAGGGGAAAGATTGATCTCATCGGCGGGGGGTCAGATGGGGGGTCAGATAGGTTGAGGAGGGCAGACTTCGGACTCTAGACTCTACTCGATCAGTAGGGCTAGTCCTCTGGAATGTGGAAAAAGCAGCTCACAATGGAAGGCATTTCGGCAGCCTGTGATTATGGCGTCGTGAATGTCTTTACGGTCCGCTGGTGACGCGCAGCCTTGGCGGCCACATGCCGATGGTAATAGTTCGAATCGCCAGAGCACATGGCAGTGACAGCAGCAGCAGCAGCAGCAGCAGCAGCGTCGTACCTAGTGGCAGCAGCACGAGGAATCAGCAACAGCCAGTCGGAAATAGAACGAATGTCTCAAGACGGCAGGGCCAGGCGGCTGTGAAGTTCTGGCTAGTCCGGCCTGGTTCGTAAGGCCGTTCAAGCCCAGTCTGGCCAGTCCAGTCCCAGTCGTAGTGAGCGTGACCTCGTGGGCTCGTGGATCATTGCCAATTCTGGGACTGGTGGCTTCGTGAAGCAAGTGACTGAACTCTGGATGGGTGTGTGCCTGTATGGTCGATCGTAGGTGGCAGTGGTCCCGCGCTGGGCGAACCCGTACGGAAATGGAGGGTCGGACGAAGAACGGAATCCAACGACCTGATTCAGATTGAAGGTTTGGACTTCCCCGTGTGATGATTGGTGCCGACAGGGCCGTTTGAAAACAGTGCAGTTGGACGATGGATGGTTAATAAGGTTGGTCGGCATGGATATAGCTTCAACGTGCGGTGGCTGAGCAAAGCTGCGTTGGGTCGCGGAGAACTCATGCAATCATCCCCTCGCATTATTGAGGCTGGTCTGAAAGCCTCGCCCTCGTGTGAAGTATCTCTCGCAATCACTTGGTCCCCAGACAGATGAGGATGAGTGCCTGTCGTATCTCAGGCGCGCGAGATAGACGGCAATCTACCCATCCATCCATCCATCGATAATGAGATGGGATGGATGGATGGATTCATGTACGCAAGAAGCGAATCGCTACCCACGGGGTCGGGTATGTACGATGACCGCTGGGTGACCTCCTCCTGGGTCGGCACGTCGGGTTGCAGCAGGCGGCATATAGGTTGACGCGGTAGGCGATGATTGGGCTGGTGTGAATCAGGGACGATACGACGGCGTCCAGTCCAAAGGTCAATTGACTCCTGGAGTGGTGTGGTAGCAGAAGCCAAAGATGCGTGTGAGTGATGTGTGAGGGTGTGAGTGAATGCGTGTGTGAATGGAGGATGAGTCTGACATGTGAAAAGGAGATCAGGGACTGCCTGTCTCACTCTCAACCACTGAAGCACAGAGCAGAGCCATCAACTGCGCCGCGAATGACAAGGCCGCTGAATCCTGCAACGGAAATAGCACCCCCGACCAATGATGTGAGGCTTTGGTAACGTGGTGATGGTCCTCTCATCCGTTAAGAGACACGCTCGAGAGTCGAGATCGAGCTGGGAATGGACGTTGTGCTGGCTACCGTAGTCTCACACCAGCTTTGCCTCTGCAGCTGCTGCGCGCATTCACTCATGTGACTATTTCCTTGACATCAATGTTCCTCCTCTGTATGGTTCTGAGCAATGGGCATGTTGTTTTGGCTTGTGATACGTGATCCTCGCGATACCACCTCGTCGTCTCGTGAAGGCTACATAGTACCAAAGTAAGAGGTGCTCATATTGCCTTTTACGGAGAGACGCATGATGATGGGGGTGGATGAAAGACAATTCTCATAATTCATTCGTTCATGCTCACTGGCATCGAACTCACTCACTTTCATTAAGCATTTAGCATTACAGCCTTTTACCAAAGAGATCAGCCCTAATCAAGCCCTCCTTCGCAGGAGATTTCGCAATATTCTGCCCCTCCTTCACGAAAATCTCCAGAAAAGCAAAGCCAACCCAAAGGAGGGGGGAAGACGCAACATAGTGACACACACACACACACACACACACACACACACACACACACTACGTGCGACTCATTCTTTCACTCCGCAAACACGCCAGTGACACCACTTGCTCCGCCAAAACTCCATGCCTGGACCTTGCCCAGCGCTCTAGCGACATCGGCGGTTGCGCGGGAAGAATCCCAGTGAGGGGCCGCCGTGGGAACTCTAGACTTTCTTGACATGGGGGAGAACCTTGCCGCCCTGCACCACCAGCCCACAGCGTCTCGCCTTGACTCTTTTTTTTGCAGTCGTTCTTGGCCGTGAATGCGCGCCCATCCAACCCACTCGAAGCCAAGAGAGAGAGAGAGTCGAGACGCTGTACGCAAGGTACCGAGAGTCAAAACGTTGTGCTTGTCACTGTCAAGAGTGGACGAGCTAGCGGGTGGACCGAAACGTCAGAAGAAACGAAGCGAGACGGTTCGCTGGTTTTAATTAATACAAACAAAACATTCATAGTCGCGCCAGCCGAAGACTGACGCCCAGCTTGTTCAGCTCTCAGCTCTTTCATTGTTCCGTAGCAGCTTTCGTCAAAGAAGAAGAGCCGAAGCTCATGCCGGCCGGGAATGCCTCGTTCTCAGGTAGAGAAAGGGTACGGTATGCTCACTGACGTGACTTGACGAGATCCAAAGGCCCGCCATCCCGTTCCCGCCCGTCAATTCACGTAGCATGGTGAAGCTAGAGAAGCATCGCCGCCGTCCTACTGTATTAGTCGCCGCGACTTAAACTCTCGGGCTGCTCTCCGGCCGTCTTAAGCTCCCAAGTCGTCTCTTCAATAGTGTGGATAAGCTAGCCCTCATTCCATCTCTACGACCCGTCGAACAGCGCATCAAAGGTGGAGAGATTTCAACACCACGCCGCCGGGACATCCTCGTCTCGAAATGAAGGCTTTTCCGTCAGGCCTTTGAATGCCCTCTCAGTCTCTCACACACAAACACGCATCCAGTACACACTCTTTCAGTGACTACAGTTCTCATCTCATCTTCAGTTGCTCACTTTTCTCGCATCATTCATTTCCCCTCGATTTTCATCATATCGATTCTTAACTCTGCCCATCTCATCCCACACGCGTCCACTCGTGTGTCACCGCTACTCCGAGTGGAAGAGGCTTGGGAGGATTTAAGCACCCTCCTCGGACGTTGTCGACCTTTTCCTGCAACAACATCAGCGCTTTACGCAATTCAGGCCCTTCAACCCTTCCCCTGTGCCAGGCTGTGCCAGGGGCCCATCCCGTGATCCGCCGCTTCGCATGTGCAGTCTCTCACTTGCACGCAACCACGCGCATGAAGCCCATCATAGGTACATAGCAAAACACACAATAATTGAGGGCCGAGTCTACGGTCCTGGACTGTTCCTCTTGCGGATAAAGGCCGAGTACAGTCCAGAAAAGGGTACACTCCACACACTACACGAACCATGACACACAAGCACACACCAGACGCCCCTCTCAGCCTCTCTTAGTCTTCTCTGCTTTCACCCCAAAACAACGTTAGCTGCATGAACAGAGAGGCGCCGCAACGCAACTTGAGACGACAACGTGAAAGATCAACGCGAATCCTCTATCCGTAAAGCGCAAAACGCCTGCCGCCAGCAGCTGGCGAGAGGGCAAAATCCACCACCACCTACATGCTGAAAGTGGATATACTGTGCCTCTCCAAGTCTCTTGTGGTACTGTTTTGCTTCCCAAGCCCACTCACTGTGACTCGCCTCCCCCATCTTTTATCATCTCCACCGTGTTGCGTCAAGAAGCCTGGAGCGCAACACAACGCCCAGAGGTTCTAGACTCGACTCGACTCCAGTCCGGCGGCGGTGGCTCGCCTTTACGCTGCTTTCTTCTCAACCGCCCAAGTTAGCACTTAGGTACCGGTCTCTCATCTCATCCCAAAGAAGCGGTTTTTATCGCTGGGATTATCTTTTAGCGTGTAGCGCATCGCCGGGCGACTACATCATCGTCTCAAGTTTCGAAACTCTGCGACACGAAAGGCCCTTTTCCTCTTCTTGCTGTCCTTTGGCCTCTCTGCCCCTCCTCCTCTTCTCCGTAGACCGTGTGCAGGCTTCTACCCTTCTCGGTTTTCTACCGCTCTCTTGTCAAAGGACAGACCTGCGTCTGAAGAAAAGTCGATCGGGACCTGGTGCCGGTAAAAACTGTGCAAGGGCCCTGCAGAGCCGAACTTCTTCGGCCGCTGTTCACTTTTGATTCCCGATATATCACCGCGCCACTTTATTTTTGCTCGTTTGCATCTTCGATCTGTGTTTCCTGCCTGGTTTACTCACGCAACTTGTCTCTTACTCTTTTGTGGTCTTGAGACATGCATATTGAGACAGCCTTGGGACCTCGGAATCTAGAACTTGGAGCTTTTTGACATCGGCGGCTTGTCGTCTCATCAACAAGTTACAACCGCCCTCGCCCACCTGGCCACTTGCTGCACCTGCAGCCTGTCTACTACCCCCCTCCCGTCCCGCAGCAGCACACGACTTTGGACTTCACACCCCCCCTCCTCGTCTGATCTTCTGGCCGCCGGCGTGTCCTGCTGCTCTTCGGACCGTTCAGTTAGGACTCAGTAGTGTCCTGTACGCGGTCTCTGCATTGCCTCCCTCTCGTTCTCTCTGCCCCGTTGATCCCAGTACGGCTACTTGTCGCCCTATAAACCTTCCCAGCCATCTACAAGAATTACATCCCTCACCCCTTCAACCCGTCTCCGCTGCCAGGCCCAGCACACATTTTCCGACCTTGACAAGACGGGAAAGACATTGGCATTGTTCAATCGTCGCAGTGGGCTTCCCGCATAAACCAGCCTTTAACAACAAGCACCACCCCTAACCCACCGACGCCAACGAAAAAGACAAAAAAGCCAATCCGCACCGGGGGATAACCTCGCAGCTCATCCCGGTAGGCATAGCAGCAGCCACATCATCAACCCACGCATAACCGGCGATCAACCCAACCAAACACCTCCAAGCTTCTTTCTCGAGGCGGTGTCTGTACCTACATATTCCCATCCCGCGCCCTCCCTCCACCGTGTCTCTCTCCGGACGACCCCCCTTCTGCCGTCACCCCACGCTGCAAAGTCCTGGCGGGCAACGAAGAAGAAAGAATATCAACGACAGTCTCATTATTATCAGAAGCAAGACTGAGAAGAAGATCAGGCCTTTAGTCAAACCAGCAGCTGCCAACGCCGCCCGCCTCCATACACTCCATCGATCGATACATCCCACATCACCCCTCCATTCCTCAGCAAGACATCCCAGGTCCCAGCTGCAGCACCACGAGACCCCATCGGCGCCTCACCGCAACATCCTGACCCAATCACGGCCCTCTAGCCCGCCCACGACGACAACTCCCCCTGCCACCCTCGACCGGGGTCTATCAAACCCAGCAGCACCAGGACCTCACGATCACCACACAAAATAGGCCCTGTACCCGTTCTCGATTCGCAATAGTTGCATCGTCCACTTCTGGCCCTGTAAGGACCTGCATCTCCCACCTTTCAAAACAACAACACTTTCCTTCTCCTCCTGTACTGCGTACCCAAAAAGGGCTACGAACAGGGGGCCTTCCACGAGACGAACTGTCGAACCAGCACGCCAACGAGTCCACTCCGACACTTTTGTCGTCAGATCAACAGGAACCTAGAAACGGGGGACCCTCATCGGAGGGGTCTAGGTTTTTTTCCCTCTCCTTTCGTGTATTGACCGCAACTTCACACACAATCGAACGCTCCATTCAAATCTCGCTCCTCATCTCCGCCCTTTTCTCTCATCATCTCGTCAACTGGGGTTTATTTAATACAATAAACATCCTCCCCTCCCCCTTCCCCAGTGTCCCTGGGAGGCCTTTCCGCAAGCGAGATTCATCCCCTCGACTCGACGTCTTTACCTTCGCAGCTCGAAGCTTGGTTCCTAAAAGCTCGCTGGTCGGCATCGCGTTTCTTCCAACTCGTCTGAAAAGTACAATAAGCGCAACAACCTCCGCTATCGCACCCTTCCTTCGCCTGTGCTCGATCAAGTGAGGTGGGAAATCATCCAATGGCTTCATGACGAGGAATTCACTTTCTATCGTTCCGAGTTCTATTATACAAAAAACATCATACACCTTTAGTCGCAAACCATTTTCAATCCCTGCCTCAAGCTTCGTGAGAGAGTATCTACTCGTTGGACTCTTCTCACCGACGAATCGCACAAACGCACACCAACACATATTCACACATTGATAAAGACACAAAAACACACAAAACATGTCTCGCCTTTCACCCTTCCCCTCCAACATGACCTTCCGGACCGAGTCCCGCGCCAGCGTCGCCGCCTCCGACACGACGTACTACACCTGCGCCTACCAAAGCTTCCACGACGTAGAGCTCTACGCCCCGAGCTCCCCGCCCTCAAAGACCCCCGTCCCCGCCCCGACCTCGGCCCCGATCCGAGCCCCGGCGCCGGCTCCATCTCACTACCACCACTTCCCGTCACCGCACCCGCAGCACCACAAGGACAAGGAGCCCGAACCCGCCGAGATGCGCCGTCAAGACTCAGGCTACGAGTCCCTGCCTCCGCGGTCCTCCTTCTCTAATCCACGCCGCACATCAACGGCCTCCTCCTCGCAGTCCTCCTCCAGCCCAGGCACCAACACGGCCGCCGTCCCCCGCTCTCGCGGCCGCCCGACGGTCCGCCGCGCAGCAAAGACGAGCCCGTACCCGGCGACAACGGCACGCACCAGCGGAAGCAGCCTCTACCACCCACAACAACGCCCACACGCCCAACCGCAAGCGACCTTCTTCCACTTCCCAGCGCACCCAACAGACGTCGAACTCGCCGCCCGTCGGCCCTCGCGCCGCGGTGACGACCTCGAGCTCGATCAGCGCCAGCTCCTCCTCTCCTCGCCGGGTAGTCACTCCCATCCCCACCAGCAGCGGGACAGCCAAGAGTGTACCGAGCTGGCGCCCCCGCTGCCGCCGCAGGCGACGCACTACTGGACCAGCGACCGCACGCGGAGACTCGAGTACGCCGCTATTGACGCGGCGAGGACGGGTGTCAAGGGGTGGATGAAGAGGCACCTCGTGCCGGACTGCTTTGTGCCCAAAGAGAAGCACGTCGCGTTCGACGACGACACGGGGAGTGTCCGGCGATACAGGCTTGAGCTTGATGAGGACATGCCGTGCGAGAAGGGGTGTGGTGGGCGGAAGAGGGGTTGGTTTGGATGGACTCGCTCCAAGACGGCTTGAGTCTTCTTCACCTCCACACTCTTCTTGCTTGATTTTCACGTTGTGTTTTCCCTTTCGTCTTTGATGCTGGTGTTGAGCGTCTGGGGTTTTGATTTCGGAATCATGGATTGGAAAGGGGATGGGAATTGCATTGACATCGTTGAGTCGGCGCGGCATTTGCACAAGCGGCTGGGCATTGCTGCATTGGCGTTTTATACCCAGCATTTGGTATCGTTGGATTCTTCGTCATACTTCTGTTACGCCCTTTTTTCTTTATTGCATAATCCTGTTTTTAATGTTTTATTGTTCTGGTTGTCGAGATTCTCTTGAACACAAGGGATGAAGACGTGAAGAGAGTTGAAGTTTGAGTATCAGAATGGCATAGCGACACATAGATGATAGATGACGACACGAGACTAGGAAGACTGAGGAGAAGCGAGTCAGAGAAACAAACGTCTTTTAGAGGACTGCAGTTACTCGTACACAGACTGATAGTTATTTACACATGTAGTCTCCAAGAGATGCAATTATATACACGTATATACCCACATTATATGATACTTTTTGATGATGCCTTAGATCACGAGTGTAACCAATCGTGCCTACATGTATACAGATGAGGTTCTGTTCATCTGAACTTCTCATCAAACTGCCATCTGATGTTGTGGCAGATGGTGTCAATGTCTTCAGCCTACTGCAACACCACCAAATCTCTGCATACACCGCTAGTCCCTGGGACCCATTCACCAAAAGCCCACATGAGCCTGTCTTTTTCTGCAGAATCAACAAAGCCGGCGTCCTCCCGCCCGTCCGGATCCGGAAGACATTAGGCGGACCGGACCGGACAAGCCGCCATTTCGGGCGAAAGAAGCGGTGAAGATTTGAGTTATCACGACCCGCTTTGGAGGCTTCGCTAGGAATCTTGCGGCTCTTCCCCGGGGCCGGGGGTCAGTATCAATAGGGGTTAGCCGAAATTCATTCCAGTCGCTGCTAAAGTAGTGACTCCGGTGATGCCCGGGACCGACTAGGGGTCTGTAGACATGACATCCGACGTCAAACTTGAGAACGCAGAGGTTGGCGTCGTTACGCGTACATGTTTTGCATGAGGCTGAAGTCAATCACCTCTTGTCTCCCGTCGATCTTCAATAGTGTCACATTAAGTTGATATCTACCAGTCCATCTCTCACCATCCTAATGCATAAACGACTTCACCGCTCATCCCAGCCACATGAATCCTGCCAGAAAGCATTACAATCGCAGCGCCAATCCTCTCTGCACAGACACACAACAACTGTTCAACCTCCCAACCTCATCCTGGAATTCAACGCTGAATTCAAGATACCCTCACCTTCCAGCCTTGACACACTCAATCACGGCAAGGTGCCGCCACGGTCCCTGACCCGTGGACACGCTCTTGATCGCGAGACTCGCCCTCCCGAGAATGTCGGTCCAGCACTCGAGCGATCTTTGCTTGCCGCCAAAAGTGAGCATCATGAAGTCGAGCATCGTGGAGGTGTAGTGCGGCGGGTTTCCCATCACATCCTCCTGGATCAGGAGTCGGCTGTCCTCCGCCATGGCCTCGGCGATGATGCGGAGCATGTTCACGCTCAGCTCGTCGCCGTAGTTGTGTAGACACCGACGGATCCAGTACGTCAGGGCACCTTGAAATCGTCAGAGGGTCAGCTACTCGTCTGGAGACTCGCGATGGAAGGAAAAGTGCGTCTGGCTCCACCAAGCGGTGAACCAGCAAAACCTCGACGGAGAAGATTGTTCTCTCACCTTTAACAGGCTGCTCCTTGTGGAAATCAATAACCTGCTTCTGCACCAACCTCATATCCTCATCATCAAGCTTCCTCACAGCCTCCACCACCTCAGCACGATCCTGCAGCACACACCTCTCCAACGGAAGCCCAGGGTTCTCGCGATGAATCGCCTTGATAGACTGGCCCCGCCCCGCGCCGACATCGACAAACAGCGGCCGGTCACCCGCGTTTTCACGAGCGTACTCGACAACCCACCCAAAGTCGTAAATGCCCGAAATGGGCATCTTCTCTTCGATAGGGCCCATGGCGCGCAGGAACCGCTGCATCCGAGGCGGGTCGTGCTGCAGCATTTCGTACCAGCCGTACTCTGGCACGCCGTACGCATACGTGCCAGGGACGTTGTTGAGCGTCTGCGGTTCTTTGCGACCGTACTTTTCAAAGTAGGCTGGCATGTGGACGTACGGTACCAACCCGTTTTCCCATCTGTGCTACGGTGTTAGTGAAGGATTCTCATGGTGGTGATGGCGCTCGAGAGGGCAGGGGGAGAACAGACGCCATGCCGACGATTTGGCCTGCTGGGTGACCATCGATGTAGATGCGAGAACGCTTTGTGTGCGCGACGGAGTCGTCGTCGACTTGTTGCAGGATGCCCATCGACGTAAGCACGCCACCAGTACGTCCTGAACAAGTGTCAGTAAAAGATCCCCAATAGCTTCTTGGGTTGGCCCTGGGGCAGTGCATCTCAGACTCACGTATCAGAGATACATCGGCGTCGACCTTCTTTGCTAGTTCACCGTACGAGATACTGCCTTCGAATGGGATGTGATCATAGACCTTCCATTCCCAAAAGAGCCGGTTCGCGCCCAGCTGAGCGACCTGCGCCGTGGCATCAAACCACTCATCGCCGGGGTCCTTGACGGCGTTGATGAGCTTATTCGCCGCATCAATGATGCGCCGCCGTTGGCCCTTGTCCAAGTCACCTCCGGACGGTCCGGGACTTGTCACGAAGCTCTGGAGGGCCGCGTTGACTTCTTCCGTCGCTGCCGCGGCCTCCTCCCGGATCTGAGCGCCAATGTCGCTTGTCATTTTCGGTGTGGAACCCCGAAGCAAACAAAGTTCTACCGGGTCGCTGAACGGCGCGGAATTTGCACGGCTGTGTTACACGGGGAATGTGATTACGTTCCCTTTCCGAACGAGTTATGTGGATTCTGCTGCAGGTTTGCAGATCAACGGTGTGATTGCATGGGAAGCAAGTTGACTACGCCGCACGGGAAACCGGGCACACGGGATTTGACAGGCGTCGCGTTGTTGGAGAATGTACGAGTACGGAATGTGGGTGAGATGGGATGATGAACTCTGCTGTCCAGTAACACGTCAAGCGCACATAAAGTTTCAGAAATGGATGTTGAGATCGGAGAGGGGAGCAATGACTTGAGGGGAGAGGGAAAAGCGCGCAAAAAAGAACCTTTGGTCCGCATTTCCCTCCTGATGCGCCTCAAGTTCCCAAGCTTCTCCTCACTCGATGCGGTGATGCTACGTCCAGGGATGGACGGTAACTGGATGCGGCAGCTCGGTGTGGTGTCTCAACCCACGTCGGTGAAAACGTTCCGCGCTCGTCTAGTCCTACATGTTTCCGCATGGGTTGGGGACACATTCCTCGAAGGATCGGAGGGGTTTCAACCAGCTAGCCAATGGCGCAAACGCAGCTACTGTCGAGCTAAAGCAGCACAACCATTCGAGCACCAAGAATTGAGCGAAAGAGGAGGGGGGGACCGCCGACGTGGACTGACGGTACGGCGGGTGAAGGACCTCGCAATCCTCAAAGGAGAGGGGAGAAAGAGGAGAAAGCAGACCGCGTGCTTGAAAGAAAACTGGCCAAACAAGACGGAGAGACAGAGACATCTCGGAGCGCCACTGGATGACGGCAGAGCGTTCCGCTCTCCCACAGACACAATCAAGCAGTCTGCCGCGTCCAGCTATTCTGCTCGTGGCCCACGCTCCGGGAATAGTCTGGTGAGAAAAGGAATCCGCCTTTGTACTAAAACTTCTAGACCGTGGCGCCGGTCTCCTACCAAAACCGGCTAAAGTTGTTCAGGACGCAGCTTGATAGGTCTTTTGAGCAAAGAGGATGGCGCAGGGGCATTGAGGTCGACTGAGCCGACATGCCACTTTTGGTACACAGGCACATTCAGAGGCCCAGACGTTTCCTTTTCGTCGAGCTGCTGCTGCTGATGTGCCGCTGACAGACAAGAACAAAGGGTCCGAAGCCGTAGGGTAAGGAACGTAGAAAAAAGAAACAAAACGAACCCCGAAACTCCGGTCTCAACGGCTTTCGTTGGGGGCTTTTCCTGTCTTCCACTTTCTTCTTTCCCTTCGTTAGACGGTCATTCGATTTTGCTCAGAGCAGACTGGCTCGGCCCACGTTATTTCCCCCCAGAATAAGTCTCCCTTTCTCCTACGTACAGGGTGTCGCTCCCAAGAAACCGTTTAAGGTTTCTAGCAGAACGACACTTGTATTCCTGGACCTGGTCAAAGACCCCAGCACGCGCTCCCCCCTCTCCATCGCATTCTTGCGTTCCCCAATCTCCAATTCGACGTCCAGTTCGAGGCACATCCTGGCCAGACACACGAGCCCTCACTTGAGAACACCAGACGACGTCGATCGGAGACGGCGGTATCAATCGCTCGCCTCGGTGATAGAGTCGAGCAGGAACCGTGTGAAGGGAAAAGGAAAGGAAAGAGCAGGGCGCTTGTACTTTTCGTCTTCTCAAGTCTGGTTTGAGCCAGCATCGCACAAACCATGACGGACGCCACCACAGCAAGAGGAGAAGCCAACCAGCCCGAAAAGTCGCCGTCACCCCCTCCCCCTCAACCGCGAGACCGCTCGCGATCAGGATCGGGAGGACGGCAGACACCGCCGCAGCAGGACTTTGAGGCGGAGAACGTGGTCGAGGCCGACACGGAAGATGACGGCGCGTCGTCGCGGGCGGGGGACGAGGTCTGGGACGAAGGGTTCGACGGCAGCAGCATCGGCAACCACTCGGCCTCGACGTCGCTGTCCAACAGCGTGCGCGACTACGTCTTTGAGAACACGCGGCGGTATCACAAGTACATGGAGGGCCGGTATCTGATGCCCAATGACGAGCCGGAGCAGGAGCGCGAGGATATGAAGCATGCCATGTGCGTCAATGTCATGGATGGAAAGCTTCATTGCGCGCCGTTGGAGAATCCGCAGAAGATTATTGATATTGGTACGGGGACGGGAATCTGGGCTATTGATAGTGAGTCTCCTCTTCACATAACCCTCCCTTTTATGTCTGCTACTTCGATAGCGTCTTCATGACAGACGAGATGGCATGTAATCAGTTGGGCTGGACAAGCTTTCATCGGACGACATCATTCAATAAGCAGATAACATCGAGCAAGTACTAACAACGCCTCAAGTGGGTGACGAATACCCAGAAGCAGACATTTCCGGCATCGACCTGAGCCCAATCCAACCAACCTGGGTACCCCCCAACGTTCGCTTCGTCGTCGACGACGCAGAGGCAGAATGGGTCTGGCCGCCATCCTCCCTCGACTTCGTGCACGCGCGCCACATGTGCATGGCCGTCAAGAACTGGCCACGCATGCTCTCCCAAGCCTACACCGCGCTGAAGCCCGGCGGCTGGGTCGAGCTGCAGGAGCTGCGGTTCGTCCTGCAGTGCGACGACGGGACGATGCCCGGGCCCGAGGAGTACGGCTACGGCAAGTTTGTGGATCTCTGCATGTCCGGGTTCCGGAGCTTCGGCATCAACCCGCTGGCGATGGAGAGGAACTCGGAGATGCTCCGCGAGAGCGGCTTCGAGAATGTTGTTGAAAAGGTGTGGAAGGTGCCCATCGGGACGTGGCCGCGGGACCAGAAGCTCAAGACGATTGGGTTGTATAACCGCAGTATGCTCATTGATGCGCTGCAGGCTGTGAGTATGGCGCCGTTGACGAGGGGGCTCAAGTGGAGTCCTGCCGAGGTGGAGGTGTTCTTGATTGATGTGCGGAAGAGTCTGATGAATGTGTCGATACACTCTTACTTGACATTCCATGTGGTCTTTGGGCAGAAGCCTTATGACGGCTACTAGATATGAGAGAGGGATTTGGCGTTTGCTGGGATAGGCGTTTGGCAGTAGTGATATCAAAGTTGTACGGAGTTGGGAGGGGATATCTCAGCCATCAACTTAGGACCCATCCGAATTTGTTTGGGCCACCTTGTCCATCAACTATCAGCACCAATTGTCCTAGTTTCCTTCGCTCAAAGCTTCCATTTTTCTATCTACGGATTTATCCCTCATTGTGATCCAACACAGTACGATCAAACAGGTCGTCTGTAGAGCACTTCAAGTCTCAAGAGCCGCTGGCTAAGATTATCAGACGTTCTGTCAACTACTGGATGGAAGTCAGGACTATCAGCATGACCTGGAAAGTTTCCCATTGATCTATACATCAATCGTAACATCAGCGACAACAGGTCGGTGATCAGATATATACACGCCATCGTCAAAATGGTTCGGCAAAACCGCATGAGCCAAAAACTCCATCCCTCTAACCGCCGGATCGCCCACAAACAAGTGGTCAAGAAACGTGTCATCCAACGTGTCATCCGTGAAAGCAGTATACGTCTTCGAATATCCCACCCTCTTAGACTCAGGAACCACGTCCCGGATATCATGCAAGTTCCCGTCCGCAATTAAGATCTGATACGCCGCATTATCCGGCTCAATGTTCAAGTCACCGCCTAGAAACACCGGCACAACCCCCTCTGTCGAGTTCCCCCACCCTTTCGCCAGGCTGACCAAGAGCTCTGCACTATGTTCCCTCGCAACCTGGCCCACATGGTCAAAGTGCGTACACATGTAGACGAGCGGCAGCCCACTCTCTACATGCCGGAACGACGCGACGGTGACGATACGCGGTAGCGCGGCGTCCCAGCCCTTGGACCCGGGGACGTCAGGCGTCTCGCTCAGCCAGTACGTCCGGTTCTCCGCGAGGGTCCAGGTGTCCGGCTGGTAGTAGATTGGCGAAAACTCCCCGGCAGCGACGCCGTCATCACGGCCGACGCCGACGTGGGCCCAGGCTGGGCCGAGGTCTTGAGCGATGTCGAGGAGTTGTTCTTCGACTACTTCTTGCATGCAGAGAAGCGACTCGGGTCGAGCTGCGGTCTCATAGTTGAGCTGAGAGAAGAGGTGAGGTCGGCGGGTGGACCAGAGGGCTTCGTTGGTTCCTGGGTCTGGGGTGGCCCAGCGGATGTTGTAGGTTATGAAGCGTAAAGCGAGGTCCGACGATTGACAAATAACCAAGCTCGCACTGAACAATAACGTCGCTGCTAGGCATGACTTCATAGCTGCTTGGAGGAGGTACGCCTCAGACTTTTTACAGGTACTTTACTTTATCGTACGGCAGAGAAGGATGAACGAAGTTAGAGCAGCATTTTTGGCTCAAATCTGTGGCTTAGAGGCTTCCCAAATACTTACTTTTCAAAATACACCTGTTTGATCACTATCCAGTGAGGGGAAGCACACGGAGAATTACGATGGCACGCTCACAGCTGCATGTCGTCGTCACATCGTTACTTCAACGGGTATATCACTCGACCTTCCGCATCTGGTCACCATTGGGCGGCAATGTCTACCCACGTTTCTCTGATCATCGGCGGGCTCCGGGTTCACGTGGGGTCTCAATGCCCGCCCATTCGCCGAGAAAGTGGAGACCATCCGGCCAAGGAAGGGTTGAAGCCGGGCCGGAGGCCTTCGTAATGTGATGGGTGTACGGCATCGGAGCTTCTTTCTCTCGGAGCACGAATCCAGGCTATCTGTTTACCGCTGACCTTACCAATCATCGCTAGAAAAGGGCTTTAGTCTCAAGAAAGTCCGAAAAGCTTCATGCCATCATCCCTTCCAAGCTTCTCCACTGCCAGAAGGAAAGCTTACCCGGTTGAGGCATAGATCACTGCGCTTGTCTGTTAAGCACTGAGGCTCTGAGCCTCGAACTCGTCTATTCAAGGTTGATGGGATTATGAGAATGGATGTCCCGCTCGTCAGCCAAGACACTCGATCCCAATCTTGCGCTTCAGCAAATTGCCAGAGCTCCTGAATTTCGACCAGCACCGAAACTCTCTTTTTGCCAAGATTTGCCCTAGGCGCTATTTCCGAGGGGGTTCACCGCTCAACACATAACAGTTTTAACCATCATTCAACTCCTCGTTAGTATTATCAGATTACGTCCGCGAGCTGCGGACTGGAACTGGAATTTTGCCCGAATTACACTTCCCCTGCCCTCAAGCTTCACTATTATACCGTTTTCTTACCGCAGTACCTATAGGTGGTAGTGAGAATCGACAAAGGTTCACAACCACGAGCAACTTCTCTTCTTGGCTCGGCTATCGGATCTGCCCTGTCTCGCACTGACATAAAAGCCCGATATTCCACTTTGTGCGTAGCTCCATTCTCCTCCCACAATCGCCCCCTTCGTTGCATCAATAATACGAGCAACGAGGTTTTCCTCCTCGTCCACCCACATTCCCGATCGATTACACAGTATTGGGGGCTGGACCGCTGGGCAGGTGTTCCTTCGTTGGAAGCTGGGCTCCATCCAGTTCATTTATGCATTGATGCTGAAGAGGCCAGAGCGCCGTTCAGGGGCAGAGAACCTTGAAGGGACAGGGTTCCAACACGTGTGCTGACAGCCAATATGTCCACGATGCCCGGTGGGATCTTTTCTGCCCATTTGCTCTTTGTCACCAATGTGGAGTTTCTGCTGTCAAAGAAGCGGAACAGAGGCTAAAATATGAGGGGTTTTGGGTCATCATTGGCTAGTGGGAGGATTTCTGCTGCAGTTATTTTGGCCACTGCCTTGGTTTTTGATTAATTTCCGCTGACAAAACGCGCACGCCGGGTTGGAGTAAGGTTGCATCCCAAGTGGATATTCTACAGGATTTTATACATTAGTCTCAAAACTAGCATCCGTACCTTTGACATTCCAACATCCACCCGGCTATTCACGTCCCTTCTTTCAGTGACGATCCATAGGCCCAGAACGACCTCCTGAACCTCTCATGTCGTGTGACATTTCAATGTCAACTTGATATGTGTACTGCGCGTGAATGCCGCCCTTTTGGTCACTCGGCAGCAAATCCCCCTTATCCGAGTCGCCGTCCTGGAGGCGCTCCCACGTCTCGTCCCCTCTGCCGTGCACCGTCGCCAGGCTGAAGCCCACGTCGGTCGGGTTGCGGAATCGGTCGCGGCTCCTGGGCTCAAGCGGCTTGCTTCCGATGGTGAAGAGACCCGTTTTGGTCCCGCTCCCGCTCGGGTTCGTCTTTTCCGACGTGCCGCGGGTTCGCGCGATGAAACGGCGTAGCGAGGGGACCGATGAGGCGATGCAGCCGATTCCGGTCTCGATGTTGGAGCAGAGCATTGTATGGGCGACCCAGACTGAAAAAGCCCCTTGTCAGCTTCTTTCATGACGCAACGGATTTGATTCATGGGTACCGGGAGAAGGGGAGGCGAGGGGCTTTACTCACATTGAAGGTCTGTCTGGCCTTTGAATTTGTTGACATAGGGGATACGGACCATGGTGATGATAGATGCCCTGGAGCTGCGTTAGTCTTGATATCGTGGTCTGCTTTCCTCCAACGGTCAAACTTACACCGAGGCAAAGGACAACAGTCCAAAAACCTGGAGCTTCGTCTGCGTCTTCATCTGCGTGCCCCAGAGAATGATAGCAGGCACAACAACCAAAGCCAGATCCGTCACAATAGCCGAGCTCGTCGCAACGTGGCCGATGGCGATGAGAACATCAACAGAGCTGCACGTTCCCTCGCCGCTGAGAATCATCGTGGGCGTCCAAATGGCCTCGACTGGGTGACAGTATAACAGCGTTCCGATAAAGGTGATCAGGAAAGAAGCCCACGTGACACCGAGCAGGACCCAGACCGTGATGCGCAGAGCATTGTTCGTCGTGATGATTCGTTGGATGGTGAGGCAGACGGAAGACTTGACGAGGGCGAGGGCGACGACGTATATCAAGATCCAAATGATGTAGATCTTGAGGGCCTCCGAGAACATCCACATGTTGAGCTTTTCTTGCAACGTGCCTAGCCCAACGAGGCAGCCGTATATCGTCAGTCCCACGCTTGGTACGTAAACCACCTTTTTACGGAGCGGGTTAGCGAATCTATTGGTTTTCTTCTAGAAAGTAAGACTGGCATACCGTTCCCGCGAGCATCAGTCCATCGTCCAGGCCGAATGTGCCCTCAACGAGACGCACGCTCGTTCGTACACCGACACATAACACCGATATGACGAGGAAGACGGATGATATGATGATGATGGCTAGTGGCAGATGCTCCGGTTCGAGGATTCTTAAATCGGGGTCGACGTTCGTTGACAAGGACATATTGGCGGCACGTGGTCTTCGATCAAGTCCTTTTCCTTCGTTAAGCAGCAACCACACCTCACGCCACAGGTTTCCAAATATGGTGATGACAGAAAGTAGGCACTCCCCGAGTTATAAACCTCCGGATAGAACTCTCTTCGGGCCTTCAAGTGCCGCAGCCGCAGCCTGCAGATCTATACTACTTATGCAGGGGAGCAGGATGGGCCGCTTGGGAACTAAATTCAGTTCCGGTAGCAGGAGGCGGCGTAGCAGTGGTGGTCTTGGGTCTTGGACTGCTAGAAAAGATCAGAACCGGGGATCGTGTTCCTGGGTTCCATGGATGCAACCCCAGATATTAACACTTGGGGGGCGCTACTTTGACACTTTGACACTTCGAGAACTGTCATAGACCTAGTAGTTGCTCATAGGCTTGCCACTGGTCGAGAAAACCTGATGCAACCAACAGGGACCGCCTTCCAACAAGAAGGGGGCCATAGACCCATGGGCCATGGCAACCGGATGGCCTGGAAGAGGAAAAAGGTCAAGAAGCAGTTCTCGAACTGGGTCTTATTTGCCCACTCTCCCGTCACCAATGATCACTAATGAGGGAACCGGTCTTCAGGCCGAGAAGACCCGGGTTGGTTGGAATTGGGGGCCGCTAGCAAAGACGGCACAACGCTCAGGGGTCCGTTGCAAGAGGATGAGCATCCACACAAGGACTCCACAACACTAGGCAAAAGACATCACCAAAGTCCGAAGGGAAGCGTCGAAAAAAGTTACATGGAAGAACGGGCTTGACAGCCGTCCAATGACGGGATCTGACAAGTCCCATGGCAGACCGGCGCTAGTTGGAGCAGTGGAATCCTCTGCCACGATCGCTTTTGGGGGTTGAAACATGTCGATCACTACGACGTAGAAGGGGGCCACAATTGGGATCACCGCCGTCTATTGTACGATGGAATTGAGGGAGTCGTTGTTGGATGGTCATCTCGTACGAGGATAAGACGAGCCGTTCTGCCGCTTTCGGATACCAAGATGTAATATGCCCAGTTCTAATCTGATCGGCCAACACCCCCCAGTTGTGAAAAGCTCGAAAAAAGAGACAACCAACCCGAGCCGTCCCGAATTGGGTTATTCATTCATCCTAGGAGACGCATCCACGGGGGTTTCTATGCGTAGCGAAACGAAGGCATCCACTCTAGTATGCATGTTTTTGGAACAGTTGAGATTAAGAAATAAACTAAGACGGCCGGGAACGCGGCACTTGTGATAATCAAGTCTAACCATGAGAAACAATCTAAGACTGTTAGACTATCGTCACCCGCACGCCATTTGACCCTGGCTTAGTCACAGGAATGAACATGTCGTGATCGTAAGCAACGTCCTCGTCTGTCGTCTCGTAAAGACGCATCTTGGGCAAGACACGCAGAGCAAGTGCCGTCAAGCACAAGTTGAGCTCACACAAAGCCAGGCTAATCAAACTTAAGTCAGCAAACGTGGTGCTATCAAAGACTCGGCGGAGATGAACTTACTTCATGCCCAAGCAAGATCTACTGCCCTTGGAAAAGGCAAGCATACCCTTCTCAACATCCTTCCGGCGTTGGTTGTTCTCATCCAGCCAGCGCTCGGGAATGAACTGGTACGAGTCGGGAAAGACAGTCTCGTCATGGTGCGTGATCACAGCAGACATGCCAACAGCATATCCAGCAGGAATGACATACTCGACAGGCTTCTTGTTGAACTCGCCGCGGTAGACCAGGTTCTCCTCAGTAGGCACGCGCGCAGTACGTGCGGAGACACCGTACGAAAGGCGCAGACCCTCCTGCAGGACAGCACCCAGGTAAGGAAGGTTCTCGAGACTCGTCCAGCCGGGAAGGTGCTTGGGGTCGTCGACAACAGCATTCAGCTCGTCCTGGAGCTTCTTGAGCAGATGGGGCTTGGTGAGCAGGTGGTAGGTGATGACGCCCAGGGCCCAGCTGGTGGTCTCGGTTCCCGCGCCCACGACAGCGGCTGCCTCGTCGGCTAGGCGCTGTGGGTTCTTTTCGAGCAGCTCCAGGTCTGACTCCAGGAGGGACCCGAAGACTGTGGGGCGCTCGTGCCGGATGCCGGCGTCCAGCTCGGCTTTGGTGTGCTTCACCTTGTTGGGGATATCAATCTTGAGCGTGCGGATGAGCAGGGCAATGTCGGTGGGCAAGTAATCGACAAGCCTATTAAGAGTCAGCATTCTCCATTGCTTTTCAAGATGGACTCAGAAAGAAACAAACATACCACTCTCCAAGAACGGCAAAGGACTTGGTCCAGGGAAAAAAACGGAAAACAAAGACAGGTCTCAGGATGGAGGCAGTCGGCTCCCGAAAGTTGGGGTACCAGCCGTCTTGTCTGAGGAAACCGAAGCTCTCGCCGAAGCAATATCCGGAGATAGCGTCAGAGGTGAAGCAACTGTAAGCCATTGTCACGTCGAAAGCCTCCCGCTGAGAAAGCAGCTTGTCGCAAAGCTTCTGGACCAGGTCGTGGACATCACCTTCGAGGCGCGCAATATTGCCGCGAGAGAAGAACTTGGCCAAGGGAATGCGACGAACGCGGTGCGAATCATGGTTCACGGTTCCGAAGCCAGACTCGCCCAAGCTAGACAACACATCGATTAATAAGGTTGGGTGCTTCTAGGCGTTCTCGTCTCATTGGACAGTACTCACGCAGAACCGTTAATCTGGTGGACAGGCTTGTCGCGCTTGCGACCACTGACGGCGTAGATGTCATCCGAAAAGTTGACGTCGTTGCAGTGTACTTCGTGGGGGCTGATACGGACGATGGGGCCTTTGCGACAACATTAGATTTCGTCTTGAGTTTCCCGAAGAGTGCAGCTAGACTTACCATACTGCTCGTGCATGCGACTAATCTCCCTGGTGTAGCGCCCGAAAAGAATGACATCGTAGTAGAATTCGGGGATGTATGTGGCTGCAGACAGTTTAGGTCCGGGAATGTAGCTCAACGGATGCAAAGGCGAGATGTTGTAGAGCGCCTTCGCGACCTGGTATAGCAGCCATAGGCCGGCAAGACCGAGCACGGTACGAGCCGACAGGTACGACGAGGAAACGTCGAGGGGCGACGACGTAGTCTCGATGGTTGGCATTGTGTTATTCCTGATTCGCCAGGGAACGGGAACTTGGGAAGGATGAGAAGGAAGCTTTCAATCACGGAATCCAGAGAGCAGAGGAGAAGGGCATTCTTCTTCGTCTCTTCTCTCACATCTCCCAAGACTTGCGCCACGGTAGAATGTGTGGAGAGTCCGGGGTGGGATGAAGATAGTCAAAGGGGCGGTCCACACGTTCTGCATTTGACCTACACCCGAAAAAGCCAGAGCACCGAAGTTTACAACGTTGGAGACATGGGTGGGTGGCATGAGCGATCAACGGGACGCGCAGGCAAAAAAACCCCGAAGGACGGCAGATGTCTCTTAGTTGTCGGTGTACACAGAAGGTTCCTCGTACGTGAAAGGGATGGCGAATTGGGCTCGGAAACTGATCATGGGCGTTCTAGGCAATCCGAATGGATGGTCTGACATTCGCACGGCAGCAATCCATTGTCTGTTCGCGCTGCAACGACACACGCAATCCCTGAATTAGGGTGCAACGGCTTTTTTCGGTGGCTCGAACTTGAGCCAAAGTTGCCTAACTCAGAGATGTCAAACGGCCCGCTGAGGGGGGGAAGAGCTGGCTACATGGAGATTTTCTTTTCTGGGCCCGAGCAGTTGGTTGGTTGAAGAATGAGGATCCCTGAAGATTGTATCCATGGGAAACCCTCCTTTTCTATCCCCTTGTTCATGTTGTGGGACCCCAGGCTTCTTTCGGCCATATGAAAGCCCCTAATTACGTTGCAGCCAGCGTCATTCGGTACACGTATAGATGGGCGCGGGGAGTCGTATTCAGTGCCCGCTCAATCTCTGGAAAGGGAATGGAAATCATGAGTGATGGAACCTCTGGGCAGACCGGAATTTCGGACAGCGCCCTGAGTGAGTTGAGCCGAAAGTTGTGCTCGATCGGCCTGCGGGGCCGGGTATCCACCCCGGGCAGTGCCGTACCCGGCGCCGGCCGCCTGCCAAATTCCGTTGAACACCGTGCTTACCACCCCGGTGGTGTCACAGTTCGGTATTCGAGGCGCTATATGAATTATCAGGCAATTTGGAATAATCATACCCAGAGGCAACAAAATGGAAGGCTATTTATAATGGTGGAAGTGAATTCTTTTCCACATCACTCGTGGATGGTTTTCTGCTCAGATGAGGATCTTCGATTTCTATGAAGGCCACTAAAGATTTCTTGTAGTCCAAAAAAAAATATGTGACTACCTCACTGAATGCTTTACTCCGAAAACACTTGGTAATGATGATGATGATGATTATGATGACTGAAGTATGTTCGCGACCTTAACAGTACTTGGTGTCACCAGGAGGAGCGCACTTGCAAGCCGGTCCGTCAGCTGCTTGCCAAGGAACGCAGCACTATGGAGCCAATGTTTAGCATCAATCCACAGCCTTTTTCAGGTCTTAATGATGAACGTACCCAGCTACCAGCGCATGCGCCAGCGCCACCGCAGTTGGCCTTCCAGCAGTTGATTTGCCTGTCGAAGATTGCAGAGGCAGCCTCGCCGACCGGGTTCGTCAAGGCGAGAGGAGCCGATACGAGGAGTATGAGGTTGACGAGAGTGATGGGCTGCATGTTGGGCGAAGTGTTGTCAGAGAGTAAGGCTTTATGGTGAACTGAGGCTGGTGATGGTGATGCGATGACGAGGGGGAAAAAGGCAAAGTTGTAGAAGGCACTGTCGATATCTTTATACTCGTAGCACAGATCACAAACTCCTCGATTGACTCAAGATGCTAGATAACGTGCAGGGGTTGTAGATATTGGCATGATTGCGTTCGTCGGAAACCTGGTGATATCTTTTGGCTTCAACCATTGTTGGAACGACTCGAAATCTGTTCCTGAATGCTACAAGCCCCAGTATTTCGTTCTAAGAAGCTTTCTAAGCCACCGAGAATTCCGCATTTTAGAGAGAGCCATGGCTTGGCGGGTTATGAGTTGCGAGTGTAGGATTCTGGCCTCTATTGAAAATGCATGTTGTGAGAACTTGCGATCAAAGAATTCCGCCAAGTCCGTCGCTTCGGGGAGGCCCTGACTGGCAATGACAACAATCTATGGGTATCCTGTCATCGATGCTAAGTATACCCAAAAGGGTAGCCTGGCCTGGGGTTCAAGCACCAAGCACTACTAGCTGAGGCACGTAGGTGATGAAGTGATGGTCCCAAGCGTTTTCTACCTAATAAGTAGGTAGCGAGCTTTTTGCTAGTTACGGAGACTGACAACCCTCTAGGCTGTATCTATTTAGGGCCTCCGGCTTTCTGAGCGCAAACCTCAGACTTCATAGTCTTCGAGGCCTAAAGAGAAGGAAAGACTGTGGTGATACAAGCTATGACTCGCGAAATTTCTATATCTAGTCAGGCTTCCTGGATCTTACTGCCACGGCGGAATCCACATCCTTAATCGGCTAGTATTACCGCTCAACAAAGCACAGATCTATGTTGTGCTGCGAGTTTAATCTGCCAAGGGAGCCGCATTTAATTATCTTCTCTGGACTAATGTACGCGGGGTTCATGAAGGATTCGGTCACCGAGGGCTATTATATCTGCCACAACATTTCTCTTGTAACGATAGTAGGTGTTGGATTACCAAGGCAGAAGGCAGAAAAGGGCTTAGGTAGGCGGGTAGGTAGGAAGGCAGATTAGGCCCGTGCAGACGGACCCTTCCTCCTACTTACACCCACAGAGAGATCGCGGGCTCTGCCCACGATTCCTCCTCCTACAACTACGCGCAATACAACTACCCCGATTATTGACCTTAGTCGCGACCGAAAGGTCTGACCTGCTTACGTGTATACCAACAGTAGGTTTGACAGGTTTTGATAAGACGCTTGAACATTGCCCTTCCCTTCTGTTGTTGCGCAGCAGGACCATATTTGAACCTCGGTTCCCCTGTACCCATCGATACCACCCAATCTTCTGAGATAGGTAGTTTCCTTCCTCGAATTTGACATCTCTTTCACCTTGTTTTGCTGTTCTCACGGACTAGACAGTCATCCTACTTTGCTGAAGCAGGGTGATCTTTTGCATCCCGTTGCGACCAATGCGACCAATCGACTACCTTACGAAGAAGACTCGATACTCCAGGAGAATGTCAGTCAATCCCAATCCTCAGGTTATTGCAATGTTTTCAGTGGGTGTCGAGACCTCGCCTTAGGCAAACCCTGGCCACAGCCACAGCAACAACCATAGCAGGTCTTCAAGTGACCCATGGAAACTAAGAGGTGTCTTAGTAGTGCTCGTTAGCTCAGTACTTCTTTAGCCACCCTTTCTTCTGAGTGAAATTCACGTACATTTGAGATGACAGATTTAAGCTCTGTAAAAAGTGATGCTTTTCGGCTCGATAGCTTGGAGGCTCGTCTTGCAGCTAGATACCGAGTCGATCCAAAATATGGGATCTTCGACCGCTAACTCGCTACCTCGGATAGGACCGTTTACTTCGATAATCGACCTAAAGCTCTGGCCCGTTATATAAATATTAAGGATACCATGTTTAATTCTACGGGATAGTAGAGCGTAATAAACAACCAGGTCCGTAGTACATCCGGCTTTATATCTTAATCTAATATTCCTAAATGTCGTCTCGCTATACGGGTCTATATTAGGTATATATGCTCGGGCACACGTGACTTAGGCCGTTGTATGTCCCAATGTTGACATGAGAAGTAAAATGTTAGAATGCAATTTTTAAGAGATGGTTGTCTGAGTTTGAAATGTCCGGGAACCAAAACCCTGCGGAGCTAGCCCACTGGCTTTAATAATGCCTCTTTGCCTCGCCCACATGGCAAGGTGTAATATCTCCTCGTCGAGACTACAATTGTCGGGATGAGAGTCCCTTGAGATTACATGTGTTATATTTCCGTGTCGAGATTCCGATAGCCACGGGTCGGGATTAAAGATCCTTGATATTACACATGCAGTCGTCGAAACTCATAGCCAATTAAACTTACTGGAAGTACGCCCTCATAATTGCGGTACAGGGGTGATAGACCCCAACAATGTATAATAGAATAGATCATAGAGGCTCTGCCCACCTTAATTTCTCTTCTAGCTGTTCAAAGAAGTCATCCTTTACCTCGCTATACACACCTGTGTCCGACACAATTATCATTCAACTTCCATATCAAATGACGAGGAGTTCTCGTGTCACGCTCAGAAGAAAGTGTCTTTGCTCTATGTAGTTCATCTAGAGGAGAAATGATAGTTGAATTACTTGGTAGCCCGTAGCTGATACTATAAATTTGGTTTGAGTATGTTTATGTGCTAGCCAAGCTTAAGTACGGTGTAAACAAGGCAGAATAGAAACTAGTATGTGTCTATGACAGAGTTATTGTGATGCTGGGCGCGAAGTTGAGCCAATAGGTGCCTCCCCTCCTCCCTGCCTCTCGTTCTCCCCTTATCGTTTGTCCTGGCACCAAGCGTTGGTCTTAGCAGGTCCCTGGTCACCAGTAGCCCCAGCCTTCTTGCAGGCATCCGAAAAGTTGCAGTTGTAGAATGAACCGCCGTTGTCAGCAATACAGTCGCTACGCGACTGGTGCGACGGTTTGCGGTTGCCACAGACTGTTCCAGTCGCAATACCATTGGGCTGTTGGTTGGCGTCGATACAGTGGCAAAAGCTGTAATAATTGTAAGCCTGGACGCTCATCGGAGCGATCATAGCCGCAACGAGGGCAGTAGTGAGCTTCATAATGCTATATTCGGTCAAGAGTATGTTAGTCTCTACCAGCCTTGAGTACATTTTACCCACTCACCCAAGGTGTATGCAAAAGAGAGATAGAGAGAGTAAGTGAAGCTGTCAAGGATGGAGTTATATATGAAGCTGATGGATAGTACTTCAGGTCCATCGATGCTCGAGCTAACAGCGGCATCTTTATACCTATTCGGGCGCTTAGATTGCTGCGATCAATGAAGTGGTGTAAACACTCTTGGTGCAGAGAATCTCTTTTTTCTGGTCGTTGTGCCCGACGGTGCTTCGAACTCCCGCGCCAGACCGCCGTTTGCCTCACTATCCGGCTGAAGACCTTAGGGACCTTTTGAAGTCTCCGGCGGTAACTCATGTGGTGTCTTTTTTTTGGGGGGGGGGCTTTACAGGCGCAAAAGACCATCCTCAACAGGATCAGGCTTTGAAGGGAAATCACACGATACGGAACACTTTTCCAAGTACACGGCACGCGCAATGTGCCCCAAGCGCACTCTAGCACCGTCGGAATTAATTCATAACTGCGCACATAACTTAAATGGACCTAGTAAGAAATAGTTGATGGCTTCCAGTATCCAGAACACATTATAAATACCTCTTCCATGCCTACTTGACGCAATGAAGTCATCACATACCTTCTCGTCTATCAATCTCGCAATCCCTCCTACATCGTTCTTTTGAAATCTTGTGCAACGCTTGTCACCAAGGCCTTCTTGATCATGGGTCTCACCCTTGGAGTTGTTTCCGCTCGAAGTTGCCCCGCGGGCTGGATCGAATGCTCGTACAGCGATGGCGGAACCTGCGTCTGGGAGTGCGGTAACGCTGGAGGAGGCTGCGCTTGCCCGCCAACTGGTCTCGTAAAGTCTGCCTGCATTTACAACGGCAGGGGCAAGCAACGATGTTAAACGGGGAAACAGGGCTTACCAGGGGCATATCAAGTAGTCAGACGAGCCCTATCTTTGATTGTGAACTGTTACAGACAGATGCTTAGACCGCCAGTCTGGTCAGTACCTTTGAATCGTACCTCGAGCAATGAACAGCAAGTATAGCTTAGCTTATACGAATCGATTCGAAGGTAGTGCTGGGAATTTTGTGTGTTTGATCCAGCCGAGATGCTCTCTCATGCAGTTGAGGTATCAGGAGGGTAGTACTTTTATCGTAGACTTGAGATGTCATATGGTTATCGCCCTGCAGCTTGAGATGAATATGAAAAGGCTTCTTTCCCCTCAGCGTGTGTGGCTTTTGCATCAAAACTTTGTGATCGCTCGCGATATGGGATTCATGTCTATATGCAACTCCCTTTCTTCTCAAAAGACGTGATTTATGCCATGGCCTATGGTCCTGGCTTCATGGTTCTGGAGCGCAGGTTCTGTCTTCAGTTGTGGCTGCCTGGACCGTATAGTAATAGCATAGGAACATACTTAGCATCCGCCGTTGACTGATAGTCCTGAACATAGCCTACGTCTATAATTGGGACCTTCGTGGATTTATCCTAGATCAAAGAAACATGCGTTGCTGCCATTTCAAATAACTCTACGTCGTCAATGGGCGGACTCCCTTCCCTGGTTTGTTGACTCTGGCCATCTCGCAGCACACTGTGTCGGTACATAAAGTATAAGCAGTTACACCAACCCTCGGATCCCATTGCTCACTCCATTAGCGACATTGGTGTCATATCCTCTTGGACAGGTCCAGGAATATCCGGCCGATTTCGGAAGATAGCGAAGCACACCTCGGCGATATCCTTGGCCATAGCCGGACTAGCCGCATCAATCTCTGTTCCGCTGTGTCCCATCCTTACAAGTTTGGCTTTCGCCGATACCATATTGGCTATGATGAAAGCCTTCCCTACAAAGTCTTGCGTCGCGAGCCTTCTCTCGGCAATGAGGGCGTAGCGGTCGACAATATCAATGATTCGGTCTCTGAGCTCGGCGATCAATGTCCAGGGCTTATTGTCAGTGATGGAGGCTTCCATCTGAAAGCAGAGAAACAGCACGGCTTGTAGGGCCACTGTACGAAATAAGGATCCGGAGGTCCTCATCATGTTCACCAGTCCACCCAAGTCATAGCCTTTGGCCAGTTTGTTGGGAGGATCAATAGTCTCGAGGATTGAGATGGCGGTGCTGACGCACAAAGTATAAGAGAAAGCCAATGAGGAGCTTCTTTGAACACCAAATGGCAAGTGAAGGGCAAGTAATGACCTCTGGCAAAGAACGGTCGAGAAATGTAGAGCAAAGTTTCCGCGGTCAGGAGAGCTGTTTGCTAGCAGCGGACGCGCCACAGCTTCAAATGTCTCCTGTAACTTGGAGGCCTCTTCATACTTCACAGAACATCTGATGTCGTTGAGGAAGTTGGCGATCCGCATTCGCGTTCTCAGAGTCGATATCAAGTAGCGCACAGGCGACGAGGCATCTAGGTTATATCCCTCACCCATACCATTCGATTTTGGAGGTGCTGGTAAGGACATATCCCAGTCGTCGGGTCCTATCGTTGTCAAAAGTCCCTCATTCATCGAGCTTTGTAAATCCAGCTCTAGAATCGTGTACCAGAGATTTTGTTGAGTCTCTAGCTCGTCCTTTGTGAGGGGGTCTCCTGTGATTGAGGGATCGCGATGCAGGCCCGCCACCATTGCGTTTCGCGCCAGCATACCAGATGAGGACCAAGTAGCAGTAGAATCTAGGCTGTAAACCTGCCTCATGATGTCGATCAAGCAGCATGCTTGAAGGGTGCCGACATCGCAAGGGGTGGAACGAAGGGCGACGCTCTGCCACGCTAGAATGAGATGCCACCACCCCTCGATCTTGGTGTCCGGCAATCGACCGCTGTTCGTGTCTAGAGTACCATTCCCAATAGCTATGACCAGCAAGATTTGTATACAGTCGGAAATGGGCACGCTCTCAGGCTTTTCCCAAAACATCAAGACCTGGTCTTGGAAAATTGGCTTTTGTAAGAGCGCAAAAACGGAGCCAAAGGTGTCGAAATATTGCCGGATTAAGAAATCGGCTGTGAGCCTTGTTGGAAACTCTTCAAACATGGACAGTTGGGGCCCCTGGGCCTCTCCGAGAAAGAGGGTCCGCCGCTGGTACAATGAAGTCTTCAGCTCATTGAATGTTGTGAAGTGACCGCCAGGTAAAGAGAATCCAGCCCGGCCCATGAGAGCCATGATGTGTTGAAACTACATGATTGTCAATGGGGGGAAAAAACACGGGCGCTGAGTTTTCTCATACCTTTGGGAAAAGCCAGTGATTGCTACTACGCCCATACCAAGTTCTTCTCGAATTGAGTTTGCTCGGCTTTACGGTCGGGGTCCCGGCGTTCTCGGACATACCCAACGCGTCTGCATTCCCACCAAGCAAGCCCTCTTGGGGCCCAGGATTCGGGGAATCCGCATCGTCGGCTTCCACGCTTCTATCTCGAGACTCGGTAACTGAAGCGCTGCGATTCCCAGCAGACAATATGGTTTCAGGTCTTGCATCTGCCGGATCACCGGAGTGGCCCGGTGTATGCCTGATATCGGGGCCTTGTTCCCTTTCGTTGGACGCTTGCTGCTGCTGCTGCTCACGGGGCGATCGCTTCGACGCGGTGCCGAGGACCGGTCTCACGTACGTGCATTTCAACGGGGGGTTGTTCTTTGAGCACCGGTCGCAGGGCCGTTGCTTGTTGCACTTCAGCTTTCGGCGATGACATTCGAGGCAGACGAGCATCGGCCGCTCCCTTCGGCGCCGGCGAGTGTGCACCGGCGTTTCTTCCGTTGGTTGTATATCGGACATAGTAGTTGAGTGTCTTTTACCGGGTGAAGTGGGTATGGGAATGAGTATCCGCAGTCGGCAGATGGCTGCAGACGGAAATTCGAACGTTCGACAGTGAAAGAGGAAGATTGTTTGTTGTTTGCGATCGCCGGAGATTTGAGATTGACTGAGTTCAGTCTTTCTCTTCGATCATCGACGGCATTTGAGCTGATCCCCACCCGTAAAGCCGAGCACTCGACTTTGGTTCGCCTTACTAACCGGACTTAAAGGTGGGGAAGGTCGACCAAGCGTGGGTGTTACACGCAGCTATCATCAAACTCTGCACATATACCCCCAGTGCATAGATATGAATCAACTAAAGAGAGATAGGCTAGGCTTTGTCTATTTCTTATAAGTTCGCTCACAAGTCTTCAGGATATTAACGGAAGTTGGAGCCCGGCTGTGTGCGCTCTTGGTCGCATCGACCTTGACATTTCTTTTGCACCATGGGAGTACAGGATGACCTCCAAAACGTTGTCGACTGGACCGATGAATACGATTTTGGCAATCCTCGGAACTTCTCCCCAGTTACGAAGTGGGGAACAACAGTTCATTACGGTCTTGTTACCTTCATTGTTACTTTTGCCAGTTCAATTTTCAGCACTGCAACTGAGGTGACAAGCGAGTTATTCGGGGTCTCGAAGGATGTCATGCATTTAGCAACAGCCCTCAATGTTTTGGTAAGTACAGCTGCAATATGACAAATTCGATATGGCTAACAGTCAAAAGGGCTTTGCATTTGGCCCCTTGGTTTTTGGACCGCTCTCCGAGTTGTACGGCCGCAAGACTCCCCTGCTACTGGGACTCCTCGTCTTCTGTGTCTTCAACATACCAATTGCAGTCGCAACAAACGTCGAGACGATATTGATATGCAGATTCATCGTTGGCTTCGGAGGCGCGGCTCCTTTAGCCATCGTCGGCGGCGCACTCGTCGACCTCTTCCTTCCCATTGAAAGAGGCATCGCGGTCTGCATCTTCGCCGGCGCAACTTTCATGGGCTCCATTTTCGGGCCGATAGTCGGTGGCTTTGTCACTGAATCCCATTTGGGATGGCGATGGACGGCTTGGTTGACACTCATCCCCGGTGCTGTGCTGTGGGCGATTCTCTTGCTGTTCATCCCGGAGACATATGGTCCAGTCATTCTCCAAAGAAGAGCTCGGGAGCTCCGTTTCGAAACTGGCAATTGGGCACTCCATGCTGCTATCGAGGAGCATCGGTTGGAATTGAGCGATATCGCGCAGAGGTACCTCGTTAGACCTATCGCCATGCTCTGCCGCGAGCCCATCTTGGCCCTCGTGACGGTCTATATGTCGCTCATTTACGGTATCTTATACCTCTTCTTCGAGGCTTACCCAATCTCCTTTTCCGTCAAACGCGGTTGGAGTCTGGGCGTAGGAACACTTCCGTTCCTAAGTCTTGGGCTCGGCATTGTCCTTGGAGGAGTGGTCGTACTATTACACCTCAAATACCGGTACGCAAAGATATATAAAGCGGATGGAAAGGTGCCGCCAGAAGAACGCCTCATTCCAATGATATTCGGTGCTGTTTCATTACCAATAGGCATGTTTTGGTTCGCCTGGACAAGCGATCCAGACATTCATTGGGCTTCCCAAGTCCTTGCAGGCATTCCCACCGGAATAGGGATCATGACCATATTCATACAAGGCTTGGTGTACTTAATCGACACATATGCTCAACTCTCAAACAGCGCTATCGCGGCTAATGTATTTCTGAGAAGCTGGGTTGGTGCCGGTTTTACTATGTTTGCGACCAGCATGTATAACAAACTGGGTAAGCTTAATCGTCTTTCTAGTCAACAAAGCTGAGCTAGGTATTTGCTAACTGAGATTATAGGCGTTGCATGGGCATCATCACTACTTGGTTTCATCTGCGTTTCTTTGATACCAGTCCCAGTGTTATTTTTTAAGTATGGTGAAGTCATTAGGAAGAAAAGTGTGTATGCTCCATTTACGGACTAAAGCACTAACAAGTCATTTATGGAGCAATGAGATTCAAACAAAGGCAATCTATTAATGCATGTAAGTGTTGAGCCTCTGTGTGGCCAACACCGTGTCCTGCGGACATGAGCATATGTGCCCCTGGACTCAGTCCAAGCCCTGATTATCAAGATGCTGGTAGATGCAGAGATAATGAGTCGGCTCATTGTCAGTTCAGAGGTGAACTCAATCTCCTTACTTAAGGTTATTTTCCGTTCCCGCGCGGAGGGGCTCTGCGGCGGGATTTCTTATTACTCAGGAAATTGACAGTAGCACGCAATACGACGATTGCGCTTAACCTTAAACACATCCGGGCCTTTAAGTCAACTAATTTGAATGAACGATGCTCTTCAATCCTGTCTAATCGGATCACACTTCCTACCATAGACAGATAGCTTCTTCTATGCCACTTGGTATTTCATTTACCTCCCGTGAAATTCCCTTAGCAAGAAGATGTTTACATAAATAGAACTTTGGCCACATACCTTAATTGAGACACAAGAATGGCTTCCTTTGAGTAGTTCGGATGTATCTTGAGTCGGTTTGCAATATAGAGTCACGGATAAAATTGCTACATTGTGATGATCAGTGCCCAGCGACCTCCTGCTTAGCCTTTGTCTCGAGTAATGCCATACTCAGTCCGAAGTTGGGTGTATTTAGCATTTTTGTACTGAAAGCTTTCCATATAATGCTGCGCATCAAAAAACAAAAACTTCCATGCTCATGCTATCAGCCCCCGGAGGAGAGACCGCGGTGAGATACGAGTCTCGGGCACACCGCAAAAGTGCGAGTATTCGCAAATGACAGATATATTGACCGCTTGGACCATGTGTCCGGCAGCAACACTTGCAGGCTTCTTTCCTCATTATTGTCATCAAAACCTCGCAGGCATCTTTGAGCCCGAGCCCGGTAGAACAGGGATCGGATCCACCGAACGTCGGACGGCCCCGGCTCTTGAAAACCCGGCGTATTCTTCGGTCTCGGATATAAGGCCGCGAGGCGTGGAATCCGTGGAGTTTCCGGCCCACTTGCCCTAGACATTGACCATGGCATTGACCACGACACAATGACAACGGGTCTTCTTCGATCAAGCGGCATGGGTCTGGGCGTTGAAGACCCAACTTTGTTAACCCAAGTTGCAATCTCAGAATCATTCTATCAACTATAAGAACTCAAACGAAGTACTTTACGATCTGGACAAGCCCAAACTCGGCCAACGCCACGGTTCCTTACTCCTGCTGTTGGTCGAGGGGCACTAAGGCAATGCATATCCGTCACTACGGAGCAGCCTGACCCAAACTTGGCCAAGAATTCTCTGTATATTAAAGTTGTCTTGTGGGACCCTATCGCGGGCCCTCAAATACGGTGTAGGACTTGCAGGCTGAACAATGTAATGTATTTTGAGTTCCCACCTGACTCGAGCCTCACAGTGAGGAGGATGCGATCGGACTTTCATGTATTCTCCGCAACTCGCAGAAGAATCCAAAGAAAGCCGAATCTAGAAATCCAACCGGGGCACAGTCCAGCACCTAAGGCTGTATATAAAGACTAAATGCTTCCCGTGACGAAGCCGATCACTCGCAATTAAAACCAGCTCTCTCAATTCAACGACAAAGCCCACCAAGCCTTTCTCAAGACTTCCAGTACTTAACCCAAATTTCACATCCTTCAAGATGCAGTTCTCCAGCCTCTTTGTTGCCGCTGTCGCTCTGGTTCTTCCGGCTGCCGTTAGTGTAAGTGAATTTTCCTGTGCTCAAATCCAAATCATTTCATACTTCATTCACTAATGCTTGACCTCAGGCTGGCTACTGCCAAGGCACCACCTGCATTGACAGCATTAAGAACTTCGAGTGCCCCAAGCAGTGCCCCAAGGACGGCACTTGCGCGCTCAATGTCGCTTGCTTCTAAGGAATGAGTTAATGGTGGAAAGCCGGCATCGCAAGTTATTGGGAGCTTATCAAATACCCTGGACAATGGGGAAACATATCGCTGAGCATAGTTGAGCGCAATCCAGATAGGGTTGGATCAGCTTGAAACCACGGTCTGTGTATGGCGGTTCTATCGGTCAATCAAAAGCTTTTGCATTGCCATATCTTGTGATTACCTCTGTCTTCTGTTTCAAGTTACGCAGAGTGCAGTGAAGAATCATATTCGAGTTCAGCAACATAGCGATGAAGCCAAGAATCAAGCCCTGAAATCATCCCTCGATCCGTTCAAAGTATTTTTCTTTTATGCAGAACGTAGGTAGATGTTCTGTACACCAATTACGTGTGGGTTTTGTTCGCAGTCGATCACGGACAGAGAGATTAGCGGCCCTTCTTGCGTTTGGTTTATTCTAGTCCGCGCATAACACATACCCGCCATCTTTATCAGGCTTTCCGATGCAAAGCATATCAATTGCTGCGAGATTTTGCGGAGCTAAGACAGCGAGACTGCATTGTCCCGAAGATTCCCGCCGAATTCAAAGACCTTCTTCGCTCACGCGGTGAAGCTATACTCTAGACGTTAATAGAGGTTCTTGGAACTCCGCTGGGGATGATCGGCTCCGATACAACTTCTGTACTTATTCTTCAGTGTTTTTATCAAGTCATGAAGTAATGACTTAGCACTGGTGATCATGGAACTAGATTGGCTTGGGTAGACATCGACAACAGTTGCGCACATCCTCAATCTTTTGGGAATCTCCTACTCACAGATAATTGACCGGAGTACTTCATGCAATACGACAGTTGTGTCGATATTATTCAACGTGAAAGCAAGTGTATCTTGTGGTCAATGGCCGACTACTATCTTCCCATCCCTCTTAGAAGTTATTCTCCTTCTCCATAGCCGTCTTGACAGCCTCTCCTCGTACAGTAACCTCAGTAGTGTAACTCTTGAATTTGCGAGCCGGGATTTTCTTCATGAACATCTCATCCAACTCCTCGTACGTTCTTCCAGCTGTCTCGGGCAAGTTGTACCACAAGTGCACCAAGGAAATGACAGCCAAGCCGCCAAAGATGAATGCCAACTTGGCGCCGAGGTTCAGCTGATCAGGGTTGAACAGGTACGGCAGAACAAAGTTCCACATGGTAGTGAGTGCGTTCTGCAGAGCGAGACCGAGGGCGATGGTCTTGATGCGAAGTCTCGAAGTCGAGACCTCGGCGAGGATCGTGTACGCAGTCGCACCGATCGTGACGTTGTACCACCAGCAGTACATCATCAAAAGTGCGACAGTGCCCCTGTTGAAGGAGAGTGTTCCGGGAAGGGCGAGACCACCGGTGATGAGGAGGATCACGGTCAAGAATGCGAGCCCGTACACAGTCAAGGGGCGACGTCCCACCTTGTCGACCAAATACCATGACATGACGTTTCCGATGAGGGAGCAGATTTGCTGGACGATTTGAAGCTTGAAGCTGTCGGCGGTGCTGTACCCAGCCAGCTGCATATAATACCTGGAGACTGTCAGTCAAAGTACAAAGGCTGAAGGGCAAGTCATGGTAGACTAACGTAAAGTAAGAAGCAGCAAAAGTGATTCCTGACAGGGACTGAATGCAAAGAGGCGAGATACTGATGATGGTACGTCTCAAGTTTGACTTGCGGAAACACTCGAGGTAGCTGGCACCTGCGGTTTCCTTGCTAACCTGCTCCAGTGTCTGGTGAATGACGGCCAGCCTGACACGGCCTTCGTCACCAGCGTGTCCTAGCTTGCTCAGACTCTTGAGGGCTTGTTCATCCTTCTCCTTCATAGCCAGATACCATGGGCTCTCGGGCATAAACGGCAAAAAGATGGCTGCGATCGCCGCGAAGCCATATTGGGCACAGAAGACAGCACGGTACGCCCAACGGCTGTTCATAGTACCGGTCTCGTTGACAATGACGGCAACGACCAGGGGTCCGAGTGTGTATGATAGGGCTGAGAGGCAGGTGAAGAGACCGCGGAGGGCGAGGGGGGTGATCTGATGAGGCTCAAATTAGTACCCAATCTGGTCATGTTACGCGCCGGGATTTTAGCTTTGGAGTCTTACCTCTCCGATATATGTGACAGCCACGGTTGATAAAGCACCGATCGCAAAACCATTGATGAACTTGCCGCCGAAGAAGAGTTCGTTTGTGGTTGCGACGAATTCGAGAGTGATGCCGGTAATGGAGAATGCCAAAGCGAGGCCAATGACCTTCTTTCGTCCAAAGATGTCTGCGAGAGGACCGCTACCTAACGCACCCACGACGGCTCTGTATGAAGTAAAGATGGTTAGCATATGTCTAGATCATGTAGTACGGTAAAAAAAATGCGGCGCCGGCATTACTTACGAAGCGATTGGTGCGCCGTTGAAAGCGGACTGCCATTTCGTATCCAAGACATAGGAACCTTCAAATTCATGACCAAAGTCCTTTCGGAACTCTGGGATACTCAAGATGCTGCCACCTGCCTGGTTCTCGAACGCCAGGACCAGAACACACCATACGGCGTAAATGCACCAGAAGGACGCCTTCGGATACTTCTTCAATGACTCAAACTTCCCAAGCTCGTGCTCCTCCTGGTTTCCCAGGTTGGCGAGTTGTGCCTGACCTTCGCCGGGGTGCTCAAGGTGGTCGGCATTGTCCTTCTTCTCAGCGTCGACCATCGTGACCGGCTTTCTTACGTTCGGTTTAAAAGACGGACCTAAAACGAAATAACCCCAAAAGGAGAAAAGTCAAACGACTAAGAATCGATTCGGATTCAGGCTAAAAGAGGCTGAAGTCTAAGGTAACGCCAAGATGCAGGACAAGGCTCGAGATTGCAACCATCACGGGCTCTAGCGAGTCTTTATAAGGCAAAGCCGCAACACACACAATGGGTTGAGACTAGACTCGTAAGTACGAATGGGCGCACGAACCCGAATGGTCCCACGCCGACATCATGGAAACGGCCACACCAGAAATCTGGAACCTCGGGGGAATGACACGACGGTGGATCCGGGGTGTTGCCAGCATCGTCTGGGGATACCTGCGGGGCCCCGACT